ACGGAAGAATCGAGGCCAAACTGGTGGGAATTCCCTTGCCAGAGGTTCATTGGTATAAGGACTGGAAGCCAATCGCAGAATCATCTCGCATCAAGGTAAATATTTTTATCGGATTCGATTTTCCTACGGCAGGGCATTTACAGTTTTGCTTATTGTTCTTCTGAGACCAGATTAGCTCCTATGACCCCGACATCTACGTTCTGTCCATACACGATTCGATCATCAAGGATGGCGGACTATATTCGATTAGTGCTAGGAACATTGCTGGCTCCATTAGCACCTCGGTAACCGTGCACATTGAGGAGAACGAGGATCAGTACATCTACAAGACGTACGGCAGACATCCGTATGTGCGATCCAAGCAGCTGCGCTACCAGGACAAGTACGATATTGGCGATGAGCTTGGACGCGGCACTCAGGGCATTACTTATCATGCTGTCGAGCGTGCTACCGGTGATAACTATGCTGCAAAAATCATGTACGGTAGGCCAGAGCTGCGCCCCTTCATGCTGAACGAGCTGGAGATGATGAACACATTCAATCACAAGCACTTGATTCGTCCCTACGATGCCTACGACACTGACCGCAGCGTGACTCTTATTATGGAACTGGCGGCGGGAGGCGAGCTGGTCAGGGACAATTTACTCAGACGCGATTACTACACAGAGCGGGATATAGCCAACTATGTCAGACAAACCCTTTGGGGTCTCGAGCATATGCATGAAATGGGAGTGGGCCACATGGGTCTCACGGTAAGCGAGTGAAAATGTGACGACGCCTGGAAGCAAACTCTAATCTGTAATCTTTCTAAATATTCTTAATTACAGATCAAGGATCTGCTCATTTCGGTGGTCGGCAGTGATTACATTAAGGTATCGGACTTTGGCTTGTCGAGGAAAATCAACAAGCACAACCTATCGACACTGGATTATGGCATGCCAGAGTTTGTTTCTCCCGAAGTTGTTAATAAGGAAGGCGTGAACTACTCCCACGATATGTGGACCGTGGGCTTGATCACCTACGTACTGCTTAGTGGGCATAATCCGTTCCTGGGCATAGATGATAGGGAGACCTTGACCAAGATTCGAGAAGGTCGCTGGGACTTCAAGGACGAGCTGTGGACTCACATCTCTGATGATGGCCGTGACTTTATTAGCCGTCTGCTCCTCTACAGCCCAGAGGAGCGAATGGATGTGAAGACAGCTCTGAAGCATCCATGGTTCTTTATGCTCGATCGCCAGGCCTCCGACCATGACTATCAAATCCGAACCGATCGTTTGAGGAACTACTACGATCACTTCAGGGACTGGTATGCCAATGCATCTTGCAAGAACTACTTCCGCAGACGTCGTCTGAGTGGCTGCTTCCAACATCCATCGAAAATGGTATATCCCCCCGGTCACGTTTATACCCCGGAGGCGACACCAGAGCCTTTGCCAGAGCCACGCAAGAGAGCGAAGCGCGAGGAAGTTGTTTCGAAATACTTGCACCCCGACTACGAGCTAGGCCTGATTCAATCGGAAAGCCAGTAAGTATAAGCCAGTATACAATCCAATAAATCGTTTCAATTCTCTTACTGTGTATGTTCCCAGTTACCAGTATGGTCCCGATACATATTTACTGCAACTGCGGGATGTAAACTTCCCCGTAAGATTGCGTGAATACATGAAGGTGGCCCATAGGCGATCCCCATCGTTTGCACTAAACGATTCTGTGGATTGGACGGTAAGTACACTAGCCTACTTAATTACTCGTGGTATCTAGGTTAACTGTTATATATCCTTTCCAGCTGCCTGTGATCCGCGAACGACGTCGGTTCACCGATATTATGGATGAGGAAATCGACGACGAACGCACGCGCAGTCGCATCAGCATGTATGCGGCCAATGATTCCTACTCCATCAGGCGCCTGCGCACGGAGCTGGGCCCACGTCTGGACGAGTACACTGAAGCCGAGGCCATGATAGAGACCCAGCGCGAGGGCTATCCACCCTTCTTCCGGGAGAAGCCGCAGACGATTGCAATAACCGAGAACCAGCCCAGTCATATCCATTGCTTTGCAGTCGGCGATCCCAAGCCGTGCGTCCAGTGGTTTAAGAACGACATGGTTCTGTCTGAGAGCAAGCGCATCAAAATCTCAGTCGATGAGGATGGTCGCTCCATTCTGCGATTTGAGCCAGCCACCCACTTCGATGTTGGTGTCTACAAGGTGGTGGCTAGGAACAAGGTGGGCCAAACTGTGGCCAGATGCCGCATCGTGGTGGCCACTCTCCCAGATGCACCAGACTCACCCGAAATCTCTGCCAGCAGTGGCACGGAGATTCTGCTCAGATGGAAACAGCCCCGTGACGATGGCCACTCTACGGTCCTGTGCTACAGTCTGCAGTACAAGCTCAGCAACTGCGATGCCTGGACCACGGTGGCCGACAATATCGATCATGAATTCTACCTACTGCACGATTTGAAGCCGAACACAAGCTACCAGTTCAGGCTGGCCTCTAAAAATCGCATTGGCTGGAGTGAAATGGGAATCCCTGTGGCCGCAACCACCGTGGGCCAGGACGCCCCCAAGATCCACATCACCAAGGCAATGAAGCATTTACAACAGCTCACCGAGAATGGTCATCAGGTGATACCCGAAGAAGAGCGCGTCCACACCGACTATCACTGCGAGCGAGAGCCCCCCAATTGGGTCACCGATTCGTCCGTGAGCGACAAGTACAGTTTCATCTCGGAGATAGCGCGCGGGGAGTTCAGCACCATCGTGAAAGGAATTCAAAAGTCCACCGACACAGTGGTGGTGGCCAAGATTCTCGAAGTGACCGATGAAAACGAGGACTCGGTTGTGGCCGAGTTTGACAACTTCAAGACGTTGCGGCATGAACGCATACCCGCACTCTTCAGTGCCTACAAGCCATTGAACGTGCCCATAGCCATATTCGTGATGGAGAAGCTCCAGGGAGCCGACGTCCTCACCTACTTCAGCAGCCGTCACGAGTACTCCGAGCAAATGGTGGCCAGCGTTGTTACCCAGCTGCTGGACGCCCTGCAATATCTGCACTGGCGTGGATATTGCCATCTCAATATACAGCCCGACAACGTGGTAATGGCCTCGGTTCGCTCGATTCAAGTCAAATTGGTGGACTTCGGTGCGGCCAAGAAGGTGAATAAGTTGGGCGTCAAGGTTACACCATGCGGCTCGCTTGACTTCCAGCCGCCAGAGATGATCAACGACGAGCCAATATTCCCTCAGAGTGACATTTGGTCTGTTGGTGCACTGACATACTTGCTCTTATCCGGATGCAGCCCATTCCGCGGAAACGACGAATACGAAACGAAGCAGAATATTTCCTTTGTGCGATATAGATTCGAAAATCTGTTCAGGGAAGTTACCCCAGAGGCAACACGATTTATTATGCTCTTGTTTAAGCGTCATCCTACGTAAGTACACCAGAAATACACGATTATATTTATTGAGCATTTATAAAATGCAATTAATTTCATTTTACACATTTCATTAATCATTTCAGCAAACGGCCATACACAGAAGATTGCCTGGAGCATAGATGGCTCATGTCCTCTGATTATATGGTTAGAAAACGAGAGCGCGCTATATTCTTGGGTAATCGTCTGAAGGTAATGCTCGATCGATCCTATGCCAATAAATGGTTTGAAATTGATTATTCATTTCTCTTTTAAAATCAGTCTTTCTGCGATGAATACCATGACCACAAAAACGCCACAGCTACATCATCCAAAGTCCTCAATACGGTTTCCGGTGGACCTACACCAACTCAACTGCTTCGATCGAATAGCATCCAAGAGGAACTGCTCACAACATTTTAGTCAATTAGTTCCGACGTACGCATAAGAGAATGTTGTTTTTATTTCTTGTATATATGGAATATAAATAATTATACAACATCCAAAGTTCTATATATATAAATATATTATCTGGTTAATTAAAAAATTCTGATTTGAATTGCTTGAATTTTTGTTTACAATGTTGGACTTCTAAACGCCCACACGTCTGCCGACTCATCGCGGCACTCCCACGTTCTCCCCTCCATAAACCTATAAACGCGAAAACGGCCATAAATGAATAGATATAGCTTTTTCACCGAGTCAAAAATAGATAAAGGTCATCAGGTGTTTCACAGAGCACAGAATGTGTAAACATTTATGACCGCAATGCATATTGGTCATTTCGAAATTAAAGCTTTCCGCTCCGCCGTAAATAAAATCAGAATAAAGGGCATTTTACTGTCGAGTCAAAACACTCGGCTGCCACAGCTTCATTAATTGTTTGATAAAGGCCAATTTGTGTGCGCACACACATATGTATGCATGTATTTTTAGGTGCGTATGTATGTATGTATTTATATTTAATCAAAATCGGTGCACTTGAACTCATGAATCGATTCAATAAAATCATCTCTGAAGAAAAGCTCCTGCTTTCAAAGCTGTTAAAAGCTTTCTTATCACTCTATTGATTAAATTTTTCCAAGAAGCTGAAACTCAGAAGTAAGTGGCAGATACAACACGAAAATTTAATAATGTATATTAATCCAAACCACTGGCTTATCACAATGTAACGAAAATAAAATCGGAGGTTGAAATTTTGTAAACACCTGAAACATACATCAGAGCATTTATTTGCACTTGGAATATAAATGAACGACACTTTTTGGTCACAAGATTTACAGTCCAACAATTAACAGCTAGGTTCAAAAGCAGACAGACACTTCTGGTGACACGCATACGTACACATACATATGTATATAGTATGTATAGATATGTGAATGTGTAATCAAGTAGCTAACTAATCTAATGCCTTACCTACTTTACTTAACCCTTTTCAGAGTTTGGACTCATTCTCCCACATGTCTCTTCCCAACGCTACCACATAAGTCTTTGTAGAAGCAGATTCAACTGTTTTAACGTGTTCAAACCAACAGCACAAAAGTCAATCAATAGTATACGTTCAATTAAATTCAAAAATGGCAGAGGAAGATTTGATCGAACGTGTCGAAAGGTAAGTTCCGTTCCTTCAAACAGTAAGAATACAAAATTAAAATATTACTTTCGGTTGTAATAATAATAACATTTCGCCTTCGCAGAACCGAGCTTCCAGCTCCAATGATATCACGGAGGGAAGTAAGTATCTGGGCTATCCTCAAGAACTGCATTGGAAAGGATTTGAGTAAAATTACCATGCCGGTAATGCTAAACGAACCCCTGAGCTTCCTGCAGAGGCTATGCGAATATATGGAGTATGCACAGCTTTTGACACAAGCAGCTCGCCAGGACACTCCAGAAGATCGAATGAAATATGTTGCAGGCAAGTATCTAAATTGAGTGGTTCGTAGATTTTCATTTAATTACACAGCAAGCAGACCATGTAAGTGCATATGTACTTAACCACATATGTACATACATTATATACAGTATTTATGTCTTGTACGCATGACATATTTATGGACAGCCGAATAAATCGGTATTCACTTCTTTCACAGCTAGCCAGGTAGTAATGATTCACTTATACTAGTTATTTTAAAGCAACAAACAGTATGGATTTGTTGAACAATAACAGGGTGTTCACGGCAAAAATTTTGTATTTTCAACAAGTGTTAAGTGAAAAAGTGTGACCAAGTATATTTTTTTTTATTTTAATTTATAATTTATAATTTATTTTAATAAATTTAAATACTTTTAGCTTTTGCCGTTTCTGCTTTGGCTTGCAACTGGGAGAGACTCGGAAAACCATTTAACCCTCTCTTGGGCGAAACTTACGAATTGCAGAGAGACGATTATCGAATAGTTTGTGAGCAGGTCTCTCACCATCCACCAGTTTCTGCATTTCACGCAGAGTCCAATGATTTTAAATTCCATGGCTCCATTAACCCAAAGATTAAGTTCTGGGGAAAAAGTGTCGAAGTTAATCCCAAAGGCACGGTCACCATTGAGTTTCCAAAGTGGGTATGCACATATAAATTCATTAAATCATGCTAACGGTATCCGCTTTTTGTCAGATGGAAGGAAACTTACACCTGGACTAATGTAAACTGTTGCGTGCACAACATTATAGTTGGAACACTGTGGATAGAGCAGTATGGAAAGATGGTGATAACAAATCATTCCACCGGTCACATTGCGAACCTAACTTTCAAATCAGCTGGTTCTGGGGCCAAAAACTTGCATCGAGTTGAGGGCTTTGTACGGGATTCAAGGTAAAGGATGCAAAAATCTCGGAAGAATGAATCTTAATTTATGAATCACATATTTTTAGCGAAAAGAATATATTCTTTCTGTATGGTAAATGGACAGACTTTATTAAATGCTGCTCTGCGGAATCCTATGCGCAATATATGAAACTGGGAACCAGAAAGAATGACGGTGGCGACCCGGGTGATTCACCTGATGGAACCCCGAAGAGGATGTTTTCTAAATTGAACAGCTTTAAGCTGAGCTCTTTTCGCAGCATGTCCATACAAGATGTAAGTTCGAGAATCCCAAAAACATAAGTTCTTTTTTAACATCCAAATATTTTGTAGAGCGACAACATTCCACCTCTTGAGCAAGAGACAAATGACATACCAAAGAGCGACTCTGCATATTCGCTTGATGTACCAGACTCCACCGTATTATGGAGTTGCAAGCCACGACCTTCCAACTGCAACGAGGTACAATATATTAGATATCTTATATGATTTTATTTTCAATAACCTTATACTTGCAGTACTACCAATTTACAAACTTTGCGCTGCAGCTTAATGCTATGGATAAAAATATGAAACCACCGCTAACACTTTGCCCTACCGACTCGCGTCTGCGACCTGATATATTATACCTCGAAGAAGGAAATTTAGATGGTGCATCTAAGGAGAAGACTCGCCTAGAAGAAAAGCAAAGACACACTCGCAAGCATCGAAAAACCACTAATGGCGATAATTGGATACCAAGGTAACAATCTTACCCATAAATTACATGATCTACAGCTAAAATATGTCGAAATATTCTTATTTTTAGATGGTTTAAGCCTGTAACAAACCCCCACACCAAAACCGAAGATTGGAACTATACTGGAGGATATTGGGACCGTAAATACGACATCGCCAATACAATATTTTAGAACAATTTTAGAGTATACATGTGATTACGTAATATATATTGTATTTGTATAAAGTTTGTGAGGTGTATTCACTAAGCAATCGTTGGTAACTGGATAGATGTACATATGTACATAGTACATGGCTCAATGTACTACGAATTGGCCAAAGTTATAATATGTCAAACCATGGCTTTGAACAAAAAATGGAAATACCACGCAATTTCATATGAGCTTTTGGCATACAGTAAACATAATCCAATCCAGTCGCACAAGCATTCATTGTTTTAAAACAGATATTAAGTTACAGCTTACTTTTCGTAGTCAAATATATCTATGTGTGTAGGTGTTAATTATCTGACAATTCCATATGATGCAATTAAAATGTTATTCAGTTATTTGTTGCGCTATAATATGTTGGACATTTTTTACAACTACGGTACGAGTATAGTATCGTAACCTCTGCTGAATGAAATTACCAAGCAACAGGATGATTTTAACTGGGATCTCCCAAGTAAGACATTACCTTTTGGCATGTAACCTATATCTCCCCCGATCTATGAGTGACGCGTATGTGGTGGATGGTGGATTCCCCGATTCGAACATAAAGACTGTGATAGTAACAGTAATATACATATTCGATTTATTTTGTTCATTTTAAAAGATTCCAGGACCTTTGTTTAATTGTCTTCTTCACATATACTGCTATTTACATTGGTGACACTCATAATAATTTACACACATAATAAAACCAAAATCATATTACTTCAAATTCAGGGTTCTAGGTTTTGTGTTAACGTCGTGCAAGCTAACTACGTTATAGGCAGAGACGCATGGTTCAAGTTTGTGTTTAAATATGTCGTTTTCCGATTTTGAAGAGCATATTTGTTTTTCTGTCTCAGTGTGGCTCGCAGCAGGAAGCGATAATCTCAGCTCATGATTACTGATTGAGGAATTCAATTGAAATTGCTTCGCATAAAGTGTTTCCATCTTATTGTGCTTATCTGTGGCATAGACAGAACCAAAAATACTTACTCAAAAAAATACAAATATACATTAATAGGCATTGCATCGCTTACCTTCATTATTTTTCCATAGTTTTATGCCTGTTTTTTGTGTTGCCGTCAGCTTTGTGTCCTCGTCTGGCCCGCCTATGGAGCAGTCTTCAATATGGGAGAAGCTCTCCTGCGGCGAAATGGTTGACAACACTGATGTGCTGGAGTAGTAGCCCATGAAATGAGTGTCCGGTTCTGCCTCATGCGCCTTGCATGGAACAATCCATGCAAAATTAAAGTGCGCAGAATTGACTTCTTGCGTGAGCCAGGCATCGTTTACTAGCTGCAGCATTGTGCAGCGGTATTTGGGATCTTTGTTCAGCATGGAGGTCAAAAGACGACTCAGCTGCTCCGATACCATCTTTGGTATTTGGACTTCTGCCTTTACAGTATCTTCGACGTCGATAAATGGGTTCTCGAAAAACATTAAGACGTACAGAGTGACGCCGAGGGCCCACATTTCAAGCTCGGGACCGACATATCTATTGCCAGCCAGGACTTCGGGACTGCAGTACTCGGTCGTTCCATAGAACGTTGAAAAGTATTTACCTTCTTCCATGAATGTCGCTGAACCGAAATCTATTAGCTTTATGTTAAAATGATGATCAATGATTATATTCTCGTCCTTTATATCACGATGGAGTATTTTCTGATCATGCAAATAATAGACAGCATCCGCAATTTGCCGGAAAATATAGCTTCCCAACTTCTCCTCCATTAAAGGCCGTCGTTCAATGAACGTCCATAGGTCCATTCCCGAACCGTGTTTCTCCATCACCAGCTGGTAGAATAAATCATTATCAAAAACATCTAACACCGATACTATATTCTTGTGATCTAAGGTCTGCAGGAGGTGGATCTCGATAGGAACTTCCTTACCATCCCGGTTCTTAATCATAAATTGAGGGCAAAGTTTCTCCTTCAAAATAAACTTGGTTATAACCAATAGCCGATCAGTGTTCCGAAAAGCCATATTAACATAGCCGTAAGCTCCCTTGCCAATCTGCCGGATCGAAGTGTAGTGCTTGCTATAGTCCCCCGAGTACAGCTCGTCTTCGTATTTGGACATCAATGAGAGAGAGTTGGGCCTGCTGGAATTCTGAGCTGCTGTTGTCTTAATTACTTGCCCCAGGGACTGCTCGATAGTGCTTGCCATGCTGTTGAATGTTGATGTGAGATTGACATAGTTGTACTTGTCGCTCTCTAAGCGATTGGAGGGGTCTCGACACACCCAAATGCAATACACTCGGCGGGAGCAGGGCAACACATGGAGCAATACCGAGTACACAACGTCTATGACAGTGCCATCAGCGTGAATCGCCTCTCCCAGAAAGTTTCCATTAATCGAACTGAGTAGCCTCGTGGCTGGATTACTGCTTGAAGCATCACAAGCCTCTATAGATTGGGACTTCACCTTGTCCAAGCTCATTTCATTTAGGTGGGATAGCGACTCTTCATACTCGTCAGAGGGGAACTTTTTCGAGGGATTCACTGGTGTCAAAATCTCGTCTATTGTAATGTCTTCGAGTGGACGAATTTCGGAAATCATGTCGCTGTTACCCTCCTGGTTACAGCTTAAGTGGGTTCCGCCATTGAGTCCCGCGTCGTAGAGAGAATGTTCACTTGCAGGTGGGATTGCAGACAGTTTTTTACAAGATTGAAGTGAGGACTCGTTGTCAACGATAAACGGATCTGTATCGGGCTCCCAATCATTGCTGGTAATGGATGTATTCGAGACGTTTGGGCTTTTATCTTCGCGAAAATCTTTGCCGAAGTTAGGTAAAATTGAAGATATATGCATTTTTGTTATTTTTTCCTGGCCGTATCCGAACATCAACACAGAGAACGGCTGATTGCAAGTCTGAATGTTGCCTATTTCATCTACCACAATAAGCCCACTCAGATTTTGGAAAACCCACACGGTTATGTTGAAGCACGTATTGCAGGAATGCGTTGTTGAAGAACCAATCGCTTCCGGTGTAGTTATAAGCAAGCAGAGCGGAAATTTAACATTGTCAGTGGTGCGTCCTGTGGCTCTCTGCTTGCGCAGGATCTTCGGTATCTCTCTACTGTCCGGATCTGGGAGTTTTATGAAGGGTATTAGTGTTGTAATATTCACTCCAACGACGTCTTCGGTGGAGTAATAAAGGAATATTGTAGCAGTGGCAGCGTCGGCCATTGTTATCGCACCGAAGCGGTCAATGCCTATTTGGCAAATGTGTCTCTGAACCGGCTCGGCGACAGCTATGTTCCGTCCTTCGTTGTCTATTTGTCGAATCCAGAGCGAAACCAATATCTTAGTGCTCTGTTTTGTCTTCATTTCTATCACTTTGCCACTGAGCAGGACAACTCTTCCCTCATCGACATCAATCTGCATTTCCGCCAATGACGAAATGTGACTTTCCGTTTTACAATTTAGTAAATCAAAAAAACTTTTGTTCCGTAACTCCTGCGACGTATATCCCAACAAGTGGCATGCTTTGTTGTTCACAATGAAGATCTGTCCGGTGTTTGAGTCTATCGTAAATATCGCCTTATTTGGGTTTATCCCCTTCGACGAATGTAAGTTGGGAGGCGGCATATTAAAGGCGTTTGGATCCATCATATTTAAAATACTCGATGTGTCTTGATAAGTGCTTTCGCCTGAAATACATATAATTTGCCACTAATTAAATGAAATCCGCATTTTCTGCAAATAATATATCATTGAGCTACTATTTGCTGTTACTTGCTTAATTTTGTTGACAAAATACTGATTGACATTCAATTGAATACTATATAGTAGAAGCTTTTAACATTTTTTTATATGTTTAATTCTTAATGACAAAATCAAAACAAATCCATAGCTACGCCAGGGTCAATAGATGGACTGGGTTTATGGGGGCATACCATTAGTAGGTTCCACCATGACGCTTTGATCCGCCATTTATAGTTAAAATATTTTCCAGCTCAGCTTGTGCAATCTTATAATTTGAAGCAGCCTACAATAATATAAAAATAAGACACTCTAAACATGGGAACGGAACTGTGTTTATCACAAAAATCAATTGGTTGGCGCATGCGAACAAACATTTTCATAATGTTACTGCCATTCAAATTGGATACGGTCTCACTTGCACATTTTTTAATAAGATTTTATTTCTGTTCAGAATATTGAGCATGAAATTACAAGCAAATTACGCTGTTGCATTTTTAAAAATAAACCATATGTTCAGGGCGGTTTGTGGATATTTCCAGCAATGTTATCGATATGTGGGTTTTAAACATCGATAACAACCTTCACATACACTAAGCTGGGCCTACGTGTGTAAAATGTATCTCACAAATACACAGAACTAAAACCTAGGCAAACGAAACGAGCAGAACAGTTCTTCCACGTAGATTCTTTGTTTTAATTTCGTTAATTAATATTAAAATAGAATATAGACACATAAAAGGACGCAAAAATGGCTCGAAAGATTGGAATCTCAATGCCTTGTTGCTACATTTTGCTAGTCAATTTAATAAGTGTTTACAGCCTGGTGGACCAGGGGATGTACCGAAGGAATAGTTATGAATCCGCAACAGGCTCCACAGGATCTTTCCCCTTCCTGATGCCCTTGGTTTCACCGAAAACTGTGAGTAGTACATCGGAAATTAATTTTTTTTCAAGTGTCATATGGTTTGTGCCACAAAAGTACGATTACATGTGCCTGTATGTATGTATAACAATCTACAGATGCTCCGCAAAAAATCCAATAGCAATAATATTATGTACAAATTAATAAGTTATACAGAGAAACTGTTCCATATGGTTGGTTACTCTTTTATTTCTGTGTAGATACACACAAATATACTTTGCCATATGGGATGCATTGAAACCTGTAGATTGCGGTTTGCCCTAGGACACGGCCTGCAAGTTGCGCGGTGCTCTGTAGATAGATACATAATTACACATGTACATACAAAAAAATATATGCGTGGGGGAAATACTTTTAATAATATACACTTTGCACTTGTAAGAACCCTCGAGTATGCATATTGTTTCTAAATAACTAATCTAAAATTATTTTGTTTGTTTTTTTATGTACTTATTACTAACATATAGCCGGATTTGTACTTGTGCACTCCAATAAAAGTCGATCCAACTACCACATACTATATTGGTACGTCAAAAAGTCATAGAAGCTTTCCATTAAACATTTTGTAATTTCATTGTTTTTCTAAAGTTGGATTTAATCCGAATGCAACCATGAACACGGCTCATCACATGCTTCTGTACGGGTGTGGCGAGCCAGGAACAACCAAAAGCACTTGGTGAGTTTTTTTCAATATACTTGTACAACCAATAAAATATCGTATGTATTTTCTCTGAAACAGGAACTGCGGAGAAATGGCCCAAGCAACGGCTGAGGAAAAGGCCAGCCCCTGCGGACCTCGTTCTCACTCTCAGGTAAATGTGATAATCCTTCGATTGGGAACCAGTAGTGTGATAGAAGCTAACAAAATCCTATTTAACAGTTTAAATTTTGGAACATTTTAATTTGTAATTTGATTTCGGGTGGGTTCTCCACTGCACTTTAGGCAGAACGGGTTTCCGTCCTCGATATTGAAGTTATCAGTGGCAATACGCTCTCCGCAGTTAAAGCACTCGAAGCAACGAGGGTGCCATTTCGTGTTCAAGGCGACAATGGCTTTCTTGTCGATGGGCTCTCCACAGCCGGCGCAACGGGACGAAAAGGCTTCCCGGAAGTCATCCTTACAGAACAGATACCCGTTGACTTCGAAGAACGTCGAAGTCAACAGGTTTTGACAGCACCCGACGCACTTGAAACACTCTTCGTGCCACTTGCGTCCAACCGCAGCAATGGCACGCTCCAGAATAAGAGAGCCGCAGGCATAGCACCTAGAGGCATGCTTTTTCAGAAAGCACTCGCTGCAAACCAGCTCGTTTTTCAGAAGCTTAAACTCCACCATTCCTATGGGCTTCTCACACTCCGTACATGTGAAGTGCTCCGGATGGTACGACTTGCCAGAGCTGCATATTGCCTGGTCGTCTATTTCTTTATCGCACTTGCAGCAGATCGTAGGGGCCATATTTCAAATATGTACCTATGGGGTATCCTCTAAACTACATATAACATATATAACAATATATGTATGTTTGGCTAAATTCTTGGTGAAAAACTTACAGACTCAAAATTTGCAATGTCCAAAGGGGATTTTAGAATCAAAACAATACTAATTCCTTACTATAAAAATACGTAAATAAAACTAAATATAACTTATTCTGATAGATACTACTACGATAGTGATTCCATTACATTTTGAATACGTAAATGTTTTACTGTGTTCAAGGCAAAAGCTGTAATGTAACCAGTCCTTGACTTTAACCTCGTAAGCAAATGCCTACATATGTACATATGTATGTCTATGCAGACGTTTTGTTCTGGTTAACTGATTACACTGTGCGGAGTAGCTACATATACTGTAGAACCGAGGTTGCTCGTGGCTTACTATTAATTGTGTACATTTGTAAAGTGCCTACCAAATTAATGTGTGTATGGTATATATTTGTTCTCAACTTAGATCCTATATGCATGGGCGAGAGATGCCCAAAAGGTAAGTTTGCCTGCGGGTGTTGGCTTTAAGGTTGGCAAGGACTCGCCAACCAAGTATTTGGTACTGCAAGTGCACTACGCTCACGTTGACAGATTCAAAGGTGAGTAAACAACAAGTTTCCTCAGTGGGAGGGTGGTACTCGTACGAGTGAAACAAGTTTTTGCTTTGGTTTCCAGATGGTTCCACCGATGACTCTGGCGTGTTCCTGGACTACACAGAAAAGCCGTAAGTCTGCTCTTTCATTTTAAGCGATTGCATTAGGGTCTTACACACTTTCTCAACAGCCTTCAAAAGTTAGCTGGCACACTATTATTGGGCACAGACGGAATAATTCCCGCAATGAAAACAGAGCACATGGAATCAGCTTGCGAAATAACTGAGAATAAAGTACTATTTCCATTTGCCTATCGTGTGCACACTCATGAAATGGGAAAGGTTGTGGCTGGATATAGAGTGCGATCGAATAGCGAGGGAATTCAAGAATGGGTTCAACTTGGAAAGCGGGATCCGCTTACGCCTCAGATGTTTTACAATGTCACGAACACCGAACCCATTTTGAGCGGCGATCAGCTCGCCATGAGGTGTACCATCAAAAATACCCGTCATCGGATAACTAAAATTGGGTATGTACATCATATCTATAGCACACGCACTCGTGTACCGTTTCTACCGCCAGGAAGTACATTTTCGTGTCCTTTGCAGCCCCACCAACGAAGATGAAATGTGCAATTTTTACCTTATGTACTATGTGGACCATGGGGAGACTCTTGACATGAAATATTGCTTCAGCCAAGGTCCCCCCAACTATTACTGGTCCAATCCCGACACCGGCCTACACAATATCCCACATATCGAAGCGAGCACCTTGTAATTTGGATAAACTATCATGCTGTGGAATGTGCAAAATTGAAATTAAAGTATACTAATTTATTATCGAAATTATTTCTATCGTGTAACCCCCCAAATGATCATAGTTTAATGTCATAGTGTACTCTATTATGTTGGATGTTTCTTGTTGATTGATCTGTGCCGTGCCACCAATGATTGATGTAAAATATATATACGTGTAAATAAACATATGTAGATACTTCGCAAAACAAAACGATTCTTTTCTTTTCTTTATTTTGAGTTCCTTGAGAGCTAGCTATTATACGGTTCTTCGGTTACCTCCAGTGTTTAGATCCCGAACATACGGTCTCTAAGCAAAACTTCAAGGAAAGGAAAGAGCGCTCCGGTATAAATATTTTCAATGCAAAGCATTTTATTCTTTTTTTATGTATATAATCGTATATATAGAATTTATGGAATATATATATATATATATGTATAATTTGGTGTAAAATTACAAACGTATAATTATATTAGTTATAAATTACACAAAACTTAAAGGTATTTCTCACATTTTATAATAACTTTCAAACTCATATTTGTTAGTGTTAAACTCTAAATGACTACCAGTAGGCTGAAGGGGTAAATCCTCAGATGTGTAAGCTAGGAGAGCTCCGTTGTTATCATGTGCGGTGTAGTTGAGATCATTGTTTGTTTCAATTACGTTTCCGGTGTAGTCTTGGGTTATATATGTACATGGGTGTGAACCCATAGCATCTGATTCAACGAAACTATTACTTATGCTGCTGAAGACGAATTGGGGCGAATGTGAGGCGGTCAGTATGCTGCACTCGCTGTCTTCAGCCGCCGTCGGAATCGGATTGAAATCGTCATTTTGGAATGTATGCCCGCCATCTCCCCCTCCCCCATATAGACGAGTGCTGTTGTGTATCTCGATGTTCATCGTAACAGTTTGCGGTTGAACTTGATGGGAGGACGAGTTGTCGCCACCAGCGCAGTCTTCCACAAAACACTCGGGAGTGTCAGGCACATACGGAGGTATTTGATGGCTGGCCGAATGCAAGTTGGCATCATTTAAAATGTTGTCTTCAATAATATTGTGGCAATCCGAGAAGTTCGTATGGGAACTGTTGTTGGTTCCATTGTTGTTGACAGAGTTCACATCTAACAAGGATTCGTCACAGAATGGCAAATACTTCTGGACATCTTCGGAGAACTCCTCCGTGGCATTCAGCGGACCTATATCGGATAGATTCTCCATCAGCCCTGCGGCTGGATCCGATTGATTGTGGTGGCTATTGGACGAAGAGTTCACCTCCAACTGGGAGTCCTCGTTGTCGGTGGAGTTTGCGAAAAATGAGTAATACTTGTAAACATCGTCGGTTAAATTCTCTCGTGGATTGGGGGAAAGATTTTCCATTTGACCTGCATTTAGGTCTGAGTGTAGTTTTAGATCGCAATCAGCATTGCTATTCGTGTTCAGAGGTAAATATTCAGATGATTGATAGCTTAAAAGATTATCGGTTGATGGTAACATAATATCAACGGCATTATTGTGCTGTTGCTCTATCGGAGCTTTTACATTTACATTGTATTTAGGTTTCGAAGTATCACCCGTGTCATTATTTCTTATACGTTTCGAAACTGAACCAGTTTGACATGTAGAGGTAGATCTTTTGCTTTTCCGGCCGGCAGTGGGGGTTCCATTAATTGCAATAGTGGACAAAGTGCTATTCTGTGTGTCATTTTTAACTTCGCTTCCATCCGCATCCTGATTCTGCTTTAGCGCTCCCGGAGATCTCGACTGCTTCTTTTGTGGCTTGTACTTGTAGTTAGGATACTCGATCAAGTGCAGCTTCCTGAGCTTCTCTGCCTCGGCTATGTAGGGCTGCTTGTCTTCTTTGCTCAGGAGCTGCCATCGTCTACCCAATTCTTTGGATATCTCGGCGTTATGCAAGTCTGGCGTTCGCTCACAAATCTTCCGACGCTCCATTTGACTCCACACCATGAATGCATTCATGGGTCTCTTGATATGGCCGGGAGAATGTTTCTTCGTCTGGAATAAAAGAACAGGTGAAACAATCATCAGCGAGGGTTAAAGAATTAATCTGTCAATTAAAACAGATTTACTTATACACAGTAAGAGTGAAGGGGAAACTGAACAATCATTAGTGTTTTAACTGTGAAACCAGATAGTATTAAGATGATCATAGATCTTAATCGCTGATGTTGATTCCGGAATGATAATTAAATTTCAATAAGTTCCCCGAATAAGTTTTAAGTGTATGCAATCGCGGAATTGAAAGCACACCTCGAATGGATACATCTATAATATATGTAAAACACTCTGTTCGTATTGTTTTTATACGAAAACACATTTCCCTATTATAAATTCATTTATATACGTATGGATGTACATACATACATATATACATATGAGTGTTCATTCCATATTAACGTTCCACAGATAAAGAGTTAGGAAATACAAATTCACACCAAGCGAAAGCACTGACTGCACGCACACTTGCACGGATATATAGTACGTACCGTATATCTGTGTAGCCTACATATATGCATTTTGTGTATCGCCTTGTCTATGTTCGGTTGTATGCATTTGTATCTGTACGAAAAATACGTATTCGCAGCGTTTGAAGTTCAATGTCCCTCGCCAAGGTTAATAAAACGCTCCTAAAAACGAAATATGTATGTATCTGTATCTGTATTTGTATCTGTTCGAGTATACTTGTGTATATTCACATTCGATTATTAAGATACACAGACAAGTGCACGAATGTACTCGCATGCATTCAATTAATAAGCAATTCCGCCGCTGCTTCCTGGTTATGCTTTTGTGCACTTAATCCTTTAAATCAGTAGACAGATCGAACGAAATCACAAACAGAACAGTGTCGTGTCTGGGGAACACAGGAACGCAGGAACGCAGGAACTCGACAACCATTTGGAATAGGTCATCGCTGTGACGCGCCGCCCTCAACGTATGGCCGGCCAACGCCAGAGGAGAGAACATGGCCAATGTGAATAACCGTTTTATTCACACAAAAGAGAGACGGCAAAAACTACCTATTAATAGCGTTAACTTCGACCTTGCAGCAGTTCGTGTACCTCGTAAAGTTCATCCACACGATACCCTTGGCAGTAACGACGCCTGAGCAGGGAGCAGCAAGCAGTCAGCGGTGAGCAGTGAGCAGTGAGCAGTGAGCAGTGAGCAGACTTTCCGCCGAAACGAGTGATGGAAGCCGAAGAGAGCTGGGCACCGACGGTGGGCTGGATGTGATGCGATGCTCCAACGGCCATTGCCATCGCCGTGGCTGTTGCTTTTGCTTTTGGTGTTGCTGTTGCTCTTGCTGTTGCCTTTGCCTTTGCCCTCGCCACAAGTCTGCTCCAATACTCACTCTCAATGTCGCGTCAGACAGTTCAAGTCTAATAAGCAGCCGACTCTCGTAGATCTACACACACACACACACACACGCACACCACATAACACAGACAGTGCACACAGATACACGCAAACATAAACAGAAGTTGACTGTGCAGACACCCGCATCCGTAAGATACTCGTACATTTGTACGTATGTATGCATACACTCGAATAAGTAAAAGTGATGAAATGGGGCTGGGAGGGCTGTTCGTTGGCTTTCGATTTTAACTGTTCTTCGCTCGGGCGGCTGTGGGCGGAGGGCCGCTCCTGCTGCACGCTTAGAGCCAAAGGTCATCCAGTCCAAGTACTCATACACTGACAAGCCACATTAAATGCATATACAATATTTTTGCAATAAAGATACAAATGTACTATAAACAGAAGTCAACGACGTCTCACTAAATACATGTGTCCTTATGTGCGTCTTGTGTGTGTACAATATATGTATGTACATATATCTACGTATAGTAAGTAATACGCAATTGAGTTTGGCGTTCGTGACGCTGCTTCTGCTGCTGCTGCTGCTGGCGGAGCCATTGCCTCCACTCCCCCGAGTCCGCACTAATAACCGTAAAAAACAAACTGCTAAGCAAGGTCAATGCACCAAATGTTCTATGAGTTTGTACGCGTACGTCTGTGTGTATATGTGCACACAATCGGACATTCCATTTCATTGCTAATATTATATATTCTTCACATGTACATATATGTATATTTCAAATTGCATTTGGAGTCCTTAAGAAGAGGTTCTAGATATGTTCTAGAAACGATGCTGGGTGATGATCAGATCAATCGGATTTTGATCACGTTTACCCCTACCATATCAAGTTTTTGATCAGCATGGAAGTGACGCTGCTATCATATGACACGAGTTTCGGTATCGGTCAGAGTGTAATATCATGATTGGTACTCTTAATCACCTACTATTCGTGTGTACTGCACACAAATGCATATAAATAAAGACATACACTCTCGCATGTACATACGTACGTATTTCCTACACGACAAATGCAAGTGAGTCATCATTAAGGGAAGCGAATCGCGGGTACGACCGCCCCGTAAAAATATGCATGGGTGCAAAAAATAAATAAAAGAAACTGCACTTCCACTGAATCCATGGATGGTAGCACTACCCATGTCTAGGGATACATCAGAAGGGTATTCGGTCATGATCGATACATACATACATACATACATACATACATATCGTCCGCGGAAACTAGTATTTCATCATAAGAACACACAGCTGCATCCAGCCCTACGTCAAAAGTTAAATAAATACCATGATATTGGTACGCATTCGTATACATATTCGGTTACTAATCTTGCTTAATTGTTCTGCCATATTTGTGTTTGTAAACAAAGAAATAATCGCAAGAGAAATAGAATCTAATCTACAGGAAATCTTATCAGTCAAACTTTTTGTTGATCTGTCCAGTCTGGAAAAATAATAAGCACACACACACATGTAGAATACGAGTATAAATGTAGGCCTTTTGCCCAAAAATATCTGCAAAATTTTCTTAGGGCTTATCTATGTAAGTGTTCAGTTTCCCCATAAGAGCCGATAAGGAGTGCATCATTAACTTACTTGAGTTGCATCTGAATACGGGGTACTGGAATTGACAGGCACCCGTGCCGAACCAAATACCACATCTGCGTCGAGGACTATGACTGTCATTTTGGGAGTGCCCTGTGCTGGAGATCTTTCGTTGTCCATGCTGGATCTGGATCTGGATCTGGATGTGGATGTGGGTGTGGGGGGGTTCGGTGCAGCTGCAGCTGCAGCAACAGGCGAGGGCACAGGCACAGGCAGAGTCCCAGCCACAGCCGTCGTCGAATGAGTAATAGCTTGCTCGCTTTGTGTTTTACTTGTTGGTGTCCGTATCCGTATCCGTATCGGTTGAGTTGGGGCTGGGTTTATTGGGGTGGTTGCAATACTAATAGCAGGCCCGTTGGTAAGCGAATCGGTATCCGTATCGGTGTTGGTGTTGGTATCAAGAGTTCCCTGAGTTGGCTCAGCTATCATCTTTCCACTTGTATCTCAAATTTGCAGCGTGTGGGGCGCTGTGTTAGTGGGGTGCATCGCACAGTTAGTTTTCCGAGTGCGTTCGTCTAGATCTGCAGCAGCATTCGCAGTAGTAGATACATATTTGTGGGTCTGGCTGGCAGTGGTATTGGTATTGGTTTTGGTTTTGGATTGGTTTGTTTGTGTGCACTCGTCGTAGCTGTAGATGGAGATGTTGATGTAGCTGGAACTGTATAGCTGGTGATAAGGTTCGGCTCTTCCAATTTTATCGGGTATTATTAAATAGAGCGGTTAGCATTTTAACCGCACATTACCCTGTGCTGTGCATGTTTATGCATGTAACTTATGTACGATTATGTATTCGTAGTCGCCTGCCCGATCGTGCTGTTTCATTTAACAATATACTCGCGCACACACAGATACTTTGCTCTGTCTTCTTTGATTGTGAATGTGAATGTGTGTGCTCAAGGTGAAACTGGTTCCTCGTTATTTATTTATTTTTTGTTTTGTGTTTGCAATATTCCAAGACTCACGTTCGCTTCGCGTTGCGTCTGTGCAATGGTTTTATACTTATGTACATATATGTGCTTATACGTATATGTATATGTATATCTTTAGTTTTTTATGCACACTCTCAGCTGAGCATTATATTAATTTATACATAAATGCACTGTATTTAATAGATTGGATTGAATTGGTTACCAAACACAGACACACACACACACACACCCAAACACACACTTGTGAAATGTTAGTTTTACGTACTGCAGTTTTGTTGAATTTTATTTTGGATATTCCTCAATGTTATCACGTTATCGTAGAATTTTCTCACAACTTCCCAGTGCAATGGGAGACCAATTGCGTATAAGTATCTCGGGTACTAAACGGGGTTTGGTTTATTTTATTCTAGTGTTTTTCGTTTCAATCACAATCTGATGTATGCACACACGTTCCTGTTATTGTTACAAGATTCAGTTCTCCTCAACTGAGCTGAGCTGCAGTTGAACTGCGTGATAGTCGGGCTAATCGCGGTCTGGTACTGTGCGCTGTGTAACTGTGTTATTATTTGGTGTCTCGGCTCACTACGGCTACGGTTAGTGCTGCTGGGTGGTTAGGGGACGGGACGACGGAACAGGCGAACGACAGTGTCGCGACAGCCAGGGCATTTCTTGTCCTGGTCAAAACATCGGCAGCAGCAAATAAGCCAGTCAGTACTGCGCCCGCACAAGACATCCAGCGCGACGAAGATACGAGTTCAAGTGAAGCAAACGAACGACCCGAGCAAATAAACTACGCAAAAGATTTTACGTTTTTACTTTTTTTGTGCATATACTTATTATTTTTTGTTGTACTTATTTCTTATGCGCTCTGCTACATGCACGGTGAATATATGTAAATATATATGAATATATGTGCATATATGTATGGCGCATATATATGTATTATATTTTGTCCCCGACAACGGCGTCTTGATCACTCACAGCTGTTCGGTTCGAATGAACAGACTGCAAAGTTTACGACTTGAATCCCTCGCATACGAGCACACAAAGTACACACACACACACGCACACTGTTTGCGAGCTGTGCATTTATTTTGCTAAGCAGTGAAGAGGGATAGAGCGAGAGCGAGAGCGAGAGAGCAGGTTGTGTATTCTTGTTTGTGTTTGTGCCCAATGACTCTCTCAACCAGACTTATTTCCTCGACCAGCCAGTGACGCATCGAAGTTGATTTGGGGCTCCAAAAACATTTTCCATATATTTTTGTGGCCACAGATATAGTATTTAAGCATATTAATGCTAAATAGTTATTGTACTTTGTTATACTGGGCAGGTGTCCCTAAATGAACTCTCCAATTTATTGAAAATCAAAACTGCGTCTGATTAATCAGAACAAACGACCAACCCTCGATTCGGTCCTGTTGTTGACTCTCAACTGTTGCACCTAGCTGGTGTGAGTAACATGTGGGAGAGAGAGTGTGTGTGTGTGTGTGTATGTATGGAACGCGTATGAATCAGCTGTTTCGGTGTGTATTAATCATATGGCACACATAGATACATACATACACATCCAAAGATGTATACTCACAAAAAGCGAGAATACTGGCTGCGTACATGCATATGCATGTAAAATCTGAATAATACGTATTATAAATCCATATATATGTATAATAATGTATCTAATCGCATATATAGTATGTCCATATATTGATGTGGTTATGTATGCATATACATATAAGCAATTCAAGTTAATTATTAATGCACATAAATATATGTATATACATATTTACTTCAAAGCGATCTAAGTACATATATACATATACATATGGATACACATATGCTTGCATATGTGAATATGTATGCATCTATATCCCAGAATGACGCGGCGGAACAAGCACTTGCATTTTTTTACAGTTGCAGGTTTATACCTGCATTTTATACATTAAAAAAAAAAACAATAATTTTTGGTGTTTAATCGTGTTTGGACACGCGTGATTAATTTTTTGGTCATATCGCGGATCAAGTCACGTTTTTTTTGTACATTCCGTCAAATATGTATTATTAGGGCATTCTAAATATTCTATTCTATTCTAAATAGTTTAGTTTTTAAAAATTTTGCACGTCATAAAAAAAGATGATGCTTTAAATGGTTTCGGAATTCAAATTCATTTTGTTATTCTGCGATCACCTATGCGCATCCTGATAATGTGATAAATGCATCTATATGTGTGCATGCTTTTATGTAAATACATCTCTTCCTGTATCATATATTCTCATATAAATCCTCATCTGCTTAACCAGTTAAGGCAGGTTGACTTTTTTATGATTTGGTCGCTTGTTATTAATAATAACAATTAACACAAATAACTCTATAAGAACACATTATGTACTGTAATTATTAAAACCACGCAGTTAGACCAGATATAAAAATCTTATCGAAAGTTTTTTTTTATCAAGTTTTGCTTCGCCGAAAATCTACTATAAATGTATAATTTGGCTTGATTTTGCCTTGGTTAACATCGTCTCGTTATCCTGCACTCTAGATTGGACTTGAATTCCGGTGCAATACGATCATAAAATGGATTTCATGAAACAGCTGTTCATCACCTCAAAAATCAGAATCAGTTCTGTTATATGTTCGGTACAGGTATTACAAATAAATTAACAACATTTTTCAATATAGATATTATCCGATTATATGCACGAAGCTGTTTGAACTGGTCGAATTTGTTGGGTGTACAATTTATTCATTGTGAAACATTATGGAACTATCGATAACCGAACTTGAAGCGGGTAATAGGCTCTGCACACTGAGCCCATCCCGGGGGAACGGTGGGATTTTTTGATGGATGTGAAACTCCGATTCACACTGGCACCATCCACAATGAGGCAACAATGAGTCCTTGTAAATTATGCAAATTAGCCGTTGAAAAGGTCAACCCATATTCACGTGGAGCAGATTCAGAATATTGTTCGGCGATAATTGGATACCTTAGAATCCAATAAAAGTAAGTATTTCTAACAATCCAGTCAAGTAGAAAATAGGTTCATTTGATAAAGTTATAGTTTCCAATCTTTGGTGGAGAACAATTTACCCAATTACAATCGGTAAAATTTACCGCCATTTACCTCAAGTAGTTGAACTATTTAAATAGAGGGGGCTTAGGTGGGCTAAGTTCGGTTTTTCATCGTACGAGACTATATATTGTTGTTGAGAAACCCGAATTTAGGCAAAAACAAACCAATTTAAGTATTTAAAAAAAGCCAATCAAGTAGAAAATAGATTCATTAATTGGATCAAATTATGTGGGCATGGCTGAACGATCTAACTATTTAGTTAAATTAAATTAAATTGAATTCGTTATTATATTTACGGTATATTTTTAAAATACGACGGTATATTTCGGTGCTGTTCTGAGGGTCATACTGTAGAAATACTGGTTTTCGCCGCGCTCCCATGGTATTTTTGTCAATTTCATCAATCTATTAGTTTAATTTTCAATTTTATATAAAAATGCAATAAATGCAAGTATTTCGAATAGGCCAATCATGTATAGAATTGATTCATCAATCGTATAAAATTATCTGGGCAAAAATAAGAGATCTATATAGCTGGGAATATTCGACGGAAGAAAGATTAACCAAGAAATAGTCGTCATAACCGGTTCACAACAATGAGTCCCATTCCATGCACACATACCCTGGGGGAAATGGATGTTATAGAATTGAGAAAATGTTTGTCATCCAAGACTCCGTAGGTATCAGGATCGACATAAATATATACAAGATACTAATAATGTACATGAATATGTCTAAAGAATATCAATTTGAGAAAAGGTCTTTATAAATCACGTTTCATCTTCATATAAAATTAACAAAATAGGGTATTCCAAGGCCTATACTAGGGCTTTAGCGACTTTTTTTTTGTTGAACTATTTTGTTTAAACCTTGTTTTAGTCAAAATACAATAAAAGCAAGGACTAAAAACTAACCAATTGTGTAGAAAATTGATTCATTAATCGTATAAAATTATGTGGGCATGGCTAAATTTTCTTTATAGCTCGTAATATTCAACGGAAGAAAGAAAACGAGGAATATGTAAAATATAACTTGAATTCATCAGTATATTTACGGTATATTTTTAAAATGAGACGGTATATTTTGGTTTTATTCATGAGGGTCAGTTTCATCGATTAGTCCGCGGTCACACTGGAACACAGTATTTGTAACATATAAATCTGAATTTTTGTTGAACTATTTTGTTTAAACCTTGTTTTAGTCAAACTACAATAAAAGCAAGTAATAAAAATAAGCCAGTTAAGTAGAAAATTGATTCATAAATGGGCTAAAATTATGTGGGCACGGCTAAATGTTCTATAAAGCTAGTAATCATCAACGGAAGAAAGAAAACGAGGAATATGTAAAATATAACTTGAATTCGTCAGTGTATTTACGGTATATTTTTAAAATGGGACGGTATATTTTGGTTTTATTCATGAGGGTCTGTTTCATCGATTAGTCCGCGGTCACACTTAAAAGACGGAAGGTTAAGCAGTATTTGTAACATATAAATCGAACTATTTTGTTTAAACCTAGTTTTAGTCAAAATACAATAGAAGCAAGTAATAAAAATAAGCCAGTTAAGTAGCAAATTTATTCATCAATGGGTTAAAATTATGTGGGCATGGCTAAATGTTCTTTATAGCTCGTAATATTCAACGGAAGAAAGATAACGAGGAATATGTAAAATAAAACTTGAATTCGTCAGTATATTTACGGTATATTTTTAGAATCAGACAGTATATTTTGGTTTTATTCATCAGGGTCTGTTTCATCGATTAGTCCGCGGTCACACTTAAAAGACGGAAGGTTAAGCAGTATTTGATATTTTGTTTAAACCTTGTTTTAGTCAAAATACAATAAAAGCAAGCAATAAAAATAAGCCAGTTAAGTAGAAAATTGATTCATCAATGGGCTAAAAATATGTGGGCACGGCTAAAAGTTCTATATAGCTGGTTATATTCGACGGAATATGAAAAACGAGGAATATGAATAATAGAACTTGAATTCGTCAGTATATTTACGGTATATTTTTAAAATGAGACGGTATATTTTGGTTTTATTCATGAGGGTCTGTTTCATCGATTAGTCCGCGGTCACACTTAAAAGACGGAAGGTTAAGCAGTATTTGTAACATATAAATCGAACTATTTTGTTTAAACCTAGTTTTAGTCAAAATACAATAGAAGCAAGTAATAAAAATAAGCCAGTTAAGTAGCAAATTGATTCATCAATGGGTTAAAATTATGTGGGCATGGCTAAATGTTCTTTATAGCTCGTAATATTCAACGGAAGAAAGATAACGAGGAATATGTAAAATAAAACTTGAATTCGTCAGTATATTTACGGTATATTTTTAGAATCAGACAGTATATTTTGGTTTTATTCATCAGGGTCTGTTTCATCGATTAGTCCGCGGTCACACTTAAAAGACGGAAGGTTAAGCAGTATTTGATATTTTGTTTAAACCTTGTTTTAGTCAAAATACAATAAAAGCAAGCAATAAAAATAAGCCAGTTAAGTAGAAAATTGATTCATCAATGGGCTAAAAATATGTGGGCACGGCTAAAAGTTCTATATAGCTGGTTATATTCGACGGAATATGAAAAACGAGGAATATGAATAATAGAACTTGAATTCGTCAGTATATTTACGGTATATTTTTAAAATGAGACGGTATATTTTGGTTTTATTCATGAGGGTCTGTTTCATCGATTAGTCCGCGGTCACACTTAAAAGACGGAAGGTTAAGCAGTATTTGTAACATATAAATCGAACTATTTTGTTTAAACCTAGTTTTAGTCAAAATACAATAGAAGCAAGTAATAAAAATAAGCCAGTTAAGTAGCAAATTGATTCATCAATGGGTTAAAATTATGTGGGCATGGCTAAATGTTCTTTATAGCTCGTAATATTCAACGGAAGAAAGATAACGAGGAATATGTAAAATAAAACTTGAATTCGTCAGTATATTTACGGTATATTTTTAGAATCAGACAGTATATTTTGGTTTTATTCATGAGGGTCGGACGGAAAATCTTTGCGATAAATAAAACGTGTAAAATATATTTTCGTAACTGGACAACATATGTGTATATGCAAAAACAACGCAGTGCAAGGCTACAATTGTTTAAAAATCTACTCGGAAAGGAACTGATGAGAAATATACGTAACATTTCACAACTTGGATGCATGATTTCATTCTATATTCCACTTGAACAAATTCATCAGTAATCATGTATAAATCTGCCTCAAATTAAAGTTGGCTTTGGAAAATGCCACCCAAAACAAAACACAAGAAAATGGCTTTTCAAAAGGAATTCCACACGCAAACTTGTGTTTTGAAGAATAGATGTCGAAATTTCACACCCTTATGGGAACGTTGCTTGACTATTTCCTCCTCTTTGTTCTTCGAATGATTGGCAGCATGAGCTCCCCAATATACGAGCACTACCGATGCGCGCCGTCGCGCCAGCATGCTGGATCATTGTGGACACCTAACAATATGCAGGAATCAGAGCCAGCGCCTTCGCTTGAACAGCGAACGGGTACGGAGAACCTGCTCATGGATGCACTTGAGCCAGAACCTTTGGCCAACATGTTCAATTCTCTCCAATTGATGGCGATTAATGTTGTCAACCAAATGCAAACGGCCTTGCAGAAACGAGCGACGTCGAAGGTGTCAACAAACGCTGCAATGCCCGGGCTCGATGCGTTTCATCAATGCGAACCGTCGTCTTCTTGCTACTTTTTTATCGATCTGCGAAACACTACAAACCGCTTTAAGGACTCTCAAGAAGAGTTTGGCAATAGCACTAGTCATCTATCCAACGACAAGAACAATAATGCTGATGACACGGCTGGTTCATCTGCTAAGAAGTCTATGCAGCGGCAGAGGAGTATTTCGGAATGCAGCGATAATAGTTTTGATATTTGCTTCGAGGACGATGACGAAAGTAGCGTGCAACACACAGCATGCAGCGATGATGATGAGGATTACGAACAGTCTGAGGTGTGTGAGTGCAGCAACGACAGCTCGACAACAAACAAAAAGGTATTGATAGAATTCTTCATAAATATAAATGCTCTTGATCCTTAAATTTGTGTCTTAATAGGTGCGTTTCAACTTGAAGCCCGAAGTACATGTTATGCTCGCCTGGGACTTTGCTTATCGGGCAGCGCGGAAGAGCGAGTGGCAAGTGATGGCTCGGGATCGTTTCCGATTCCAGCAGAGGATACATCGTGTAGCTCCAATTCTAAATCCCATCCTGACTCCAAATCACAGAGAACAAGTCTACAAGGCTCGATTCCGCAATGTAGAATAATTCGTTTTATATTTTGTATTCATACCTGAATTATTCGTTGATGTAAATATTACAATTTAGCCAGATTACGATTACGACATTTATTAAGCACACTGTTTGAGTAATCAATGTATCCGCTGAGTTTGTGATTGACCTTTTCCAAGCCAAAAAATATTCAACCTGTAATGGCTAGCACGTCAAACGAAATTTCATTTTGCTTTTCCGCTAATATTTAGTACCATAAGGAAATTGGATTTGTTGATAGAGGGATAAGATAATATTAAACTGCTAAATAAAATAAGTTTTAGATGTATTTTTTATAGCGTTACTGTGTCTGGAAACCAAAAGGTGCACCCTTTCATATACATATATTACATAAATAACCAAAAACCATTAACTAACAAAGCCAAAAGTTATATATTTCAAAAAGTAACGACTTCATTTTGAGCGGAGTGACTCTTCATAGAAGAGAACACTTGAAAAACAGTCTGATAAGGTGCGATTACGGTTTGATAAGAGAATCGATTCTTCTAACGTTGAATTTCATAAATGTTATCATTTGTATGAACTGATTTCTTCATTCGTGTGCGTACTATTCATTATTCAAAACGCTCCCGATTTACTTGGCCAATTGATAAACTCCACCAGAAAATAGAAGCTTATGTTCTCTAACTTTACGCTGCAGGAAGTGTTTAAGCTCGTCTTGAGTAAACTCCACGCCACCACTATGCGAGGCAAAGAGTTTTAGCATCTGATGGATTCGATCGATGGGCATGGAATCGAGGTTCGTGAGCATGCCCACAATATAGGACCAAAATACCTAAAGTAATTTCCAATTAAATAATCTGTTTGAATAGAGTCTGACCTGCACTTACTTGAAGTTCCTCCTCCCTTTGATCGCTAGCAGATGCCATGGCCGACTCCAGATCTTCATCGTCGGCCTCGGCAAGACTCATTTCCTCAAACTGTGACTTTTCAGTTTCCTTTTCTAGAAGTGTAAATAGTCCCGGGGAAGATTCTGAAATCAAACCATGATTTTGCCAAAAACTTATCCGACGCCTGAGCGCTGATGCAGGAACTTTTGTGATTGAACTAAGTTCCTCAATGGTCCATTCACCTGTTGAGATTGGTTTTTTTAAAATGGATTTCTGATAGTTCTTTTCAATGGCATATTCCTTACTCTTGTTCTGGAAATGGTATATGATCACGGCCAGCGTTGGGCTCACCACCATGTCCATTGTTCGGTCTCCGATTTCAATAACAATATTGACGCGACCGGTTACCGTACGCCAGTTGAGAGTACGGTTTCCCTTGTACCCCTCATAGGCCTTGGTATACTTTTTGAACTCATTCTCGATTTCCTCTGGCAACTGAAGACTCTCCTTGTTAAAGGATGGCCAAAACTGTGCAGATACAATGAGCGAAGAGATGTCAAACATCTGATCTAAAATAGCAGTAGTAATAATGCTAATACATCTGATTAACTTCGATTGATTGATTGGCTGCTACTCACTTTCATTGCTATTGCCATCGCCGTGAATGTGCGCGTTGATTCGCTTTGAATCGGTTACGTCCTTCAACATCACCTCGCAGCTGTGCAAAAGCGATTCCCCAAAGCGAATTTTCAACAGTTCTAGATTTCGAATTTCCTTTTCTGAATTAAAATCGAGGTGTGCGAGCAGTCTGTCTGCCATCAAATTGCGATATTCAGTCATAAATAGCTCTTTGCTTCCATATATATCAACCACCATTGATATGATATCAGCGGATCGCATTATCTTTGAGTTGTTGTATTTCATGAGATTAGCATCTATTCCAAATGGATCCGGTTCCCAGTTCTCCCAATTGCTGAACTCGTCGGGGCCAGACTCCTTGCCATCTTTGATTGACTCCCCTTTGGCCAATTCTTCGGACAAGTCGGTTGGTCCCTCTTCTGTAAGTCCTGTTACAACGCGTCGAACTGTGTCGCTGCGTTTACGCAGATAATCTTTGATCGGGGCAGTAACCATCTCCAAAATTACCCCAGATTGGTCCAAATGACGAATTGCTTTTATGGCGGCTACGTATCCAGTTAATATATCCATCGTATTAACCCCAGGATGGAGAATTCTGGCTTCCAACGAGCTTCTCAGTGACTCCGTTAAGTAGACTCGCATATCAATTTTCTCCATACAAATCTTCAAGTCATCTATGGCTGGTATTGAATCTGGATAGTCTGCGGTACAAATGTACATGGTTTTATGTGTAAAGATAGGAAAGGAATGAATATATAATAACCTACCAATTATAATACTGAAGAATTGGCCAATAACGCTCTGGGCAAACGTTTCGTACATATAATACGTGAGTTTGACTTTAAAGGATTGAACAGATGAGGGAACTTCCAGTTCCTTCGCACTATCTTTGGTTTGCCAATCTGTGAAAATGCTCTTCAACCATGTCATTATAACATCTGCCAGCCACTGTAAAGGATATCCTACAGTTAGCACAAGTTAGTCTCCAATTGGAGGACTGCATGGCCTACCTTTTCCAGTTGCTTAAGGTGACTTCTATCAAAAATACCCTGGCACGTGTCGTTTATATGCTCTTTGATTTTGAGCTTTATGAGGGATGTTAAAGCACTGCCAGTCAAACGATCTATTAAGTTCATCTCAAACAATTTCATATTGGTCTTGTTCACCATTTCAGTAAGTCGTAGACAGCAGCACTGCTCTACGTCGAAATTGCAACCGACGCATAACAGTTCGTCGAATACCTCAGAGTCTACAAATTATAAATCATAAGCCTGCAAAGTAAATTATCCATAATTTTGTATGTACGTACCGACTGTTGTTAAAGCAAGATGCGAAGCTTTGGTGTAGAGTTTGAAATGAACCCAATAGAAGGCTCCCACAACCACACTGAATGCTGGTGGCAACTGGGATAACAACGAATCACGCAGGTAGGATTTGATGGAATCTTCGTGCAATAATTTCGCAGAGCTTAGGCCTGAACTGATTTCCGGGTTCATAAGACGTGCAAGTCGGGGTTTAACTTGCATTAAAATGTTAAAGCTATGATACAGCTCGTTAATAGCATCAATGAACTGGGTGAACAATTTGTTCTTATCCGGAAGGGCTTCTATTACTAGCGCTTGGTCTTGTATGCATGTTTGCAGATCTGTTGGTACGCTGTCTCCTTGAAAATGCTTCCAGAATTTGGGCGAAAGTACATTTCGAATCACCGACTGAATTTCTAGATCCAAAATTGCCGCAAATGTGTCAATGTTGCCCAATTCCTGTAGGTGCCGGCGAACATTCTCGTACACCGCATCTTCAACCGGCTGAGAAGGCCCAGGGCTCTGTGAAAATATGCAAATAATAAAAATATCCATGCTATCAATAACAAAACCTACCCCACCACCCAGAACTGGAAATATTTTCAGCACGTCCAGCCACACAGCATCAAAGTCGCACATCTTATTCTATTAAAAAATGTAAACAATAATTTGCAGACCAGGTGAAAAAGCGAACTTAGCACACTAAGTCCCCCTATATTTAAACAGTTCAACGACTTGAGGGAAATGGCGGTAACTATTACTGATTGTAAATTATTTTTGCAGATCCATGCCATCTTTCCTCTGAACCTCCAAAAAACAGGATTTCTTTCACCTGAACAGCGCAAAATTATTTAATTTATATATTGTTCGGTGGAATATTAAAATACCTCTTGGTCTACAATGGGTTAATTGTTCTCCGTCAAGGATTGGAAACCTGATGTTAGATTTGATTTTACTACCTAGGTAGGACTTTCATACCTGAAAACATAATTTTTCCCGATTGATAGATCAACTTTCACAAGATTTGCTAATTCTATCTACTGCCTTTTATTGAATTTTTTCTAGAAAAAGTGTTTTATCGAAAAAGGTTAAACAAAAGGTCTAAAACAAGGTTAAAAAAAGTTATACAAAAAATAGTGGCAACGGAATTTGAAATCACCTCGGGGAAGAGAGTATACCATCGACTTTATACGAGAAGTGCTCGCCAAATAGAAATTGTTTGAAAGTGAATAAGTGAATAATAGATTGATAATATAAACCATCAATATAACTTCAAAACAATTTCGTTATGGAAATATAAATAAAGGTATATAATATACCGTAAATGGTAACCCTGCAGAATAGTGTAAAAATAGATCGATACTACGGTATCACTATCGATATGCTCAAGAAAAATTCAAATACCTATTTTAATTTCCTGCGTGAAGAATATTTTAATTACCATTCGGACATAATTCAACGTATGGAATGATCGTCCCACTGTACATTTAAGCATGCAGATCAATTTACTAAGTTCATTTGAAGTTTGAAGACACAGATATACTGACTATGTAGTATATATATATTCTTTTAATGTAAACATCCCAGTCCAAAAGGCAAACATTTTAAAAATACATACATCTTAATGTTCTGATAAACACAAATTCATTTAAGCAAAATTTTCATATGAAATACAGAGAGAAAAGTATTTACACACATAAAAGTTACGATTTTACAGAACCAGGAATAAATATTTATAGGAATATTGTTAAATTGCAGAATTATTTATTTTTATTGTACTGTGTGTCACCCAACACACGCCCGTTTTAGCCAATATAAATTGGGATGCCAATGGCTTTGTAACTTATTGAATATTTAAGAGACTATCGTATTTTCAAATGCGTCTGTTGATGCTTTTTCAAGTGATCGCTTCGTACAAAGCGTCGTAAGCATTGAGGACAGGCATAGGGCTTTTCGCCCGTGTGCGTTCGTATATGCCGGTTAAGATCATCCTGCCGTTTAAATCGCTTTTCACATTGTCGGCAGCGAAAAGGACGATCTTGCACAAACTGAGGTATACCATAGGTACTAGGACCATCCTGTGGCGGCAATTGAGACAGTGTATTTACAATTTCGTCGGCAGGCTCGTACTTGACCTCAGGTTTGGAGTTAAGGAAAGATGGCAACTGACTTTCAGGTAAAGGTGCTACAATCTGGTACTTGTCACTATGCTCGGGTCGTTCCAATTTGATTTTCAGTGGCTTGTGCTGAAAATCAACTATATCCGCAGGCTGTTGTTGATGTCGGTCTATGTTCTGCTCCCCTGTACCCAGCACAGCCATGAAGTGGAACCCCGACTCTGGCTCTGATGTTTGTTTCCTGGATGATTTTAACCGAACATTGTTGGGTATCGAACGTTTAGGAGTGCTGCTCTTTAGTTGCCGGTCATGTGTGGCCAGGTGCTTTGTTAGGTGATCACTGCGGGAGAACTTCTTGGTGCACTGCACGCACTCGAAAGGCTTCTCCCCCGTATGGGTGCGCAGGTGCCTATTGAGTTCGTCCGATCGGGTGAAACCCTTTCCACATTTGGGTTCGCTGCAAACAAACGGCTTGATGCCTGTGTGCCATGTGAGATGGGAGCGCAGGTGAGAACTTTTTCCATAGCTTTTCGTACAGTTTTCGTAGGGACAAACGAATTTTCGTTTGGGGTCAGCTGCATGTGGAGTAGCTAGTAGTTTGATGGTGGGCATTATGCGAATTTTAGAATTCCCGGTGTATTGTGAACCATCTCCGTTTGAATTCCGGTTATTCTCAGTCTCAACTCCGTTGTGTACATTTTCGAGATCCAATGGCGCCGAATCATGCTTAAGATCGCCAAAAATGGTCGAGGCTCTAAGTATTATATCTGACGCCTGTTCATTTAAATGTGTGCCGACTGCTAGTGTCGGAAACGCTGGTGGTGGTTTCATGGATTCTATAGGCGTTAACGTTGATGTCGTCAGCATTTGGGGTGTGGGCGTGTTTGCTACTACTTGTGACATTACGCTCACGTTTGAGTTTCCTTAAAAGCCGAAATGTGTTCCGTATCCAGTCTGCAATTTCAAACCAACACATATATACAATCAAATACAAAAGGGGCAGTTTAATTATTTACATTACCCTATTTATATTTGTCCAAAATTCATGAAAAGGAAATTCTGCTCAGTGGGCGTCGGCCGTATTTATCAGTAAAATGGTCCCTCGTCACCATAGCCAGCACGGATAACGATTTAGTTTTGAATTGCATGTGCCGTACACAATTTTTTATAGATTAAAACCAGCAAAAATACATATTCAATATAATTTAATTTAACTGTATTTTTTATTTTATTTATATCTGCAGAACATTATATAGCGATGGTTGTAGAGTTGCATGACGATATAGCGACCAATTGACTGACACTTATTGATGGCACTTGAAAACTATCGATAGAACTCAGAGTCAAGTCAGGTGCTATAGTTATAATAAATATTATTTCGGCTGTTCAGGTAGTGTTTGGCCACAGATTTGCAGGTTGAAAGTCTAAAACTCTAAATTAAATTAAATATGTATGGTATGGAACAAAATATTGAAACACCTGCGACTTGTGTCATCGATAGCTATCGCAATAGTTTGGTTTGGTGGAAGGAAAAATCAAAACATTCATGGACTAATTAATTAAATAAATTATCTTAAAATGTCTGCACCTTTTGATGATGTCGGATGTTATTCCCAAGCTAAGAGACAGGGCCGAGTGCGGCGCAAGCCAACCATATGGAGCCGCGAGAAGATTTCCAAACTAATCCAGCTGTACCGAAAATCGGATTGTTTATGGAACCACTACTCGGATTTGTATAAAAACAAAGATTGTCGCACGAAGGCGACTGAAAGCATTTGTTCATCTCTTGGAATCACCAAAAACGATTATGGGAAAAAAGTGCATAACTTGCGAAATCAATTCAATTCAGAATTGAAAAAGTTGGAGCGTCGTCAGGAGGAGACGGGTGGTGATTCCAGTCCCATGGCTGACAAGACGACTTGTCGGTGGGAACATTTTCAATCTCTGATGTTTTTGCGCTCTATTATTGAGCCGAGACCTGGATATCAACAAAATGGACCTGCACAATGCAAGGTGAGTAGCCTAAATATCACCGAAGTATTCTCCTTCTAAATTCATTCTTGTTGGCTATTTTAGAAACTGAGTGCAAAACTGAAGGGCGTCAGTAACGATGGAGAAGAAGTAGAAACACAAAGCCCATCTTTAGTATCGAAAGGCCAATTCGAGTCCATGGACCAACTGGTCACTGTTGTAGACGAAAGTAAAGCGCATCAAAGCATCTGTGAAACAATTGAAACGTGCGTTCCTGAATATGCATCCACTATCCTATCTGCACCGACCACTTGCACAAGCTCTATTCCAACACGACAAGTAGATGCGTCAGGAACGGTGTCTGTCCCAGCACACGTCAGCATTGCACGGGATCAGTGGGACTCGTTTGGTGAACTAATAGCTAATGAATTTCGCAACCTGAATTCGGACATTTCACGCAAGAGACTTAAACGGAAAATAATGCAAGTTATGCTGGAAGTCGGAGAAGAGGATGATAGAGAAAATGCTGGACCCAATAGTTGACATATGTACATGTTACATGTTAAACAAAATAAATAAGTATCTATAGATAAATAAGCTGCATTTTATTCGATAAATGAGAGTGGGTACATAAATCCAACATGACCTAATATTATTAAAGCATCAAAACGTGGAATACGGCGTTGTGCTCATGGGAATTCATAGAGCTGAGGAAAAATAGATATTAGAGTCAATGAAATGGGTAAACATTTTTCTCTCGCTATGGTGGAACATACATTTGTCAGAACTTTAAGTCCTTAATTGCCTGGGGCAGATCGGGTAGCTTTATATCTTTAATCTGTTGAGGAATGTTCATACTCTTTACGGCGCTAACGGCTCGAGCAGGAGCTGCTGAAATACCCGCCTCCTGTTTGACGATCTTATTCTGCTCCTCAATTCTTGCCATTATATCATTCATATTTGTTTGGAGCACCATCCCACCCATAACCAATTCCGATAGAATATGATGTACGGCATCAGCATGGAATATTAAATCCAGTTCACAAACGTTCTCAAAGCACTTGTCTAGTGTTTCAACAAACACTTGTATCAAGTCAAGAATACCCAGTTCGCTCTCTGAAGAATCCACACAGAAGACAAAGTACAATGTGGCATAGTGGCGGTATATCAGCTTATAGTCCGATCCACCAATCAAGCTATTGGTAAGAACAAATTTTGTTAGCCACATACTATGTAAATATGTACGTCCACGGAGGACTTTGGGATTTATAGAACTCACCTGCCGCCTTCTAGAAAGTTACAAACATTATCGTCTCTCTTGGAGACAAGCTGAAAAGTCTCTTTAATGATTTGTTGCTGCAGATTCTCATCCTGGAAAATAAAATATAGTGTATAAAAACTGCAGTCGTCATAAGTGTACGAACGATTGAGTGCACAAGCACTGAGGGCACAGTTGATTCTAAAAGAGATAAACTTACGAAATATTGATAAAATTTGGAGAGCCTCGGCTTCCCATGGTTGTTAAATACAAGAATAGCTTTAATCATTTCTAATTGTTTAGTAGTTCCACAACCTGCAATGTTTGAGCAACCAGCTGTTTTCTTTCAAGATAGCTATCGAATGCTACGATACTTTCGCTTCCTTTCTATATTTTGTCCGAACCCACTACACTTCTTCACTACCCCTTTAGTCAGATAGCTTTATGACACTAGACTAAACTAACTTTGTTTGGAGCGAGAGACAGCATTAGAGACAATACGCAAAATTAGTTTTTGCAGCCGTCTCCGATTTGCAACAAAATTATGTGTTCTAGCCAAATTGGATCTGAAAAGTGAGACAGTCGATAAAAACGCACTGCAGATTCAGACCAGCCAAATTATTTTTCCATAGTATCAATTGATTTTTTCGTTTCACTGCTGATTCACTTCCACTATATCGACACTATAGGTTATTCAGATCCGGCCTTAGCTTGAAGTGCAGTAGAATACCACAAGTAACAGGTGCGTGTTATCGCCATCACTAATGTCACCCAACGTGGATTTGTTGTTTTGTTTATGCCGATTGATTAAAATTGATATGATTGAATTGAGATGAATGTTTTGACGAAAGTAAACTATACATGCAGGTTATGTCTCACAAGCGTACCTTTATGAGCCAGTATCAGTAAATTATCTATTGTACCTCCACAGAGTGAGTTCCGTGTTAAATAAAGATGTGAAGCAGTATGGAAAGCAATACATGTTTGATACGAACGATGATTCCGCTTGGAGCTCAGCTGAGGTATTATATAGTCTGCATCTTGAGACAGCACAAGTGTCTTTACCATATTCTCTTTGCAATTTTTAACTTTGGCCAGGGAACCCCTCAATGGATAATATTGACGCTGGATGAGCCACGCACTGTCAGTGGAGTGAGCTTGCAATTTCAGGGTGGATTTGCTGGTAAGCAGTTTACGGCTTTGGTGTATTCGTGTGAAGGAGATCCCACTTACCAAGAGACATTTTATCCCGAAGACATCAACTCTTCTCAGCGTTTTTACTTTAAGGATGTATCTCTTACAAAAAGTTGTTCGAAGATAAAGTTTGTATTTGAGTCTAGTTCAGATCTGTTTGGCAGAATCATTGTTTATAATCTTCAAATACTAAGCTAAATATTTTAATAAATTACAACTGTAGAAATTATAATAATAATCAGCAATCGGACAATGGCTATCAGGTTACTAAAAATATGTTGTTCCCAAATGCAGAGTCACAATTACCCAGAATAAGCTGCTATCAATTTCATCATTCGTTTCGGTAGATGGTCAGCGAACTAGTGGTACTAGCAATTCGCTATTCGACTTTGGGGCAAAGTTCAAGGAGAAGTTTTCGAGTCCATTTTCTGATTAACATGCCACCTGTCCTGCTTCTGAACTCGGCATGTGCCACACGCACTTTCTTATCGAAGATGACACTCCGAGCGAAGACTTATGTGCACATCAAACGAGGGAATCGCGTGATAATAAATAAATTAAAGTAAGTAATCATCATGTTAAAGCACCAAAACCATTTGTTTATTTGTCCAAAACCATTAAAAGAATTTAAGCCAAAGTTGAATATTTTGAATGCTTTGGTTAACTATGCTGCTACAGAGATTTCCAGACGCGGGCAGTTGGGGATACCACACTCGAGGTCGGGACACGTATCCTGGTGTCCGCAGCTCTCAGTGTTGCAGAACATGCAGCCGTTCGGTGACAGCGGAACATTTGTCGACAGATCAACCATTTGCCACACCTTCTTCAAGTCCGTAACTAGGGCGTTCATCATTTCGAAAGTATGAAAAGGTGTCGGAGCTAGTCGAAGTTTCTCCTGGCCGCGGGCAACTGTTGGATAGTTTATGGATTGTAGGTAGTGTCCAAATTGTTCGATTAGCATGTTTGAGATTTGGGTGCACTTCAATGGGTCCCCAAGTTTAATTGGGATAATGTGGCTGGGCGTGTCCTCTACTGGAAAACCTAAAACCAAAAAGTACACAAAACAGACAATTAGATCAGATGCATTTAGATATCATAAGATATTACAATGGTTTTTCTATTCATAGACAAAATAATTTAAAAATAGATTATTCAGAAAATAACCTTCAAATTACGTAAAGCGTAAAATTACACGTACCTTCTCTTTTCAGCAAGTTTTTTAGGTAAGAAACGTTTCGTTGGTGCAGACTACGAAGATGACGACCCTCATCCGAGGCCAGAACATTGACAGCTTCCAGAGCGCCGCAAAGCACCGTGGGTGGCAACGACGTTGTGAAAATAAATCCAGCCGCGTATGAGCGTATCATATCGACAAGCTTATCGGACCCTGCTATGTACCCTCCGATATTACCAAAGGCCTTTCCCAAGGTTCCAGATATGATGTCCATTTTGTGCAGCACTTCGTCACGTTCACCAACCCCGGCACCATGATCCCCATACAGTCCCACTGCGTGGACCTCATCAATGAACGTAATAGCACCGTATTCGTGGGCCACATCGAGCAGCTCTTCAAGTGGGCATATCGCCCCTGTCATGGAATGTACGGTCTCAAATGCAACGATCTTGGGAGTGCTTTTGTCCAATTGTTGTAAGAGAATGCGCAGATGGTCAACATCGTTGTGCCGGAATATGTGCTTTGGGACTCCGCTGTTCCGTATTCCTTGAATCATTGAGGCATGATTCCCAGCGTCAGAAAAGATATGACATCCTGGCAGAAGCTTGGCGAGCGTGAACAGCGTTGAATCGTTTGCCACAAAGCACGAGGTAAATAACAAAGCTGCCTCTTTTTGATGAAGATCGGCCAGTTTCTCCTCGAGTCGTTCATGATGTAAGGAGTTCCCCGAAATGTTCCGTGTTCCACCTGCGCCAGAGCCATGCATATTCAGAGCATCCTGCACAGCCCTTTTCACACTGGGATGTGCAGACATGCCCAAATAGTCATTGGAGCACCACACAGTAATTGGTCGCTCCGTCCGTTCGGAATATTCCAGTGCGTGGGGGAACAGCCCATCGCCAGCTAATCGGTTCACTTTCTTGAACACGCGATAGGAGTGGTCCCGTTTTTTCTTCATAATTTGCTCATTGAAGAACTTCTCGTAGGGAAATGTATCCCTAGCGGAGGCGACTGCCCTCTCCTTCTCATGGTTCCCTTTAACGTCACTCCCAAAGCGATTACTCTCGGTTGAGTATTCGCGTTTGGATAACGACCTTGTAACAGTTGCTGCATATGGCAATGAGGCGACAAGAGAAAGTTTTTTCTCACTCCCACTCAACGTCTTGCCAACCACGGGACAGTACATTCCATATGACTGACACAACACCTCCGCATAATTGCGGACGAAGTTAGTAGTAAATCTGTTTAAAAACGGACACTGCATGACGAAGCACTTCTCCAAACTGAACTTTGTTTAACTGATTGCGTGATTCTGATCGATCACAAAGCGCCGCTTCCGCTGGCTATTTGAAAGTAAAGTAAATTTAATGAAATTCAATTGCGAGTCTGTTACGTCGTTACCTAATGGTCGAAAAAAGGGGGTATGGACAACGGCCAAAATGGCTCAGAAAATGCAGTGAGCGCAAGGTAAAACCCACTCTACTTGCTAAATATACCATGGAGGCTATTTTATAAAGAGGGTATGGACAACTGGCAAGAGGGCCAGAAAATGAAACGTATGTAAGGTAAAGTCCACCCCACTTGCTAAATATACCTTGAACACAAATCGGCTTTTTGTCTTCAAGGTAAATTGTCCTTCAACCGCGAGGTGAGGTTCAATTGCAATATGCCATGTCTGTTTGTGCCTGTTGTCCATACCTTTTTTTAAAGCCTATTCGAAATCACGACATTTTTTTCGTTGCGAGAGCAACGTCAACCCGTCTCAGTTTAAAAATATACCGTAAATATAATAACGAATTCGAGTTATATTACATATTCTTCTTTTTTGATATTCCGTCGAATATTACTAGCAAGATAGATTTTTCTGCCCTGCCCACATAATTTGTTGCAATTAATGAACCTATTTTCTACTTGAGTGGTTTATTTGAAATACTTGCTTTTATTGGATTTTGATTAAAAAAGGTTTTAGCGAAAAAGGTCAAACAAAAAAGAGAGTTCCTAAAGCTCAATTTCGATATTCCGTTGAATAATGCTGACTAACTAAAACCCTTATTTTAGGCCATTGATAAATAAATTTTCTAAGAGATTAGTTACTTTTAAGTACTAATTTTTATTTTATTGCGCTTAAAAAAAGGGAAAGGCGAGAAGCAATTCCTCTACTAAGAGATGATATCGCAAAATAGAGAGCAAATCCCAAAAAAAGAGAGCAAGTCCCACCAAACTTGAGCGCCAAATAGAAATTGTTTGAAAGTGAATAAGCGAAAATGATTTAATTGCGATCCATTGGAATAAATGATGCATGCAATATACCTTTGAAATGAGATTCAATAGATTGATAAAATTGATCCAATATAGCATTTTATACCAATATACCATAATCGAGTGAACGAACTAAACCTAGTTTACGCCCCTCCATTTAAAAAGGTGAACAATTTGAGTGCAGACCGTGTGAGCAGTGTTTTCTGAGCCTGCATATCTATGTATATATGTATATCGATCAAAAAATTTATTATTGTGATCAATGGTCGGGTCAAACACATTTGTACAAACTTAAAACTAAGATAAGATACAACTAAGATAACTAAGATTCTGGCTTTATCTTCCTATTCCTATGCAAACTAAATTTGTCACATTAATAGTATTATACTTTTCAGCTTCCGTTTTATCTCCGTTTTCAACTCCAAAATAATCGGCAATATTTATGTTAAGACAAGAAAATAAATGATTATCAAACGCTCATGGACACAAATTAAAAAGTTGTTCACTACTTGTTTTGAACCAGTATGACGAGCACTCTGTGGATTAGGGCTCGTTAAATTTTATTGTGGAAATCTTATAAGTAATACATTGCAATACTCGTAGATACCATAAACAAGTGAGTAGCCTCCTGGGGAATAGCGTAGTTCTCGTGATTTGGAATTTCCTTTTGATTCGATTCAGTATTGAATTGAACAGATTAGATAAAGAAAACTGCCTACACATGAATGTAGTTGCAGTTTTGAGCTATACCTATCACGGGTCCTATTGCGTTATGGAATATCACTTTAATGTTTCTCTCAAAAAAGACGAAATGTGGAAAACTATGATAAATTTGATAGCTTTCGGAAAGGAACTTATAACTCTGTACATTAATACAGGGTATCCAACAGGCATGGCCCAAGCTCACGACATTCTTCATGCGGTGCACTATCGTCTCCAGGAAGAAGATAAGATGTTACAGGTGTTTGCCATTGCAAGTGGATCCACTCAAGGTGTCTCCGGCCTGAATTTTCAGAGCTGTGGATCATTATAAATAGACCTGCACCTGGCCCTACGCTACAGTTAACTGCAGGCTGTGACAGCACGCAATTTATTCCAGAAACCCCAAAATGGCAATGATACCCACTACCTACAACGAGAAGGATAACGTCTGGAGTGGAGCCAAGCGCAACTCCATATACAGCTATGACACGTCCGTAGGTAAAATCATTTTCAATACCATGAAGAACTGGCCCAAGAACGTGTGCCAGGTAAGAGTTAGCTGAAAAGGATCGTCCCGAAGAGACACACTTATAGATTATCTCTTCACTTCAGATATGCGATATTGATGGCGTGACAGTAACCTTTGAACAGGGTCTAACCTGGGCTATTCGGATTGCCCAGTACTTCAAGAAACGTGGACTCAACCACAAGGATGTAATTGGAATTGCAGCGAAAAACTCATCCTATGTGATGCCGCTGGGAGTGGGTTGTCTAATGAATGGAACACCATTTCACTCGGTCAATCCAGTGCTGGATGCAGGTGCGTTTTTCCATTCTGCACGTTAATGTTAAAACTCACTGAATTATCTGTAAATCCGCTTCTAAATGCAGCTACAATAACCCATGTGTTCTCGATAACTAAGCCGTCTCTGATATTCTGCGATGGCAATGAATACGAGAAGGTGCATGCCGCAACCATTGGATGGCACCCGGATATCTACACGCTCACAGACCACGTCGAAGGAGTCCCTAAGATTGAAACTCTTCTGGATCCCACAACGTCAGAGAAGATGTACCAGTAAGTGGAACTGCCTCATCCAAATAATAAAATATACAGAGGATAACCCAAGATGTTTCTTAGGCCGGAAAATTTGAAGGACGGAGGCGACCAGACTGTGGCTATATTGTGCTCCTCGGGAACAACTGGTTTGCCCAAGGCGGTTTGTATTTCCAACAGTAACCTCATACAAGACTCCATGTAAGTTTGAGAACCCCATTTAATCGCGTCCAAGGTGTGATCCTCCCTGTTCTACGTACGCAGGTTGGTCCACAGCGAATCGGTTATCTTCATAGCCAGCTGTCTGGACTGGATCACCGGCCTGTGGGCATTCGTCTTTAGCGCGGTCTTCGGTGTCACTCGCATCATTACCAATAAAGCCTTTTCCCCCGAATACTTTGTGTATTTGGTGAAAAAGTACAAGATTAACTATGCCGTGCTGCCGCCTCGCCATCTGTCGGCCCTTATCAGTTGTCCGGATGCCACCCCGGAAGCTTTGGCACCTTTAACGCATCTGAATTATGGCGGGGGCTTGGTTTCCACCACCACACTGCAGCGGGCCCAGGAGCTGTGCAAACGTGCCATGTTCAATTCCGGCTACGGAATGACAGAGGTTGGAGCTATAACGATCAATATTGGAATCAGCAACATCTCCTCGGCCGGCAGACTCATTCCAGGGGTTAGAATACGCATTGTCGACGAGGATGGCAAGAACATGACATACAATCAGGTTGGAGAAATCTATGTGCACACAGGTCAGGCCTGGAATGGCTATTACGGCAATCCAGTTGAGACACGGCGCATGCAGGACTTCGAGGGCTGGTTCCACACCGGTGATCTAGGCTACTTCGATGAGCAGAACTTCCTTTACATAGTCGATCGCAAAAAGGAGATCCTAAAGTACCAGGGCCTTCACTATTGGCCGACTGAGATCGAGAGTGTCATCTCGGAGCTGCCGCAAGTGCAGGACGTGTGCGTCGTTGGAGTTTACGATGAGCGGGAGGGCGATGCTGCCGGCGCCTTGGTGGTCAAGACCAAAGGAGCTGTAGTAACAGCAAAGGATATTTCGGATCACGTGGCCAAGCGGTTACCTGCAGTGCAAAAGCAACTGCGTGCCGGAGTCCAGTTCACCGACAAGCTGCCGGCCAATGTGAATGGCAAGACGTTGCGCAAGACGGCACGCGACGTTTTTGTTGCACAAAACGGGACCGGCAAGTGAGTTCTCAACGGTCTAACAAGTACATATATATATTCCTATATTTTGCAATCATAAGTGTGTCAGATAAGTTCAAAGAATAATATTCAGTTGGAGTGTTTTAGTTCTGAGCACTCGACAATACAGACGAACCTTTGGTCAGCAATAAAGTGTTCCTGAAACAGAAATAATCCGTCCTTTTTCATGCTTTGGCCTGGATTTGTAAAGACCAGCTATGATATCTCAGCAAGCTTGAGCTCTTAGGCATTGCTGATAAGATGCAGTTCTTATGAATGGGCTTCTATATCGGTGGGGCTTCTATCAACGCTCTCAAATAAGGAATTGAATCAATGACATACATATGTATGTGAAATGTGCACAAGAAAGAACGCACCTCTCACAATCGATGCACCGGTGAAGATAAGTTATATATGAGTTGATTAAAAAAACTCCACCCAATAGAAGCTTCAGATTTTTCGCACCAACAAAGTTTGGCAGGTATAATCTCCAGGATACAGATGTTCATGCATACGGACATGGTTAAATCTATTCTGATGTTGGAGACTGTTTTTTTGCCACATGTTCAAAGTCGAGTACCAGGTTAGTTTATCGACTTTAGACCTTGTTGTTTAAATTTGATCAATAATTTTATGAGCAATACCAGCAATACTTCTTTCCCAATTGTTAAGCTATTAAGATAAACGAAATAGCCGTACTGATGGGTAGATTTCACAGAAGTATTCGGAATCTTATTTTTGTATTGACTAAAACTATATATACCTTCGCTTGGCAGACACATTAGGTCCTTGATGCATATAAAAAGTATATAAAAAGAATGGTGTACAAAATATCAGAATGCCTTAAAATATACTTGTAATTACGAGTACACCAAACGTAGTTTATAGTTAATCAATCTTTAAGAATATCGTATTCTCGATTTCATTAAAAGCCCTACAAATTTGATGGTATATTTTTAGGCCGAAAAATACTCAAATACGACTTATTCGTACGTTGGTAATGAAATCTTTTGATTTCAATTGGGATTTACAGTTGTAGAGATAAGGCAAAGGCAAACGTTTTGGTTAAATTCTAGCTGTTTAGGACTGATATCAATTTGGATGGTGAAATGTATCTAAACAAATTGAAAACATTTTTGGAATCGAATGTCGTAGAAAAGAGCTTTTTCTAACATAGAACATAGAATGAGAAGTCTAAACAATCAAAGTGCGATAGCTTCAAGTATATAAAATTAGTGGACTATATGTAGGTTATGCACTGATAAGATATGTAAAACTGCTGAATAACGATTATGTGCATGTCTGATTTTACGTCTCTGTCAGTAGTAGGTATTTCGGATAAATATATTTTAGACTAGAGCTGCAAGCTCTTTGCTCAAGCGAAATAGATTATTTGCTATATGAATGCCCTGCTGGTGCAGGGTATCATGTAGTCGGGGCCTAGCGCAACAACAGGCGTCTTGTGATGTACTATCGACCTCAAACATTGATACAGTGCTCAGCCGTGGGTCCCTATAAATAGGTTCTTCCACAACAGAGAACGGCACAGTCGACAAAGAACGACAAAGTCGTTCTTGGAGCTCTTCAAATATGGCAGGAATACCCACGACATACGATGAGAAGGAGAGAATTTGGAGTGGAACCAAACGCAGCCCCTTATACCACTATGACACGTCCATTGGTAAAATTATTTTTAACACTATGAGGATCTGGCCCAAGAACGTGTGGCAGGTGAGTCAGAACCAATTGGGTTCGCCCCGAAGAGACCCACCTACAGATTTCTACTCCATGCAGATAAACGACATTGATGGAGTCACAGTCACCTTCGAACAGGGTCTCACCTGGGCCATTCGGATTGCTCAGTACTTCAAGAAGCGTGCGCTCAGTAACAAGGATGTTATTGGCATTGTTGCTAAGAACTGTACTTACTTAATGCCCCTGGGAGTGGCTTGCCTAATGAATGGAACACCATTCCACTCGGTTAATCCGGATCAAGACGAAGGTTGGTACTGCCATCAAGAGTATCGCTTAACAATTTCTGAGTAATAAGTATGGGAATCTGTTGACGCAGCTACCGTAACCCATGTGTTCTCGATAACCAATCCAAGTCTGATATTCTGCGATGGAAATGTGTACGACAAGGTTCGTGCGGCGACTGCTGGATGGCAGCCGGAGATCTACACTATCACAGATCCCGTAGAGGGAGTGCACAAGATAGAGGATCTTCTGGATCCCACCACTACTGAAGCGGGATACCAGTGAGTGACGAAGGAAATATCTATTTTCTGACTAACGCGAGATGCTTTGTAGGCCAGAGCCATTGAAGGAGGGAGGGGGCCAGACCATGGCCATTTTGTGCTCCTCGGGAACAACAGGCTTGCCCAAGGCGGTTTGCATTTCCAACAATGTTCTGATGCAGGATAACCCGTGAGTATAGAACTATTTACTTTTAGAATTAAAATTAAAAATTTTAATTTGTTCTATATTATTCTTGCACAGCCTGATCAACAGCGAACTGAGCATGTTATCATCGAGTGGCTTGGACTGGGTCACCGGCGTGGTCACATTTATCTATAGCACTGCGTTTGGTGCCACCCGAATCATTACCAGCAAACCCTTCACTCCAGAGTACTTTGTGCAGCTGGTGAAGAAGTACAAGATCGACTGTGCCGTGCTGCCGCCTCGCCATCTCTCTGCCCTGATAAGTTATCCGGACGCCACGCCGGAAGATCTGGCACCCCTAAAGAACGTCCACTATGTCGGCGGTGCGGTTTCGATGGCCACCCTGCAGCGGACCCAAGAGCTCTGCAAGAATGCGATGCTTACCTCTGGCTATGGTTTGACGGAGACCTTTATCATAACGAGTAGTATTGGAATCAGCAATATAGCTTCGGTTGGCAAACCCGTCGCGGGCGTGAGAATGCGCATTGTGGACGAGGATGGAAAGAACTTGACATACAATGAAGTTGGGGAGATCTATGTGGATAGGGGGCAGACATGGAATGGTTACTTCGGAAATCCCGAGGCTACACTTCAGATGCAGGACGTGGAGGGCTGGTTCCACACCGGCGATCTGGGCTACTTCGATGAGCAGAACTTCCTTTACATAGTCGATCGCAAAAAGGAGATCCTAAAGTACCAGGGCCTTCACTATTGGCCGACTGAGATCGAGAGTGTCATCTCGGAGCTGCCGCAAGTGCAGGACGTGTGCGTCATTGGAGTGTACGATGAGCGGGAGGGCGATGCTGCCGGCGCCTTGGTGGTCAAGGCCAAAGGAGCTGTAGTAACAGCAAAGGATATTTCGGATCACGTGGCCAAGCGGTTACCTGCACTGCAAAAGCAATTGCATGCCGGAGTCCAGTTCACCCATAAGCTGCCGGCCAATGTCAATGGCAAGACTTTGCGCAAGACGTCACGCGAACTATTTATTGCCCAAAACGGAACAGGCAAGTGAGATCTGAACGATCTGATAATATGTACATATATATATGTATATAGATACATATGAATATTTACAATCCTTTAATTAGTTGATTAAAATATGATTTAAAAGATATGCATTTAAAAGCAATAGAATGGAGACATAAGAACATTTTCCAGTCTTTCGATGGGTGCTCTGCTCTCTTTTGAAAACGCTAAAGAGGGAAGCAATAGATTGTTTTATATTGTCTGGCGTGTTAAAAATGAATCATTGGAATCAGAGCACATTATTTAAAAGAGTAGAGTACTCTTTTATCGTTGTGTTTGTATCATGGCCCTCACTATCCTCAGCCATTCATAATAATATTCGCTTTTTATGAATGGAAACGTCTTATCGGACCAATAAACATTGATAATGGCTTATCGTTCAACGCTCTCCGATTGGAAAATAAACAAATAGCATCTGCAGAGCCGATAGGATGCGTGTGCTTTGCTTTTATTGTGTAACTAATTGTATATTACGATTAGCCCCTGAGTTATTAAGTGATCTGTGGTAATTCTAATTCTAAATCAAAATCCTTGGCCAGGTACAGTAGCCGATGAGGAGGAATAGCGTCGCAGCGAGTGTGCTGGTTGTCTGGCTGGCCCCGGCTGTCACCTCGGTTGGCATTGGCTGCTCCGTTGGTTCCATGTCCATTTCGGGGACTTCTCCCCGACTCGACCTTGTGATCTGTTCCACCTGTTGGCGTATGACGCTGCCCGGACGGACCTCCACTTTAGGCAGGGGAAAGCAGTAGACACGCTCAACCTCCAACACCAGAGGCGTGGCACTGTCCGAGGCCAGAGATGTCTCTGTGACGGTTAGGGGCACGCATATGGTAGGCTCCTCGGCCGCGTTCCGCTCCTCGTAGGGTATCCCGACGCGGGTGATATTGAGCGGCCGCTGCGGCACCAGCGTCTCCGGCACACTCAGCTCGCTGTGCATCTGGGCGGAGTTGAGCGAGTCCTCGTAGTACTTGTAGTCATCCACAGAATCCCCAACGCTATCGTCGCGCCTGTCAATGTTCATGCTGAGATTCCTATCCACGCGTTCGGGTTCAGTGCTCGCGGTGTTCGAGGAGCTGTCGATAAAATCCGTGGGCCAGTTGAGCGAGATCGTTGTTGACCTCGTGGCTTGCGTGGGCGCCGGAGGGTGCACCATGGATGACTGCGGCAGGCTTGAACTCGAGGAGCTGGTTGAAGATGGAGCCGGCACTGTAGTGTCATAGGGATAGGGATACGGCAAAGGCATCCAGCTGTCGTCCGTGGTGGATTGAGATGGTCGACGGGCCGCCGTTGTCGTCTCCACAGATTCATTGATTTGCTTGGCCATGGCCCTAAGTAGAGGATCGGTGGCATTCAACTGTACCACTTCGAATTGGTGCGGCGCCTGCTGGGAGCTTATGCGCCGACGTCCGTGCTTCTCCGGCGATCGCTCAAAGCTGGCGGGACGCGCAAAGCCTGGACTCTGATAGCCTCCAGGAGCGATGGGAGCCTGCTGTTCCTCGCTGGATCTGGATGGCTGCGCATCAATGCCTGAAACTGAGGCGTTTAGGGTTGGAACACACCGAAACATGCACTCTTACCTTCAGCTGGCATTCCCATCAGCATGGCCTCCAACCGCCCGTAGACCCGCTCCTTGGGCTGTTGCTCCGTGTCCGCCTCGTAGGGGTTCTCCGGATGCTCCGGCTTCCAGTTGCCGTACACCACCGACGACTCCTGCCTGGGCGTGGCTGGCCTGGCGCTCTCCTCTCGCAGCAGCGGAATGTGGGTGTGCACCGTGGAGCTGACCGGCACTGCGCCCACGTTGGCCCAACTTCGTAGAATCGGGTCTGGACCAGGAATCTGTGCTTGCATATCCGAAATGCGTATACGTCCCCGGGGACGGGGCGGCGGCCCCTGCAGCTGCTGGGCGCTGATCAGGTGACAGCCACTGAGGGCCACTAGCCACAGCATCCACTCGTGCGGGTGACTAACCATCTTCGGATCTCACCTATCGGATGGGATTTTGTTTTCGATTTCTGTTTATATTATCGCGGCCTCTCGTGTGCCACTTCTGCTGATTGCTGGAGTATACCTATTCGTATATTTTACAGTTAGTTTTTCAGCGGCTTTATTGTTTCATTCTCGTTTTCAGCGGCGGCCACAATAACAAACCATTGTGCGCGTGCTTTAACGGAGCTTCGATGTCAATTCGATATTCGCACGCACTTCTTGCTCTTGTTGCTCTCCCCGTCTCCACTTCTCTCCATTTCTTTTCACCCCACTCCACTCCACGCCACTACACACTCCACTCCACTCCACACTTGTACCGCTACCTCTTCTCGGTTTAACGCTCCCGCGAATTCGACCAACCGACGAACACCTGTCCGCCCCTTCTAGATTCTCCAGGTACCTCTGTTCCTCTTTTCCCCAATATCTTCGGGTTTCCCGTAGACGATGATTCGTGATCTGCACGCGACGGCTTCTAAACGGCAACTGACGTTGGCCAAATCAATTCAAAGCCCAAGCTCTGGTCAGACAGACACCGAGAAGAAAGATTCTTTCTAATCACAGGCCATAGAAATTTTTCCTTTGTTAAACTTATTTTTTTTTCATTTTAATTATGCGCAAGAGCGTTGAAACTTAATGGCGAATAAACAGTCTTTGGAGTTTTGCTTTTGGGGTCTATGCTCTGCCTGCCATGGCGGTGAAAATGCAGCGGAATTGATTTATTTTTTGGTGGACTCTCCATATTTCTTAACACATACCATACGACAGTATGGGTCGCAATTATAGAATAAATACTACACCACACTGGCATTATGATTGCTTATGGTTTGACGACTATAGAGGGTGGTTTGTAGAACTTGTTGCAATTTTGAATAACTCTTAATAGAAAACTTAAAGCATTATTGGTATTGTTTGATCTTATCTGAATAGTTTTATGGGTAAAACTATTGTGATTGACATGTTCTAAACACGAATAAATTTAGTTTGTCTTCTTATAGTAGTAGCACCTTCCAAGGCTCCTAAATAATTGCACCAAATTTAATCCAAGTTATATTATTAGCCATAGAATACTATATTAAATCATACAAAATTAGATGATTATAAAATGGAGCTCTTCAAACCCATCCTTATATTTGGTATAGAACTAAACGGCTTTTATTATATTTTTTTTAAGAGCTTTTTGGCCATACCAATATTTTGACCGCAGGTGTATGCTTACACTTATGCAAATATGTGGCCAAATCGCTTGCCGTTTCGTGGCACAAAAGATCTAGCTGGTTTTTGCCCGTTTGGTGTTTGTTCTTTCAGCCTGTTGATGACAGCTATTTTTGGTTCTTCTCGTTGCTTGTTTGGCTAAGGGCTACTTTTCACCGAAGGCCAACGGTAAAATAGTTTTGGGCCATGAGCTTATGAAATAATTGGCCGATTGAGTGGAGAGACCGGCTGGAGTTGGGCCACTAACCCATTCATGGACCACTACGTCTGTACGGCTCGTGGACCCGATTCTCCCCGTTCCCAATCCCAATCTCGCAAACTGTCATAATTATGCAACCAGCAACCAGTCAGAGGCGCTCGACAGACAATTTCCATGCATATATCAAGCAGCAGTAAGTGCAACAGCAAGCAGCACTAGAAGAAGACGAAGAGTCGACGGCAGTCGATGTAGAAATATGGAAAATGGGAAAAGCTCAACCTGCGCTGCATGGAATGGGATCAATAAACTGACAGAGGAAACTCGATCTGCGAAAAAAGACAGTAAACCAGCAACGAAAATGATAACAATAAATAAGGAAAAATTACAAAAAAAAATAATGAAGACCCATAAACGCTTTGTCACGTCTGTCTGAGCATTATGGACACCAGACGATGGATGGATGGGGAGGGTGGAGGAGGAGCAGTGGCTCGTAGTGAAATGGGAAAAATGGGAAAATCATCAAGTCGGTTTGGCGTAATGGAAACGTTAGTTTTTCTTTTATTGTTTTATAGCGGCAAAACTTTCACACTCGTTAACAAAATTATAATTTATTGAGTGCCCGATGCGATGAGTGCGTGTGCGAGTGCGTGTGTGTTTCTGTAAGTGGATCTTAGTTATGCAAATTTCATGTTAGTCGATATAGTTTTCCGAGCGGAGAGTGGTTCCAGATTCCAGATGGGAAGCTTTGGACGAATTTGCAAATGAAATCACAGTCTTATTGTTGTTGTTCTGGCGGGGAATGTTGGTTGGCGGATTAGTAATGTTTAGCAAATGTTTTCAGCACGTTTCCAGGATCATCAGTTCGGTGGGGGGTGGAAAGGATGGGGGAATCTGAAGAACACACATCTATTGATTCTCGAGCAGACCGATATATTGCCCATTTTGATTGGCAACGCGACGCTCCTCCAGCTTCCGGGCAAAGTCTGGGTCCGTTTTGGCCCGCTGCTCGAGTCGTTCCTGCTGCAGCTTGATGCCAGCATAGATCTGGTCGAGTCCCTTCTGGATCTCCTCGGGTATGGCGGGCGGGGTGGGTATGTGGTCGCCTGTGGCACGGAAGCCGTTCTCATCGGCCGTGTACTGAACGTTTACCAGCTGGCCCTCCGGTGACTGGTACGAGTACTGGCCATGCTGGACCAGGACTCCATTCGGATTCGTGTCAAAGTCCTTGAGGAAGCCCGTCTCCTCGTGGATGATGTTGTTGCCCGTCTCGTACTCCGTCTTATAGCTGCCGTCCTCGCTCTGTTCCTTGTTGTACTTGAGAATGGGTATCCATGTACTCGTCTCGCGCAGATCCTCGTGGCGATGATGGTCGGGCTTCTCGTCCCGCGGTATGTTGTTGGCGCTGTGATGCTGGTTATGATGCTGGTGCTGATGCTGGCCGTGGCAGGACAGAGCAAGCATCGAGATGAGTATCTGCAAACGATAGTTGCAGTTTAATAGTTCACAGTTCACACAAATCACAGATGCGGCTGGGATGGTCTCTACGTCTGGGGGAGGGGGACGGCACGGGACTTACAAGCACTTTCATTTCGTTGGGATTGGTCTTTTATCCACTGATTGGTGATTTTTTGTTCGACCGATTTGTCGCCCGTTTGGCTGGCACTACGACTGGCAAGTGAAAGCAGCTCCGCAAGACACTGTGCCAAGCGCGGCCCTATTTAAGCCTTATATAGGCGAATCGCTCCGAGTCTGGCCTCCTCCTGCACATCTGGCCTCGTCCATTACCCACACAGCAGTGTTGCCAGTGGTTCCACGGGAGAGCGAGAGACACACGCACACAGCGCCAGATGCAGCGGTTGGAGAGGCTGCATAGTTGCATTGGCCATAGTTGCTCTTGCTGCAGCTCTCTTTGTCGTTGTTGCTGCTGCTATAGTTGTCCGACTGAACAGATCCAACCGATGGGTAATTGTTGTTTGTACGCTCAGTGATACTTAAATGTTAAAATCAAAAACAAAATCAATTGTCGAACTTATTACAGACCAAAGTACCAAAGTTTTCCATCACGTGGCATGGAAACTTTAACATATTCAGAATTTTGGTATTTTATTGGACGACAGTAGAAATGGATACTTTGGATCATCTCATACCGATCAAAGACAGAATTTTTGACAATTCTTGGGGGAAAAAGGGTGTTCCATTGGCTCTAGTAGACTCCGCTCGAAATTCGTTTTTTGAGATCTAGAGATGCCCCAACTCTGGCCCACACCTAAGTCGAGTTTTCGGTTGCATGTATTTCGATTGTGTGGCACGTACAGACAAACATATGTACATAGGTACAGCTCAAATGTCTGCTGATTGTCTGTCCATCTGTGCGCTCGTCCGGTCGTTCATCTTCGTAATGCCGTTATTTAGAAACAAGCCAGAACGAGTTTTTTGTTTGCATTTGTTGTTGTATTTGCCAAATGCAGATTACTCGGGGCTCTCTGCAGCTCTTGCCCCATGATATATGCATCTGAGGCGCAGCAGAGATTCCGCAGCTTCGGATTCGGATTCAGATTCACATTCGGATTCGTATTCGGACTCGGATTCTTGTAATTGCAGACGATTCGTGGATGGCTTGGATTGGGATGCCATCCGCGAGGAGAGTGACATACTAACAACACCACAAGTGAACTGAAACGAAAATTGTTGTAACAATTCAAGTGTCTTGCCGATGAGGTGAGGCAAGACGATAATTGAGTTCAATGCGGGGCGCATCGGGGTCGGTCTTGGTATTCTCTTGTCTTCGCAAATGTTAATTAGTTGCCATACAATTGGGTTAATCTGCAAAAATTTGTGGGGAAGAGAATCCAAATCAGCAGCAATGAGAGGAAAAAAGATTAATTTAACTATCATCGAGATCCAACACTTGCAACACAATGCCGCCGAGGGTTGAACAACCGGCGGAGAGCCGGCGAAAACCCGAAAAAAGACATAAAGTCAAAGCAGACTTTGGGGATCGATTTTGAAGATACCCTTGGTTTCATATTCAGTAGAATGGAAATAAAATATGTGAGTGCACCACAAATGGTGCCACAACGGATGGTTTCCATGCGTGGCAAGCAGCTTTTCGCCAAAGTTATGGGACTTTCGGTGAGGGTATGAAAACCGGGCGAACCAAAAGCAGAAAACACCGACGCCTATTGCAACAAACGACCTCTTCGCTGTGCTCCAAGCCTCGTCCCTCTGTGCCTCTGTGTCTGTCCACGTCGGCGTCTCCATCTTCCGCACCCACAACTGCAACTGCAACTGGAACTCCAACAGCAACAGCAACCAAGCCTCCTCCTCGTCTGGTGAGTCACTTATTGGCGCGCCAAGTTGTGCAACTGCTGCTGATGCTGATGCTGCCACAGGCACAGACCAAAAAGAAAATGAAAAGGAAAGCTAGGCAAGGTTAGCTGTCCAATGCAGTCTCCCCACCAAATTTGCCCCACTCACACACTGACCACAAGACTGGGATCTGCCACATCCGAAAGGGGGCAGGCAGCTGTAAATGTCAAACGATTTTTACCCTTACATTCTTAGCATTTGCCGTGATCTGTTACTGCTGCTGCTGCTTTTGTGGCTGTTCTTTTGAACAACATTTGACATTTGGGTTTTGGCTCTGGCTCTGACTCTGTCGGTGTGTGAGTGTCATCCGCTGAGACAGCGACTGGTTTACAGAACCCCGATGCTGGCCATAAATTTCCAGGCTCGTGGTTGTGAAATGTCTTGTCAATGCTGCGAATCTTGAGCTTGAATCGTAAATAACGCTCTAGTAAGGAATGGCGATGACAGTTTCGTCCACAGTACTTGACATAAAGATCACGTACAGCGTAGGCGACAAGTGTCTGGCCATAAAGAACCAAATTAATTCCTAAACTTTAATACACCACTTGTTCAAAAGTGCTTTCGTTTATTTCTCTGCATTCGTTCAGATTCTTTCACCTCTTCATATCGAGAATCTCCTTCGCTGAGCAATCAGTTAAGTTTCATTCAATTACCTTATTTGCCCCTCGTTTTGGCTGGATCATATAACATTCCACTGAGACTCGTATTTAACATAGAGTCAGGTGATAGAAAACTGATTTCGACTTTAAAATCGGTTGTTGGCAAAAAGCCTGGCAAATTATCGGCAATGCTTATATTGGGATATGAGTAGAGGCCCTATAGAAAAATTAGAAGTGCTGTAGTCACAAATCAGCAGCCAAAGCTAGCATCGAGGCTCACCTTTGGACGGGGACACTTCAGCTGGGAGCTCGCCTTCTTGCCAAGCGACTTCACGATCACCCCAATAAACTTGTGGCCATACAGGCCTTTGGAGAACTGACAGACATCGACATTCAGATCGATAATTTTGTGGTATTCCTTGAAGGGTGGTCGAGGCAAAAACAATTTGAACGTGGCATTGAGCTGAGATATAGCCTGAAGATAGTCAACTTCGATGGTAATCAGAGACTTATCGTTATCCAGGATGATGCATTTGTGCCGGCTCACATGGAGTGGGTTCGATGCGCAATTGAAGGTTTTCCATTGCAGACTCAGGCGACTCTTAGAAGGCGAAATCTGTCGAAGAGTTGATTCAAATATTTCCAATTTATTTTTGGCTAAGAATACCTTCGCTGCTTTCCCATGGTAGGGCAGAAAAACGATCAAGAACAGCCAGTGAAATTTAACCATGATCGGGCTCCGAACAATTAGTACTGTCTGGCTGCAAGGCCCAATCACGGCTTATAAGTGTGAACAGTTGCGGTTGATTGTTTTGATAATTGTGCCCCAGTAATAGATACCTATTTTCGTGATTGTTTTTTAAGTGGAATACTGTTCTGTATTTATCTCCCGATCACTGTATGGACACGGGTACAAACGAAAAGGTCGGAATCCAATTTAGTTGTGTTCTGAACTTGACAGAATTTTATTGTATGGATTCTTTTATATTTCTGAAATGTCTCCTCTTAGAGTCATATTCAAATACGTTTTCTTCGGATGGAAAAAGTGGATCTCTACTAAAATACTGCTTGCCGGCAGGAACGAGGGTAAAAGTTCCTCTATACTTATGTTGTGATAGTAAATGAAGCCCTGAAAATCATGGAAAGATGTCACTTAGTTTTTAGCTACTCCATTAATTAAACTACCTTTTTTATGGGACATTTTCGCTGCTGATTACTGAATCTGACAACGGCATTATAGATCTTAGCCATCATGGTAGTGCCTTTTGACAAATCCGATATTAGGCGGCAGCCATCAAAGGAAATGTCAAGGAACTTCCGATACGCTTCCGATGGCTTGAATCGGGTGGAGATCTTCATGTAAGTCCTAATGGATGGTACTGCTTCTAGCAAATTAACTTCCACATTCAAGAGAGATTGCCTTGGGTCCGCAATCTGGCATTTCAGATGGTCTGCATATTGTGGAAACGTTTGGCAATCAAAACAATCCCACCTCAGACGTCTGTCCTGTTGAAAATGATTATATTCAGTTTGTTAGATAACACTCGTAGGTATAACCCTCATTCGTACCTTGGGCTCGCTGCCTGTGATGAGGAGGATCGCTACCAAGATTAACCACTTGTAGAACATCACTCTTGGTCAGTTGCTAACCAACTAAGGCTGAATGATTTAGTGAGCTAGTGAGCTCATTGATTCATAGATTTTTATATAGATATTGCAATAATAAAATATCCATAGCATACAATAATATTCCAGCAATTATCTAACGATTAAAGCGATCAATTCTGCGTAAAAACCCTGATTCGTTGGTAAATGGGGGAGGATCCACGATTTGGGTTATTCTGGATGATCCGATTCGAACCGGATTCGGCAATCTGGTTATCGGTTTTTTCGTATCTTCAAAATTGTGGATGCCACAGATTTTAACTTTATGCGGTCGGAAAATAACAATTAATAACAACAGTCTATACTTATCTGTCTATAATATAAAATAGTTATGGGTCGATAAAAATGTATCTTACAGATGCAAATGTATCTCACAGGGCCAAACGACAGCCTCGTTAATTCTTGAAAAATCGCAAGTGGGATGGGCGAAGAAGCCCCAAAATATCTACATTCTAACTACATTTTGGTGGCGACACCTGACGAAACATCGGAGAAACCGTTTTGACAAATTTTTCCATCGGCTTTTAGTGGCGCCACTTAAAAATATAATTAATTATAATTAATTCAAAATTTAACTATTTCAATCAGATTAGGATCAGGAGATCAGATAACGTTACATATGCGGGATACTGCATACCACCAGGTAGTGAAGAATAGAATCACCGCTGAAACAAGTCAATCACCAGTCAGTCGGTCAGTTAGATTGACTTTGAAGACTCGATTAATTTGGTCTGAATGTGCAATTTAATTGATATTGAGATGCTCTGCAGATTGAAAGCATTATAGATATTTTTTTTTCCTGGCATTCTCCTTGGCAGTGTCAAAGAGATGACCCCGGACTGTTACATTCAACACGACGGCGACCTTGGGTATGAAGATGTCAAAATGGGCCATGAAATCGTTCTCGGTCAGCATGGGCGGCAGGTCGGTTACCGATATGTTCTTCGAGTAGTAATTACCCTGGAATTGTAGAACTTAGTACAGAACTGAGATGCTGATGTTCCATGTCCTACCTTTGGAAAGGGACATCGCATGACCACATTACTGTTTCGGGCCAAAGTGCTCACCAAAAAATCAATCAGCATCTTCCGCTTGCGTTCTCGTATTACTTTGCACACATCGAAGGTGATTGCGAATATCTGGGTGTATACCTTTTTCGGATTGGGCAGTGATACCCTGAGAGTAGCGCTTAAAGTGGGAAGATTTTTCAGAAGTTCAACAGAACTTTCCATGGTCCTGTTCAGAGGCGGCAAAATCTTGCAGTTTATATTGGTAAAGTATATGGGATTTCCCACGCAGTTCATTTGGCTCATCTCCACGAAGTAGCCCTGGTGCTGAAACGTAGATAATGTGAAGTCTTTAGATCAAAGTAGAGACGTACAGAGTAACTTACTATCAAAACGTTGGCCGCTGCTGCACGCTGCGTCTGCAGGAAGCTGGCCATAAAGCCAATGGTCCAGAGCAATCTCCACATTTCGATGTCTCAATTGTTGATGATCAACTGATCCATTAGCCCCTGATGAAATGAAATGCCCCATGCCCCATGCCACATGCCAAGACTAACGACAGTTTAATTGTTGAAATTGTAAAGCAATTAAAACATTATTGCCTGATGTCTTGGCTATTGTTCGATATTCTGGTATGGCCCATTGAGTTGGCTAAACAAGTGAAACCGTACGCCCATCTGTATCACTGAAAATATCAAGTGTTTGGGGCTCTTACCATATGCTGGCGAGTGCAAACAAATATCATCACTACCCACAGCATCTACTCCACGATCGCTATCATCAGCATTAACCGCAAGCGTGAAGGGCAAATTCGGTAATGGGTAAGGTTCGGTAATGTTATAGGCCATCCGAGGCTGAGAAGCACTCGCTCATGGCCCGGCAATGGGACAAATACCTTTATATCTGTGTTGTCATTTTCATTATCGTTCCCAATATTTATTTCTCCACTCGGAGTGTGAGGTGTGTGAGTGTGTGTTTGCTTAAGACTAACTACGGAAGGTAAGATTTACACAAAACATTTCAATTTCGTATGGCATTTAGGCAGTGTATAATACTTTCAATCAAAATATAATTTAGATTCAGGACGGTTCCCAGAACTTATTGCGGTGCCACAGGAAGATGATCGCCCTCTGGCTGGAATCCGTTCTCGTCGGCCACATAGCGCAGGGTGATGATGTTGCCTTCCGGGTCGCTGTAGCTGTACGAGCCTGTCTGGACGAGGACCAGTTCCTCGTGCTCGTCGATCACCTGGCCATCGGATGTCTCCGTCTTGGGGATGATGATCTTCTTGAGGTAGCCAATGTTCTCCACGCGTATTCCATTGGACGTCTCGTAGCTGTCATAGAAGGTCGCTTCTTAGGAAACGCTCTTTGTCCCTTGATCTAACTACTCCCACACTCACCTGCTGTTGAAGCTGCCGTCGGCATTGTTCACATTGTCCTGCTTCACAATGGTGGCCGCTGTTGTCGTGGTGGTGACGCCTGCTCCAGCGGCACGCTGGTCCTGTGGCCGGGCCAGGACATAGCTGAGCAGCATAGCAGAGTAGGCGATGAAGATGAACTTGTACATTTTGATTGGCCGTTTATCCTTGAGTGTTCCTTGGGTGCGGGTGATATCCAGCAGATTGCGGTGCGACTGTTGACTGCCACAGCCGAGCCGCGTCTTTTTATAGTCTGGTGTCTGGTCGTCTGGTCGTCTGGTCGTCTGGTGGTCGGGTACTCTGGTAGTACTCTGGGTCTGCTCTGGGCAGCTTCGGCAGCGCTGCTTGCGATTGCCATTACGATGGGCGCACTAGATAAGCGGCGGGTACTCTCGAGTACTCTCTCGCAGAAATTACGAGCGGGCGCTCTTCTTCTTAATTTTTCTTTGGGGTTTTTTTCGGTTTTTGGTTTCAGTTTTATTGTCCGCGATGAGTAAACATCAGATCAGACCGCCAGATCGCAGAGAAGAAGATGAAGATGAAGCGACGGTGTCAACAGGTGACAGTTGTCCCCTCTACTCCCTTTATCCAATGTACAATATCTCTGCGCCCCATGGTCTGACTGGCGGTCTTGACAGCTACATACGTGATGGGTCTGAGCAGAATACTCGTAGTCGAATAATTCTTAAGGCTGGGAGTCATCGCAACTTAGTTCCGTTGAGTCGGATGGCGGTTCCTCGAGATTCCGTTAAGGATTTGAGTTGAGGGAGAGCACGCATTCTTGGCGATTGCTTGGCAGTGCTTTGGAATATTTCTATAAGTCATACCCAATGAGAGAGTAAGAATACTTTGATAATTCCGCATGGCGGACACGTTTCAATTATGGAAATAATTTGGCCGAAAACCTGCCCGGGCCTCTAACGGTGAACGATGGAGACAAAGCTGGCCATAAAAATGTAGAGTATTGTTGGCCATAAATCGAATTGATAAGGTTCGGAACATTCACACATATGATGGCTATATGCTGCGAATATTAACCACAATTGTGTCATAGAGCCCTAGACTTCAGCGGGCATGGAACAGAATGGTCAATGAACTTCGCTAAAAAACCAAAAGAACTCTTTAAAAAGAAGAGGTAATTGTCATCAGATGCATATCTGATTAATTTGGGGCAGACAAAGCCAAGTTTCCATTGTTCTTTCCTTTAAGTTGAATTTCTCATACGATATGCTCTTAAAGTTAACACTTGTCTGCTAATCAAACGAATGAAACCAGAAACGAACAAGTCACACTTTCGGTTTCTGTTTGGATTACATAATTCCTGTTGATTCTGATCAAATCGAATTTGGAGTTCTGAGGCTCATTGGATCTCTTCGACCAACTCTCACTGAATCTTCGGGTATACCGGACTTGGCCTTCAGCTGTTTGCCAGTCTGCTTGGGGTTCAAATTGCTTATTTAACAAGTTAGCTTTCAATTAGTAATTGTTTAGCAAGACTGGCAGCGGAGCAAAAACTGCAAACTAAGGCAAATTTCACACACATTTTGGCACACATGTGGCTAGTTGGGCACTCGGAGACAGGGGCTCAGATGAAGGGGGGGATCCATAAGGAACCACCGGAATAGTCAGTTTTCTCCCTTCCTGACTACGCCCCTGACTTTCAAGCATTCTGATCAGCGTTTTTCTACATATTTTGGGCGTGGAAGCTCCAAGTCGAAGTCAGCCTGTTGAGTTGATCATAGTATTGTTTAATTGTTCTCAGTTCTTTTGGTTCTAATCACATTTGCGCTTGGTCCTAGTCGGATCCTCAGTGCTGCTTCTCTGGGGGGTTGTAGGGATGCAGCTTGAGGTACTCCAGAGTCTTTAGAACAGACAGGGGCGTGGGCGGCGGTGTGGGCAGGTGATCGCCCACCGCATGATATCCATTCTCGTCGGCGGTGTAGGACACCACATAGGTGTTGCCATCGTCGGACACAAACGAGTATTTGCCATGGACCGCTTCGCCATCGTGCTCGGCATTCACCGTCTTTAGGAGTCCGTCCTGAGTGGCCTTGGAGCCATCGGCGAGTTCGTAGCTGGATGGGGAGTATGTGGCTGTTAGGCTCTGCTCTGCCGAGATTCTCCCACTGGACTGAACTTACTGATAGTGATATTTTCCGTTGTACTCCACATTGGATTCTTGGGAGATCAGGTCACTCGTGTCCGAGGCCCAAGCAGCGACCACGAACACGACAAGCAGCAGTAGAGTCCTCATTGCGATCAATCAGTAACCGGTAATATGTTTAGTCAATAATCTTAAAACAGTCCAAGCAAGTGTCTCGAAGCGACTGTCAGTTCCAGTTGGTAAACAAAGGCTCTTATATAGGCAACGGAATTAGCGGATTCCGAGAGGAGAGCCACATAAAAAACATTCCTGTACTAAAATATTTAACATGAATTAAAATTTGGCCAATAAATAATATTGAACTTGTTTCGATTCGTTTGGCCTTTCGAAAATGGGTGTGAAATTTGGTGCAGACAACTTCAACCCGATCCGGCGCTTCGTTTCGTACGCTTCCACGTTGTTTTCAAAATAAATAAATAATAATAATGCCGTGTCGACTTCTATGGGAACTTGTCACCAGCATCAGCATCACCCTGATTCTGGTTCTCGTTCACTCTTTTTTTTTTTTTTTGTTTAGTTTGGAACTAACGTGACAGCATTTTTGCCTGACTGCCTGACTGCCTGTCGCCTGTGTCTATCGAATTTGCATAAAATAAATTTATAAATCCTCGCCTTGAGGTGTAAAAATAAAAATAAAAACAAGCGTTATTTTTGGACGCAGCTTATGAATATATGACAGATCAATCTAAGAACCCATCGATTGGCTTATAAGCTACTAAGTATATCCTCAAGTGTGCATCTTCCCAACGAGTTATATGCATTCATTAGCTGTCTTGTGGGTGCTGCTGTCATCGCAGGTATTCGAGATATTGCGAATCCAGATTTATGGCTTCGACAGAAGCTTAAAATATTCCTATTAAAGATGCGGATGCGTAGGATATTCGAAAGGGGACTTTAAAAGCTGTTGGCTCTTCTTTTCGAATCGGCAATAGTAAACCAATAAAACCCAAGGCTGCTCTTCGTTTTTCGAAAGAATCCTTAGTTCTTTATTTGCAGCTAAGCCTAACGAATTTTTTTATATGTAGGTCTTCTCAAGTGTTTACATAATTTCCGACGCGAACGGACGGGAACGCTAACCCGTCCCATAAGCTGGTTCGGGTGGCTGGCCATCGTCTTCGTCGACGTCATCGCTTATATATAATGTGTAAATGTTCCTAATTTACAGACTATTTACACAAAGTTTGCTGTGGATAATTAGTGTTCCTGTATATTATTTCTTGTATGTTTTTTTTTTACATTTTCTTTCATTTCATTGATAAATCGACGATATCACATGAGTCCGAAAATGGCAAAGTTCCGGCGACTAAAAGATCTGAAGAAATTCGTGTCAAAGTGAAAGTGGAAGAAAGCAAGATAGCAGACAAAATGAAGTAATAGAGTCAATGTATTGGTTGTGTGTGTGTGTGTGTGTATCGTGTCATGTCCCTCAATTCCGTTTGAGATTGTGTTCTTCAGTCAAATCCACTAACAACCTCCTGGGGAGGCTTCAGCCCTTGTGTGATTGTCTAGATAGTGGGGGGAGAGCAGATAATGGGGTGTACGAGCATATTGTGGTAACAGCAACAGAGCAGCATCACATCGACCGTAGAGTATATCAGGGTCAGAATGTTGGCATGGGTCGGACTGGAAGGAGTCATCCAGAGGAAGCGCCTTAACGGCGCTTGGCTGGCGGCAGACTCAGCAGATAGTCGAGGGCCTTCTGGATCGCTGGCGGGATTGGTGGCGGAGTCGGCAAATGGTCGCCCTGTGGCTGGAAACCGTTCTCATCATCGGCCGAGTAGTTCAGGGTAATCAGATTTCCTTCCGGCGAGGTGTAGGAGACAGAGCCCCTGGCGATAATCACGTCGCTGCTGTCCGGGGAGGTAGCCTTCTTCAGGGTGCCCGTTTCTTCGGCCTTGATTCCGTTGGCCGTCTCATAGCTGCAAGTACCAGGCAGCGCAACCGAAATGAACGAAAGAAAGAAATAAAAACCAAATTTAAAATGGTTTAACCAAATTCACCTTGAAATCTTGCGAAATTTCTTTGACAATATTAATTTAAGTTCGCGATTTCTGTTTAAAATTAATGGCTTTTTTTTATATTTGAATGAGTCACTAACTGGCGCTAGACGTTTTTTATACCCGCATTCCAAGCCATAATGCTGCGCCTAACAGTCACCACAAAACTCTGTTATAGGTTAACAGCGCTGCGCTAATCACTAACAGGTGCTAGTGCACAGCAGCTGATTGGTATAAAAGTGCTTGCACCGCACCGAACAAAACATAACGGGTCTAGAGCATAATGAAATTATAATAATAAGTATTAACATTAAACGAGGGGGAACGTTGTGAGTTGCTGCGGACACCGCAACTCTACGGTTATACCCGATACTAAGTCAGTATGGCTCTCCTCCGGCAGACGCCGCTAATATTTAACGACACGACAAAGAGTGCGTGCGAGAGAGACAGAAAATCAGTCTGAGCGTGACGTCGGGCGCTGCGTAGCCACTGCAAATTGATTTGTTCCTTTTGGCTACAAAAATTATCTGATCTGATCCAGATTCAGCAATCTGATAGATATGGTCGTTATCTATGATTCTCCGTTTTTAGTTTTTCTCGAATCTGCAATATTGTGGATGCAACAGATTTTCGTCCTTTGTGTGGGCGGAAGGGGGTGGGGCGAAATTTTGAGATATACGTTTTATAGTGAGATCTAACAGGAGTGCGGATACCAAATTTGGTTACTCTAGCCTTAATAGTCTCTGAGATTTATGAATATCCCCAGATCTGCATCCTTTGCGGGGGCGGAAGGGGGTGTGGCGAAATTTTGAAACAAACTCGTCTCGGTCCGATATATTAGGAGTGTGGATACCAAATTTGGTTGCACTAGCTTTTATAGTCTCTGAGATCTAGGCGCTAATGTTTTACTCTAAGCAAAGCCGCCTATGCTACGTGTGTGTTAGAGAGAGACAGGGCGAGAAAAAATGAAATTGTTTTCTTGATGCTGGCTATAATAATAATACGATCCAATTCAGATTCCGCAGTCTAAAAGATATCGTCATTCTCTACGATTCTGCGTTTTTGGTTTTCTCGTATCTTTAAAATTGTGGATGCCACAGATTTTCGCCCTTTGTGGGGGCGGAAGTGGGCGGGGCAAAGTTTTGAAATATTTTTGGAGTAGTGACATATCACAGAAGTCTGGATCCAAAACATCGTTGCTCTAGCTCTTATAGTCTTTGAGCATTAGGCGCTGAAGGGGACGGACAGACGGACAGACGGACAGACAGACAGGGCTCAATCGACTCGGCTATTGATGCTGATCAAGAATATATATACTTTATAGGGTCGGAAACGATTCCTTCTGGACGTTACACACATCCACTTTTACCACAAATCTAATATACCCCAATACTCATTTTGAGTATCGGGTATAATTATAATATAATACTGTAGTATTATCCTATTAAATTTGCATTCATATCCGTGTCACTCATTCGCTTTCAAACAATTTCTATTTGGCTTCAATTAAATTTTAGATACAATCCCAAAGAGTCCTTAAAACTAGCCAGTCATATTATGTGCTCAGGACTGAGAATCCTGTCTAGCTAGCTATATCAAATCAAAATTTGACTTCCTTGAACAAATTAATTTTAGCGCAGTTTAGGTGAAAGATGAAGGATGGGCTTTCATTTTATTTTGTAGTTTTATCTTTGGGAATCCAAGCATTTGTTAGAGCAATAAGAATTCTATAGTAGGATAATATGGAGTCAAACTTACGCATAATTGTAGGAACCATCTGGTTCGATGTTGGACTCCTGGCTGATGATCGCAATGGGCTCCTCGGCCCGCTGCGGTGCCGCCTCAACCAGGCACATCAGCGCCGTGGCGACCAGGCACAAAACGAACTGCAAAGGGAAGACAGGCAGAAAGGCATTGAGAGTGTTTCAGCGAGTGTTGGCCGCAAATGTTACTCGAGTTAGTAAACATCTTGAAATCGTGCTCCGATGATATTATGCAAGGCCCCCCACCCCGCCACTTGTTTACCTGGGAGCCGAGATTTATTGCCTTAGCGCGTTTATTTGCTGTTCTCACATACTATGTTTTAGACACCTTTTGAGGTCGGCAAATAGATGCCAATTAAATATTTTCCACATTTCCACACACACGACGTATTCCCAATTAACTTGTGCACAAAAGTGCATTGAAAATTGTGGGGCGTGGTCGGTCGTCCGTCTCATCTCTGTCGCCGTCGTCGCCATCGTCGCCGTCGCCATCATCGTCACCTTCCCAGTGTCTGTTTCTTTCGAAACCTATGTAGGTTCACCCCAGATCGACTCTTGGGCAATTGGCTGCCCAAAAACACTTTGAATGGAACTTGGTTTGGGCTTCGGTTCCATTTTCGTGTCTGAACTTTTCAGTTTAATGTGCCGGCCAGATGGACAGCTGCCAGGTGTTGGTCTGACCTTTGAATTGCATGCGGGCCCGAGCTCTACTGAGAGCCATTTCGAGCACACGTCTTCGCTGCATCCATTAATTGCCTTTGCCTTTTAGCCGCTCTAAATGGCAAACTGTTGCTGCTGCCACCGTAGGCTGTTCCCCACTGTTCCCTGTGCCCTAAGCTCCCACGCCTGGGGAGTACTTTAATTGCGGAAGTTATGACGAAGGTCCCTGAAGGGTCTTGAAGGGTCTTATGTGTTAATGTGCGTTTTAGCGGTGTACGATTTTACGATTGATTTATGCTGTCTGCACTTTTACTACTCAAATGTGTGTCTGGCTCTGTCTGGGAGTCGGTGTGGCAGAGAATTAATGAAAGCAGTTTGAGGATAATGAAAGGTATCGCATCCTTTCTTTTGCCTCCTCTAATTATGTTTCTATTTATCCAATCCCATATTGCTCATCCAATCCTTTTCAACAACGGTTTTAAATCCCCAAACTTGTGCGATTCACTTACATTTTTCATGTTGTTCCACACACAATATTGTAATCCAAAGGCAGAATTATCCTTTCGGCTTGGGCCTAGCACTGGAGTTGTTAATTGAACAAACGTTTTCTATTTAATGATACCCAATGCCGGCAGGTGAGTCTATTTATACGAAAATGCACGGTGCGGCGGCAGAGCATCGCAAACACACACACACACACACACACACATAGACGGAGGCAAGCATCTACTACACGAGTACGAATCCAAACCAATAGAGTGCGCGGGCGGTGGGCGGTATGTGGAGGCAAAAAAGAGAGAAGAAAAACTAAACTAAAGATTCAACGCCTAAGTCGCCGATGTCGACGGCGCAGCGCTCGGAAAGAGCAGCAGAGGCAGAGAGTCAGTCTGTCCACAGGCACCGGCCGCTAGGAGGCACCGGAGGGGTAGGCAGGCAGGCCTGCAGGCAGAGCCACGACACTCAGCTGTTCTGGGCAAGCAGTTCAGAATCAGCTTTGTACTAAGTTTAATTTATGCAATTGTTTCAGGTTTTTGCAGACAGACTGCACATTTAAATAGATTGCCGGTAATGGTAATTGCATCAGCCAGCGGAAATAGTAAGGCACCAAGAAAACACCGAGCAAACGGCCAACGAAAAATGGTCTTAGGTTTAATGATACTGGGGAGGGATATCGGTATCACTCCCATCAGGCCCGGCGGCGCTGCCACCTGACTCGAAATGGGGCAGCCTCAGAGTTTTCGGGGTTTTAAATGCGCTTCCATTAATCGTCTATTGGCATCAAAGTCAGGCGGCAAGACCCTCAGACTGAGGCTGCAGTTGCAGTCGAAGCTGTGCAGGAGGTCAAAATGCCAGAAATTGCTAAACGCCAAGGGGCCATCGTAGTCGTCGTCGTCGCTGCCAAAGTGTAGGCGCGTCTAATGAATACTTAGCCTGGGCCAGCAGATGGGGCCAGACTTTGACTCCAAGACTCCAAGACTCCGACTCTAGCCCCGACACAGACGGCGGTAGAATTTCGTGACAAGATTGTCCCAAAGATTGTGAGCATATACTCGTACTATTGCTATTGTATTGCTATTGTCTTTGGCAACCGAAAATCCAAGCTTGTTTTCGGCTAAAGTTGGATTCGAAGTGGAGGTCCAACTCGGGTGCCGTTTGTCTGATGATTGTTTCCCTCGGCGTTTCTGGTGGCCGCAATTATGAAGACATTCGGCTGCAATAATTATAATATTTATTGTTCTACTTTTTAATATGTTTAATTTAGGATTGCTCGCTCGCTGCTCACTGAATTTCCGCTCCCAGATGAGGGCTTTTTGTGTGCAAATTTTATTGGGCAAGAACCTTGAAATATGTATTACGCATGACTTCTCTGATTACGAGCCACAAACTACACAGATGCCACAAAATGTCAGTCGCTGTCTGCCGTCTGGTTCTGGTACTTTTCTTCAACCTGTTCTCGCCCGCTGTCCACTCTGAAGGTCGCGGCGGGTTCTTTATGGCACACAACGTAATGTAATTTGTTTTAAAGATGTTTGCGCAGCGTCTGCAATTTGATACCTAGCACAGAGCAGGGTATTATGAGCCAGCAGTACACTCAAAACATGAGGTTCTCAACGAACCTCGATAAATCAAACTATTTTGAATTGTTAACAAATTAAGAGGATTTAATTTAAATGAGTCTTGAATTCACCACCAACAACCAATTGATAGATTATTTGAGAAGAATAAAAGTCTCATGTCACCAACAGATCCTTACCAGAGTATTTAGAGCTCGACTCTCCACCTGAATAGGCCCGCGTTGATTTAGCTGTTGCGTAAGAAGCTAGAGCCGCCTTTGGCATGGTCTTCGGTCTGGCCTGGCATACTTTGAAACGGCTAATGCTAATGTCAATGAAGGCATAAATAAATAATTGCGCATAGCTGGGGCTGAAGCAGCAGTAGCACTCAATGGCTGGAGACGCTGCATCGCTGCACCACTGCTCCGATGCACCGCTGCACTGCTGCAGACGTCGAACCAGTTGCGGTGGTTAAATGTCAGTGGTTCTGGTCATGTCGAGAAAACAGCTACTGCACCGCTGCGGGCATCACGCGGAGATTACGCGGAGCATGGGGCTGGGATCTTGGAATGGGCAATGGCTACCCCGCGCGGGTTACGTTGGTGCTGCCCATTTCATGGTCAAGGATGCACTTGAGTAACTTTGCTCCGCTTTGCCAGCGTAAACTGGTTCGCCTTTGTCTGGTGTGGTCAGGGAAGCTGAACTGGTAACTGGAGCTCTGTCGGGGCTGAATCATCTTCTGACCTTGAAGCCAGCAGCATTGGAATGGGTTCTATGACGCCGACTAAAATGCAGTTGCAGTTTATGCTGATATCGATGCTAATCCGTCTGGGTACGCGTCGGAGTAGGGGTATCTTTGGGCACAGTTCATAGTCTTCGCATTAATGTGATTTATGCAAATTGACAGCGGTCTTAAATGGCAGAGGGATCGATCCGCAGCACGTAGGCATCGTCGATTACGAATCATGGCTAATTAATGCAAATCGCGGCCAAGACAATTGATATGCGGGAGTGGGTCTTCTAGCAACTCCCCAATTGTCATATGTCAAGTGAATCTAAACACTTTTGTTACGCTCTTTTAACTAATATTAAGAACAAACGGAATTCAAAAGCTTTCGGATATCAAGTTAATCGATTGGCTTACACGATTCGTCAATACTTCCATGCATATGTACTATAATTGCCGCTTGAATAAACGATGTTCTAATTGTCTTGGCACTCAAGTGTGAGGTAATTAGTTTTATTACCAAGCCGTTGATGGGTGTATGATTTACGTATATTAATATTTCAGTACTATATGTATTAGCAATCAGCACAGAGGTACTGATCTAATACAGTAGGACCATCGAACATCTAAATTGAAAGTTTGTTATTCATTTGCCACGAGCCGATCTACAAGAAACCATTATTTAGTTTGGATTACATGATAAATTCATTTGTTAGACATTTATCAAGCCCTCAGATAACGAGTTTGGCTGCTATCTTCCGATAGATGAAGCGAATTAGGAGCTGACATAATTCCGGAGTGAATATTTAAAGACTGAAGCTAAATAAATTCGAGCAAATTAATTGGATGGCAAATATTCAACGGCTCGTTTATGTAAAACAGCCAATAAAGATCTTTTGTTTGGGCTTTGGGCTAATCTGTTTAACGCATTCCGCAGATCTTCTTCCAAAAGACCCAAGACTCCAGCAGTAAAGTCTCCGAATGGGCAGCGTTTGGACATTTATGGGTCCAGTTGAGAGCAAAGTGTGGTTTCGATTTGAATGAAAACCGAGTTTGTTTGGACCTTTGGGTGTCAAATTCTTATTGCTTACTGATCTCAATTTGTACGAGACTCTACGATATCGTATGCAAATTTTATTATATCAAATGAGCCATATTCTCGTTTTAAGATAGGCATAAAAGGTTCCAATTAATAAAACAAAAGTGGAATTTTTAACTATTCTTGGCCGGCTGGCACGTGACTCTGGCTGGACAGTGTAGCTGCAATCACAGCGCTATTGTTGCACTTGTTGAGTGCTGTCAAATCGCACGCGAAATGTGAAGGCCGGCTATGCAATCGAGATGATTCCCCTCCCCAGCCCGAATGCCCCTACACTACTCTCCACTCCATGTATCATCTCCAACGCCAACTCCAACTCCAACACCAACTTCATTCATATTCATTCATGGGGCCGTGTCTCAGTCGCCCCATTCATGCTTTATTCACCTCAATTTCTGATGGAAATAATAAATTAAATTTGACTGAATCGAGTTGAGGTGAAGAGTGGGAAAACATGGGAAAATATATACAAAGAAAATGCTGAAAGAGATCCAGTTATGGATTAGAAAACTCTGACACACGAGTATATTTCAATAAACATAATTTATTATCGATCAAATAAAAATAAAAGTTAAAAAATTAGGTAATTTTTTTTCTATACATACAGAGAATAAATAGTAAATGACGTTTAATCAAATTCTATATACTGAAGAATAGATCACTTTCCCACAGTTTGTCGAATAGCCGCAAAGAATCGATAGGTGATGGTCATCAACTGTCAAACCAGTTGGAAAATTATTCAAATTAAAACAAAAAACGAAAGGTTTACCTACGATCTTAAAGGTGTCAAGGGATATAATGATAATACCCTTTGCGGATATCTCCACTGGACGCTGGGCGCGAGCCATAATAAGGAGGAGGTCTTTCTTATATCGTAAGGATCCATCATACCAATATTGCGAATAGGCAGCCATGGAAATGCTGGAACTCTGAAGGGGAAAAGTTTAGTGTTTACCGAGATTATATATATGTACTTCGTACCAAGTCGATAAGCTGCTGCCCAAAGGAGCTGACCATATAGAACTGGGCAGAAACGACGACGAAGATGATCATGTAGGACATTCCCTCCTCACTTCGGCCTTCGACAACGGTGTAGAAGCCAATGCAGCAGAGCAGACTGGCTGTGGTAAAAAGATTGGAGGCCAAGAGAATGCCAAAAATCTGATTCACCTCCTTGTGCAACCTTTAACAAAGTGCAAAGCATCAGCAGTTATTAAATACCCGTGATGTGAAAAATTCCCACCTGAGGATCAGCTGATGTTTCTGCACGAGGCTGGCCAAGAACTCACAATCCTCTCTTTCTCGTTCTCGACTCGGAAGGTAGGCGGCCAGCTTCTTGGCCAGATATCCAAAGTGCATGCAGATCTGGCTCGAGACACACATCATCCAGAGGTCTGCGCCCACACTGACATTGACGACGAATTGGCTGTAGGTTAAGTCCATGAAATAGGCTACCGCATAGCCTACGGGAGTATCCGAGCGGAAGCAGAGCTGCGTTGGAAAGGTCCGTAGAAAGGGAAAATGTCCCTTTAGAAAATACATCATAAACGACTGAGGAAGAGGCCCTATTGCCATCACGGCCATGAAGCAGTAGTAAGAGTAAAACACATATCTCGTCGATCGGGGAAGATAGTATCTGTTAACCTCATACTCCCTCCGCAGCGACTCGTCCGCAGGATACAATTCCTTCAAACTTAGGATAAGCGTACGCAGTCGTTTGCGGTATATCATTAGGGTGACGAACTTCACTGCTGCACTGAGCATGTAGAAAAAGTGGAGGGCCCGGCGCATGATTTTGGATGGACTCCCGGCCACAGACTCCACCTGGAGACACTCGAGGGCCACGAAGAAAGCCTCATAAGAGCTGCTGGCAATGCATACGAAAAAGTAGCAGCGGAGGAGACCCTTCTGCCACGATGGCCTGACCGAGTCCAGAAAGTCGTATCCCAATGTCTTGAACATTATGTTCGCCAAAAAGGTGAAGTCCTGGTATTCGCGTTGCTTCTCCTGCATCTTTTTGTTTTGCTGCTTTCCGACTTCTGACATTTTGAAAGGTTTGTATTCCAGCTCTTAACTGGTTTGTGTTTTTCGACAATCGTTGCCTTTATACCCTCCAAGGGAGGAAAACGTCCATCGATTGTCCTTTACATAATTGTCTATTGAATAAATAATATTCTAATTGTTTTGTTAAATATGAGGTAATTATAAAATTGTTGGTGCGATGACTATACGTATTATACAACCTTGATTAATAAATAATTGTAATGAAATTAATTGAAGTTAGATCCGAATCAATTGTTGTTTAGGTATAACTTTTCATACATACTGTTATCAAAAAACTATTCATCATTGATTAACTCTGGTCCTTAAGATACTAAAAGTTGTTTGGTTAATATAACATGCAATTATATAAAGAAAGTTAATTATTATGTGATTTCCAATAGTGCTCATGTAAGCCACTGGGAGAAGCTGGAAAATAATAGAAACATTTATTTATAATTTATTCAGTGGCTTCTCGAATTTCACTACTGAATATATAAAATTCATATAGCAGACATTTGCATATATGTATGTATGTACAACTTCATATGGTTAGGCAAACACTTAACGCCCCCCAACTGTGTTTTAGCCATTTTATTCGATTGCCTTGCCAACCGTTTTGCCGCATTTTGGCAGCGATTGGTTCAAAAGAAGCTTCACTCTTTGCTCTTGATTTTAATTATTTATACAGTCAGCAAATTATAATAAAAAGCAATCTAAATTCTAAACGGAAATTGACAAAACTCTCCGTTCGCAAAAGTTAGAGATGAGCGTTGACCGAATACAATGAACTTTATGGACTATAGACTGAAATTTGATGCTTATGCTAAATTGGTCTCCAAAGTTGGTTATAAAACGATCCGTCGGTCTGCGAAACTGTTACAGTTCTGTCGGGTAGATCAGCGTTGAAAGTTGTTATTAAAAATGTCTCTAAAATTGGTAAATCATAGTGTGCCCTCCAGGAAGTGATGTGTTCTAATCTAAAGTTGATGTGTTTGCAGTTGTCGTGCCTTTTCGTGCTGGTTTTGGCCGCGATCGCCTGCGAGGGGCAGACCCAATACAATCCGTATCTGAGGAACCCCTACTACAGGGACCTGTACTACAAAAACCGCGATCTGTACAACCTGCGCCGCTACTACGACGGCTTCTACAAAAAGTACAACCCCTTCATTGCCAACGCCCAGGCCCGCGTTGTGGCCCAGTCCAACGAGGCCAACTACGGCACGGGATCCTATGTCTACAATTATGAGACGGAGAACGGCATCCACGGCGAGGAGCGCGGTGTGCCCGTCAATATAGGCAACCAGGAGCAGGAGGAACAGGTCGAGGGTGCCTACTCCTACATCTCGCCGGAGGGTCTGCGCGTGGGCGTCAAATACGTGGCCGATGCCAACGGCTTCCGTCCAGTGATCACCTGTCAGTATGCCCAGTGTGATAGTGCAAGAGCTAAACACTACAGTGATGTATTTCTCTTTCAGATGATGGCGTAAACTCTGCCTTCTATGCCAGCCAGCCTGCCCCGGCAAATGTGGTCTACACGAAGCATTGAGGCAAGATTCCTTCCTATTCATTGTTACTTGAGTGAAATAAGTGTGTTCAGCCTTCTTCTTAATAAAAATATAATCTTTACAAATCGTATTTGATCTTTGAACGCCCCTGAATCATGACTCTAAAAATGCACACCGCAGTTAGTTTAGGCATTGCTTGTCCATTGATTCAGAACATTTGTATTTGATCCTCTTAACTATTGATAAGAGTATTACCAATCTGGAATCCACCATTTCCCTGCAAAATCACTCAGATATATTATAGTTTGACGATCTTTAGATTTATCTATCAATAGATGCCAAACAGGCTTAAAATAGATCGAATAAAGTAATTCATACAAATAATAGAGCGCAGCGCTATCAATGACATGAGTTTGTACCGTAATGCTTATAGTCTTCTCCTCCTCCATAACCACATGTGGCCATTAACTGACGAACGCCATTTTGGCTTCTTTCGATTGATTTTTTTAAACCACATAAGCTCTTCTTAATAATACTACGACGAAAGCTTTTTCAATTAAGTCTTCAGCACAAAAGTGTGCTTTTAAATTCATTTTTAATTATTAAAATTTTTTATTTTTTTGGATGACAATCGATTTTTTTCTTTTTTTATGAAACATTTGAATTTTGCCAACATAACAAAAATTTCTCTGCAGTTGATTGAATCATTGAAATAAGTTTGAGTACATTATTTATATATCTATTATATACTCATTCCTTCCTTTGCCAATATAAACAAAATTTCTCCACAGTTGATTGAATCATTTATTTTCCAATTGCTTTGTTTGAAATAAGTTTAAGTACATTATATATATATATATATATATCTATTATATACTGCTTAATTTTAATCGAGTACAATTCGATAACATAAATACAAATACACCCACTTAAGCTTATTGTTGAAGAACTGGTTAATATTGGAAGCATTTTTCTTAGCGTGAGCTTGGAGAATACTGGATATGCAGAGCATTGTTCTGAAAACAATTGAGAAATAATTAGTAAACCTAAAATTATATTTAATACAAAATCATTTACTCTCGAAAAAGTCGTCTCTTTCTATTTTATTCTATTTATTTTTTAAAACTAAGTAAATCACTCTTATGGGTTACCCCCAGCTCAAGCTGGGCCTGCCGACAAAAATGGGTCAACTTTCGCTTATCGGAAATGTGAATAGTGAGTGTACGAGTACTCGGTGTACGAGTATACAGCGACTACTTAGACGGAGACTTGTTTTTGTCTCGACTTTGGGAGAGCAAGAAACCCATTAATTTTAAACGGAGCCCGTATATTGGGTATTCAAAATGTGGAATATAATTTGGCAAAATGTCAGACAGTTTCATTATCAAATGCGATGCGATGTGGCCTTTGGTTCAGAATAATAAAACATTCGTTCAACTCAAGGGCTCAAGATGATCTTCAAGTTTTTCGTTCGTTGGAAAAAAACACTTGATTCTTCGTAACAGATATCATAGTTGGGTGTGTATTTTGATATATAAAGTAACAAATATTAATTATCTTATGCTTAGCAACGTTGTCACATTGAGTTAGATAGATAAATAAATACGAAATAACATAGGAGAGTACTACATATACGACTACAATTCGATTCCTCCATTTGTCTCCTTCCTTTTCCTTTTTTTGTGGATTTTTTCCTGGATTTTTTCGATGGCTTGTTATAGGGTTTGCCCGATGATCACTCGGCAAATGCAAGGGAATGGTGGGGTGTTGGTGGTTGGACTAGGATTGTTTGGGTGGGCGGGAGGGTGGTTGGTAGAGGTAGAGGGACCTTATGGCTGTTGATGAGGCAAGTCTGAGAGCGAACCTAGTGGGGCACAACTGGCTGCACTGTGGGATGTACGTCGGACAGGCGCTTACGCTTCTGCCGCTCCTGCTCGGCACGTTCCTCCTCGCGCTCCTCCTCCTCGGCCAGCTCGACCTCGTGCTCGAGCATACGGATCTGGTCACTCAACTCCTTAGGCATGCGCTCCAGATGAATGGACTTGATTTGGGCTTTGATGTCCTTGGTCATGTGGTTGATGCGGAAGCCACGATGATCGAACTGGGCTCCACCATTGGCCTTGTGCTGCTCCTCCACGTACTTCAGGGCGCGTGCAATGGCCTCGGGAATGGGGGGAGGAGTGGGAATATGATCGCCCTCGGGCATGAAGCCTCCATCGTTCGAGGCGTAGTTGACGCGATACAGCATGCCATCATCGCCGGTGTACTCGTAGTATCCCTTGGCGTGTGTGCCGCCGGTGTGATGGATCTTGGCCTCCTCCTCGCCGTAGATGCCGTTCTCGGTCAGGAAACTGTTTCGGATAGGACATGTTCGGGACATTAGCTTGGACGGAAGGGGAATTTCGTTGATGGAAAACTTACGCATGATCGTATTTGTCCTTCTTGCGGATCTCTTCCTGGTGCAGAATCTTGTGGCGTCCCTCATCGTCGTAGTTGTAGAGGATGTTCCTGGGCGTGGTCGTGGTCGTGGTGGTGGTGGTGGTGGTCCGCTTTGTCGTTGTAGTCGGCTTCTTCGTCGTTGTCGTCGTCGTGGACTGTGAGTGGTGGTGCGGTGTTGTGTGGTTGTAGTTGGTGTTTTTTTTTTTGTTATCATTTTGCTCATTTTTGTGTGGGTGTGTGTGTGTGCTTGTGGGTTGCATGCGTGTACGTGGGCATGGATTTAGGAGTAGGGTTCAAGGGTTTTTGGGCTCGGATGCGGGTTCGGGTTCGGGTTCGTGTTCGGGTTGGATCATGCAGGATACCTTATGAGGTGTTCATGTAGCGCGTTATGGTTGGTTTAGTTGCAGAGCCGAAAACGTTCGTAAATAATCATTTTGGTTGGTTATGAAAGCAGGAGGTGGAACAGAAGGGGAATTGCCGGATTGCGGGGGGTTTCTGGGGGCTGGGCTGGGGCTTTTGGCGCTTTAGTGCTGGATGCTCGGTTGTAGATGGGTTTGTGTTGCGATTTGCGGTTCATGTTCGGGAAAGCCGTACTCCAAGCGGATTTCAGGTACTTTAAACTCGGCATTACTTACTGTGTACAGATCGTGGCTGCAAATGAAACGATTTCATTCCGTTAATATCACTACAGATTATTATTTTCAGTTACACTCACTTGTAGGGCTTGGCATCGTGGACGTAGGGCAGATTGAGTCCGGCATATGGCCCATAGCCACCGTCGTAGGGGTAGGGAACGTGATGGTAGGCTCCAAGCTCGCGGTGATCCGTTACATGAGTGTAGGGCTGAGGCATGTGATTGTAGCGACCTTTGGGGTGCAACAGAAGTCAATGGTTAGTGGGTCTGTGTATAGGAAAAGCACTGTGTGAGTCTGTGTGAGTGTGAGTATGGGTGTTGTGCGGGTAACTTCGGACCCTTTAGTTACGAGCATATCTGCCATTAGATATTTACAACTTTCGTTAGTTTCTCGTTTCCTTTATGTACAAATGTACAAATGGATTTGCAGTTAAGTCTGAAAGTGATTCGGTTTTGAGTTAAACTACAGTCAAACAACTACAGTGAGGCCAGAACGGCAAAAGTTCAGCTTTCATCCCTAATCTGCAGATGAGTATCGATTTTGTGATAGTGTGGATGGTGTTCTCTACAAAGAACTGAAAGAATGGAATGGCTTCTTTCCTTCATTTGTACTTCAATGATTTACCTAAACTATCCTGTGTACCACTCCGGCCTATAAGAAATCGAATGTTTAATATCATGTTTAAGTGCTAGGGAGAGGGGGGAAGAGTGTACTCCGGTTAGTGAAGAAGCTCAGCTCAAGATCGCGATATTCCGATTCGGAATTGGATTTGCAATTTTAAAACGTTTCAAAGGCCGGGCCAACCTTGAGCTTGAACTTGGTTAGAGAGTCAACAGATTATTGGTACGAGTATAAATAAGTGTGTTATCGGAATCAACGCATATTCGCATGCTCTCGGGCACGTCTGTACATGTGTGTTAGTACTGGTAGCTGGGCAAGATCGGGCTTGCTCTGGTGGCAGCCAATTCGCTCTTGGCTGGGGGTTAGTGGGCGGCAACAGCAACCGCATGCAGTCAGTGGGCGTGGGTAGGCGCGTTAATAGAGTTGGATCACGAAATACCTTCATTCTGCGAGCTGGGATGGTAGCGTCCGTCATCCACTGATCTGTATTTGCCGGCGTTAGAATTTTGCCCTGAAACCGTGTACTTGCCATTGAGGTCCTCGTCAGGGACGGGACTGGTGTGGCAGACAGCAATGAGAGCCTGTAGGCGAGGGGTTAGATGATTACCAACTGATTTGCATAATGCAATTAAAACAGTGACAGGAAGTGGCCCCCAAAGTGCGGACGGGTTGAATGTACTCCGGATCTAATGAATCAGCGGCGCCTGTGCCAAAACTTGCTCCGAATCGAGTCGGCACGAGGTAATTAAATAAATGCGTATTTATTTCTTTTCTTGCTAATTGAACTCGCGCTGGCAACGTGACGGAGACGTAATACACGTATTGTTCACCACGTTTACCGCCAGCACTGGGCGTCACTCTGGTCACTTGGCAGGATCTGGGCACTGGATTACTTACCACGACCACCACAGCGGAGAATCTCAGCATGGATTGGGTGAACATGTTTGCTTTTCTTAGATTATAGTCGATATCCTTTGGGTAATTATCCTCGGGCTTGTTGCTGCTGTTTTCTGCTGGCTGATGTGTTCTCGCTGGTAATCCTTCTCTGAGGGCGACTGCAACAGGAATGTTTGGAGTTCGATCAAGTACGCCCCATTTATATAGAGATGTGCCGGTGGCTGTGCTTTCGGCGCAACGACGCTCCTAAAATTCTCAGCCTCAGCCGGCTCAGCATCCGCGCGCTCGTTTGCTGTGGGCTGCTCTGTTTCTGCTTCGTGTGTGAGATTGTGTGTGTGTGTGTACGTACCGGTTCACCTCAGTTCAATTCGATAAGAAAGAAGAACAACAGCTCTGGCACCCTCTCTCTCTCTCTCTCTCCGGCTACTCCCTTATGGGTTTTCGACAATGACGAGTCGCACTCTTCTTGTCTTGTGCGCGTCTCATCTCGCTACTGGCTTTCGCATGGAATGCAGCTTAGACGCTCTCATTAGCTCAATAACTGAGGTAATCATTTATAAGGCTATCAATGTCGTCAATAATCGTAATTACATATATAATCAATTAAAAATTTGTATAATTTGGCAAACGTCGTCTCCTCGGGTTCAGCGACCTTTTGAACTTGAACTATAGCGATCTGCAGCTCAGGATATATGGCAGTGGATGACGCGCTGTTTACTACGCTTCTGCTGAAGAAATTCCCGTGATTTCGATGCGAACTGTCATCAAAATTCTGCCGAACAATGAGAGCGAGCAATTTTTTTGGAAATCGCTTCATTTGCTGATAATCGAAGGTAAAGTTCAGGCCCCAGACGTCATAAAGTCAGCGCAGATAACGACTTTTGAAAAATAAAAATTAATTTGTTTTGATTGGTCATAGTCGCACAATAAAGGGAAAATACCTATTTAAGTCAAGGACATGCGGCAAAACAGAGCCAATGAAAATTGTATACTGAAGAGTCTAACAGATAAAGTTTTGCTAGGAAGGAATTCAACAGCTAACTAGCATATTTCGATATGTAAGTGACACTCAAAACTTTGTTCGGGGAACACCCCGAATTCTTTTAATATGATTTTAAACAAATACGAAATCCCCCTCTTGAAGAGAGGCTCGAAGATACATTGACATTGACGATGTGCATGGTTTCCGGGAAAGATAAATATCCTGCGGAGGATGGCATTATTTAGGGTCTTGGGCTGGATCTTCCTTCCCTGGATCGCTTTAGCCATGCTCAGACGCCCGTTAATTTCTCAGCTGGGGTCCAACGTTAACTAGCTTTGGCAACCGATGACAACATCGTCGGCATCGGAGATACATACATGTCCCAACTACCTGGAGGCACTCGGAAGCGCCATAAAAGTGCCGTAATGAAATCATAAATTACGCACCAGCGGAAATACAGCCAAGAAAAAAAACACAAAAAAAAAATATAAATAAAAAAAAATAAATAACCATTCAGACAATGCGCGCGCCTGCCACAACGCGAAATGCATTAATATTGAAGCTGAAGCAGAATTCGACGCTGGAGATGGAGATTTCGAGGTGGAGATGAGGATGGGGCTGCGATTGGGGCTGGGTCTCTCACAGCATACATACATATGTACAGACATATGCATAAGTATAACCGGAATCGGAATCGGAATAAGACTCGGATTGAACCGGCATAAGAAAAATGTTGACAAAAATGATTTTAATTGTTTGTAGCAAACGTTGACACCGCCAGCAGCTGCGGCAGTGACAGCTCGGGGATCGGCTTGGAATTTGTCCTTAACGGTTTCGGAGTCTGGAGATGAATCCAAGATTACCGATATACTACTAGGTACATCCATTTGTATGTAGATGCAAGCAGCCGAAACGGAGAAGGATTGTCAGCGCACATTGCCGGTCTTAAGCCAATTAATAACGACCATAAACATAAACTGTGATTAAAACGCAACAGTTTGGGACACGGGAAGCCGAGTGTCGGGCTGGCCACGGGCAGAGGGTAAAGAGTACCGAGCACCGATCACCAAGTACCAAGTATCGATGATGCGTCACAGTCAGTGCACTCCAAAGGTCGTACGCTGAACCCACGGCTGGGAGCCAGACCAGCAGAGATGGAATGAAACGAGACCACAGACCAGAGACCAGAGACCAGGCCATACCAGACCCGACCCAAAGCAGAGCCAGATTGTTGTGTGAATCACGGCGCGTGCTGTTATTGTTACTTTTTGAATCATTTCGTTTGTTTTTGGGCTCTGTCGATTTCTACATACTATATAGGGGGGGCATTCATAAAAGTCACAAATACTTAATAAATATTTAAATAAAATGTCTTTTTAATCAATTACAAGTTCGATTTGTGATGCCCGGGCGGTTGTCACTTGATTTGCATGCTACAAGTATTTGCGATCAGAAATCAGATCAGATCTTCACACCGCAGGGTGCTGCTGGTGTTATTTTATTATAAAAATCCACACATACAGACTATATCTGTATGGAGAAATATTTTTAATGGCCAGCACTGGCATTGACCTTGGATCACATTCTGTCCAAATCTCACACTTTCTTCGATACGATGCGTCACTATCACATCACACGACCAGGTTGGATCGGCTTGGATGGGCTCGGTTGGATGTTAATCTCCGCTGAATTCAAGTATTTACGATCCATATCCAATGTCAGAACAAGTTTGAGTGTGTTTTATTTCATTGACGAGGCATCTCTCCTCCGGAAAGTGTCGCACATAAATCTTTAATCTGCTTAAAACTAATTTCAAACAATTTGAGTCGGCTTAGAGAGCAGGAAGTATCAACACGGGCACTCCCAAAAAGTGCCCCCGACTAGTAGGCGATCACATGTGTAATTTCCTATAGCTCCAGTACCAGATGAAGCCTATGAGGATCAGCGGCAGCATTCGGCCGTCAAGCGCGGGACTGCTCGATGCGTTGCACAAGTGTCCGCGGCAGTGGCAGAGCAGAACGGTGTTCCTGAAGTTCACCTTCTCCTCGATGCAGCCCTCTTCGTACGGCTCCTCCACGACGGACTTCTCCTCCCACGACTTGTTGACGAAGACGTGTGTGGTGCTCAGTTGCTGGGCACATCCCCGCATCGTCTTGATCCACTGGTTTCCCTCCAGTAGGCTCATGGTTAATACGGTTTTCGTGCACATGGTTGAGTGGGGGCACTCTCCAATGTGTCCGAGGGGCTTTTGCGGGCCGCCGCACGTCTGGTCCGCCTCGTTGCACTGGTAGCACTTGAGAATCTCGCCGACTGCCACGCTTCCGATTAGGAAAACCACTGCTCCCACAGTCGGCCAGAGCTTGGTTCCGATGCCCATTATTTCCGGGGATAGAATACGAGTAACTCTGCTTCCGAAGTCGTTTGCGCTTGCGTTTCCGATACAAGCTTTGCGCTTCGAGGGCCCGAAGAGAACTGGAGGCACAGTGGGAAAGGAAAGTCTCGTATGTTTAAAAAAGATAATTTATGAGTAATACGCACCCTTCTGGAGCAGTCGCTGATCAACTAAAATTAATCTCAACCGACAAAAGTTTTATTTTTTTTGGAGGGCGTTCTCATATCACCGAGTGCTCTGCAGCATTACAATTGAAGTGAAATGAAATAACATACTGGGTATGCATGAAATTTCTTTGGATTATTCGAATAAACCTTGAGCAACTGCTTCCACTCCCCGTTCCTCTCTCTCCAAATGCTTCCAGATAACAGATGTTTCATTATGCACCGTTGTTTGCTTCTTTGTCTTTCTTTCGCTCTCTGTATTGGGAGGCGGACAGCTCTTATCAAGAATGCGATCGATGCCTCTTCTTTTGCCATTCCAATGCGTCGCAGATGCGAATATGTATTTGCGCTCATCGATTCCTATCGATTGTTTGAGCACTTTATCCCTTGGCCAAGCCCGGGGTTTACCAGTGGAATTTAATTGGATATTATAATGACAGCATTGTTCAGTTCGATTCCCATTCCCATTCCTGTTCCCGTTCCCGTTCCAGAGACTGGGCTCCCCACATATGATTTACGCGTATTTTCACCCCCTCTAAGTCGGCCTTTTGGACAGACAGCCTTTAGCATTTCGTGCAAAACAAATGAAATCTTTATAGGCTGGCATTGTATTTCTGTCCATAAATTACCCCCGACTTTGCGTGGGTTTTCACACACACTGGAACTGTCAATGCGACTCGTCTCCTTTTTTATTTAGGTTTGATTTTTTCTCAATATTTGTTGCTTATATATCATTTGCTCTCTTTTTGGTTTAATTAGTATGTTCTGAGGCATCACGGGTGGTATAAATCAAAATGGAACGTCTATAAATATTGGTGGATGCTGAAGCCAGTTTGGCCACCGAATGCCAGAATAGATGGATGGTTTTTGGTAGCACACGGCGCATTCACATTTTAATCGATCCCATTAAATACAAACGATTTGTGCCATTAATTGCTGGCATTTGTTTCGCCCAACGAATTAATTTACAAAGCGCCATTTTGCTGTAGGTCCGAGGCAAACCCACCCAAAAAAATCAGGCTTACTGACAAACTGCAATTGGAGCAGACTCCAGAACAATGAAACAAATTACCAGCCACAATGAGGCGTAATTGGATACGAGTTGATGCCTCTTCAGTCTGGTATTCGTGATATGTGATATGTGGGATCTTCAACCTGACACCTGGGACTGGGACTGAGGGACCCAAATTGCAAGCGAGTTCAAAGATCCTCTCCTAAATTATTGTCGGACCCCAGCAATATCCGACCGCCGCGATTGTAAAATCTAAAGGTGCTAAATAAAATACGCATTCATGTTTTGGGTGACTTCAATTTTTAAATCTCTCTTGTCGTTTGGCCAAAAAGCGCATAAAATAAATTTATATAAAATGGAAAAATCGCATATAAATAAATTTCCAGCCCGACAAGTGCGAAGAAGAGAAATGTGTTTTATTTCACAATCGCCCCCGGTATGACATCATGCCAATGGAATCTCAATCTTGTATAAACTTCCCCAGAAATCTCTAGTTCCGCTGGCTGAGCTTCTTTCGAATGGGTTAACGTTAACGCTGACCACAGAACTGTCGTTAAATATTTTACTTTAAGTTGAGTTCAATTTACGAGTAAACGGCCATATCCTGCCAATTGTCAGCCTAAAGCGGTGATACTTTTCGGCACTCTCATAAATTTCCCCCCAAGGACGCTCCGCGGGCCAAGTGGTGGCAGAGGGGCAGTGGGGAGGTGCAGGCATGAACATGCAAGCGAACATTTTGTGAAATTAATTAATTGCATGCAAAACACCAAATTACGCGTTTCTGGCGACTCAGTGCCAGGGGCAGTCTCTCTTTATTTATCTCCAGCGAATAATTTAAAGTCCCGCCACCAATCCAGATCCCAAAGAGAGAGAGAGAGAGAGATAAATGCTAACCTGTTGTTGCAGTTTTAATAGAATACATACACATTCCTACGAGCGATCCATCGATCGAACGGAATCACTTATAAGTGAGTAATCCGTGATGATTCTACGTAGGTTCTACGACCTCATGATTCACGGCACCCAATCATCATTCACTTCCTTACCACGATCAGGTATTTGAAATATTTGCAAGGTTCAATCAAGTCAAGAGTTCAAGTCAAGACCCCAGCCTACGGAAACGATACCTTGTCTGGCAGCAGGCGTGGGCGTGGTCGCTTTCGATTTCTGACACCGCCTCAACATTCTAGAGTTGTCGGGCTATGGGATCTACAGCGATGTTATGAATGGTATGACTGCCCAAATCAATGGGCTGACAAGGTGATTAATGAATATCGAACCCAAACCGTTGACCGATCTCACAGCTCGATGGACTGACAGTTGTGGTTGTTATAAATGCCTTTTAAGTAAGACAAACGAGCGTCTCATTTTGTATAATGCGTTTTAAATTTGATTTAAACGACACTAATTACCTTTGATCCTATTGGGTTTGGTTTGCCGAAAGTCCAGCCAATTAAGGTGACAAACGGCAACATGTCTGACAAATCGATCATCGATAAGTGATGCGGTTGAAAGGCTTTCGAAGGAACAGAGCTGTTGAATGATAAGCACTGAGCAAATCAATGGAAAGGCGTTGTGTTGGATGTGTTAAGTGTTCAATTGATAAATTATTCAATTGGTGGTAGCCTGTGGAATCCTATCCTGTGTCGGTCATCGGTGGCATTCTGTCCAACATCTGGGTGTGATGGCTTTGACACAGTTTGATCTCTATTCCGAAGTGGTCGTCTCCGTTTTGGTGGGGGCTGCAATGCATTGGGTCTCCGAAAGGTTAAAAGCGACCCGCTGTTGCCAATGCAAACGAGTTGCTTAGTTAGTCGCTTACAGTATTTGATGACTTGTTAGTATGCAAAGAGCTTCTACTTATTGCCAGGCAGTGGCTGCTGAATCATCTGCCGCCGAATAAGCTCGGGTTCAGTCCCGCCCATATTTAATCCAATTAAACGATGCCATCTGGCACATAAACCTCGGGTGTTATTAGCCAAACGGCTATCGGGCGTGGAGACCCAAACTAAAATGGCCAGCGAGTGCATTGGGGTCGAATCAAACGTAATCAGGTAGTCGACATGAAAACACGCTTAACGCTGCCATTGAGTGCTCTGGCGCTGCTTGGCCTGGCCATCACCTGCTCCTGGGGCCAGGAACAATTGGAACCAAGGCCGCCCAAGCGGGGCCGGTACATTCCCGAACTGCACGGAGCCACGGGCTGGTATATGCCGGACGACAGCGGAAAGTACCGGCATGAGCACAATCCCTATGATGGCGGGTACGGGGACCGGGGACAGCCGTACTCCGCCGATCTGCGCAGCATCTTCCGAAAGGCCGAGGAGCAGCTGGCCGCCAGTGTACAGGAGGCCAACGAGAACTTCGCCCTGGGTCCCCGCGATCATCTGCGCTTCATGATCGACTTCAACTACAACGGCACGGGCTGGCAGATCATCCAATTCGAATGGGTGCGCGATGGCGACGAGACCCATCCGGACATGAAAAAATATAGCTACGTTAACGAGAATAAGCTGTGGGAGACGGGAACGGAGAAGGCGACGGGAGTGGCGGAACAGCCCTATCACTACCACCAGCCCGATGAAGGCTCAGAGGTGAGCTGTGAGCCACCTGCGGAGGTCAGCGAGGAGCAGCAGCAGCAACAGCACGAGGCTCAGCCTCAAAGCAACATTAATTCCGAACAGGACGTAAGTCTATGTTATGTGGTGGGTACGCACTTTTTCCTACTAAAGCTTGGTTCATTGACAGCCCGAGAAGATTCATGAGACCATTAACGAAGTCCTGGAGTACATACAACAGCGTATCCTGCCCACTCTGCGGTAAAATGAATGATAAATGAAATGTATTGGAGTTGGTGAAATAAATGTAATGCGGAACTGGAATCGGTTTTAAAGCACTTATTTTAGCTGTAATCCATGAACAGTTCTAATGGCACATCGGTTTATTATCAAATCTTAGATTTCATTTCACACTTTCGATTCAATATCTATTTCTTCTTCTTGGCATTCTCCTCCAGGTAGGCCAACAGCTTGGCCACATAGGGCGGCGGGGGTGGTGGCGTTGGGAGGTGAGCAGCACTGGGCACAAAACCATTGTCGTCGGCCGTATAGTCCACGCGGTAGAGTATGCCATCGTCGCCAGTGTACTCGTAGAAGCCCTTCGAGCGCAGGCCATCATCCTCGGCCAGCTTCTCGATGCGTCCGCTCTCCTCGGCCAGAATGCCGTTCTCCGTCTCATAGCTAGGGGGAGAATCGAATTATCCCCGATTTTATTCTCTGCTGCAGTCTTGGTTCGAGTATACTCACAGATAGTGGTAGCCATCTTGCTCGACATCATCTTCCAGTCGGATGATGGCCCAACCATTGCCGCCTTCGCCTGTGCCCCGTCCCTTGGGCAAATTGGCGGTCACATCGACGACGGCTGGCGGTGGAGGTATGGTGGGTCGCGGCTGGGGTTTTTTGGTGGCTCCTGCGCCTGCCGCACCAGCTGCCCCGCCGCCTGGTCGAGCCCCTGACCCTGACCCTGCTCCTGCTCCTGCCCCAGCACGGCCTGCTCCGCCGCCAGTATTCTTGTCGCCCACATAGCGGTTACGGTCTCCGGTATAAGCACCGCCGGCTCGATCGTCATGCTCATACTTGTTGTCCACGTGTACATAGCGGCCATCGCTGGCGCCGGAGTAGCGTCCGTCGTTTCCTCCGCGATAGCGTCCGTCGTTGGCACCCGTATAGCGTCCGTCGTTACCACCTTTATAGCGTCCGTCGCCAGCAGTCGCCCGCACCGCAGCTGGAGGAGGCCGATACCTTCCGTCGCTTTGGGCCAGGGCTCCAGCCACGCAGGCCAGTAGTAGAGCAATCTGCAACAGGAAGTCCGTAAGAAACCCGACGTGGCCTTTGTTCCGAGTGAAGCACCCAACCTACCGTTATACGCAGCCACATGGTTGAAGATGATCAATGAGAAGCTTTGGCCAGTGGTCCCCAGCTTTATATCTTTCGCTGGTACGCCGCACTACGCCCACATGGAGAAGAATCGAGCTCTATTCTGTAAGTGCCCACGGTCCGGCCTGGTCTGGTCTGGGCCAAGTGTGCGACTGCTGCTGTGCCTAATTGGCACCGATCTGACCGGTGGGGGACTTGATCAATTAAGCGTCGGGGTTTACGATGCGATTAGTTCATAATTTGTTGGAAAGCAGCCGGCACAGTGGATGCCGCCACTTGATGCAGATTAATTGCAGTGATTCGATGAGCCATCTCCAAAGGCTGGACCAAACATTGACATTTCTTTGGGGGGGTCACGCGAAGATAATTTTGGACAGGCTACCAGTTACCAGTAGTTTCTCATTGAGATTCCTCCGCGTCTCGCCTAAAAGTATGCTATGCGAATGTGTATGATAGCAATCCTCTGCAGGGGACTATAGAATCTAATGGAATGGCATACTTTCGGGATGAATAAATTGTTCTGGTAAGTATCAGCAACTAATTATTCTGCGCCTTATTCATTCAACTTAGTTGACTGTTTTTAGTATACCAATAAAATCGTTCAAACAGTTTCATTTAAATCAATTTATTATCGTTTCCACATTCGCTTGTTGTGTGTCCCGATTTATTGCTCACACAGGGGAATACATATGTAGGTGATCCACATTGTCTAGCCCCGTCGGTTGTTGAACCCACCAGACGGTTGCTCTTGAGGCGGCGGCGGCGCCGTGGCCAGGTAGGCTAGTGCCTTCTGGATCGCCGGAGGGATTGGTGGGGGCGTGGGCAGATGATCGCCTTGCGGCTGGAAGCCATTCTCATCAGCCAGATAGGTGATCCGAATGGGTATGCCCTCCGGGGAGGTGTAGGAGAAGAAGCCCTGCGCGACCTTTGCAAATGGCACACAAGATGTAAATCAAAATTAGCTTGAGTTTATTTGGCAAATTAGCTGCCCGAGGGGCAGGTGCAGGTCTCCAGCAAATGCCAAGCTGTCTGGGCACGATTCACTGAGCTGAACTCACCTGTCCAGCATCGTCGGTGCCAGCGTTCTTGAGGTAGCCCTCCTCCTCGACATTGATGCCGTTGCCCGTCTCATAGGAGTACTTGTAGGACCCATCGAAGTTCACCTCCTGCTCCTGCCTGAGAATGGGAATAGGTTCTCCGGATTGTCCTTGTGGTCTTGCCTGGGCCAAGCTCATCAGCAAGGCTACGACGATGAGTAGCTGCAGGCGGAACGGAACCAACTGAGTCTCCATTAAGCCAACAAAGTCTGGTAGGAACTTACTCTGTATTGCATTTTGTATCCTCTGATTTGTGATCTGATCCTTTGCGACCGTCTGCTGCGGCCTAGCTTCGTTTGGGTACTGTGGCCAGAATTGCCAGCCGTTTGCATATTTATACCCAAGCTCGATTCAGTGGCTCCAGCTTGGGGACTCTCATTGTGGCCTGAACTTTACAGTTACCGCACACAGCCATAGAAGTATACAGAAGGCAGCGCAGCAGCAGCGGCAGCGGCAGCACTGAGGCAAAAGATTTGCAGCCCAAAGCTGGGCAAGTGTATAGCATTTTGAAGGCGCACAGATCGGAAGCCTGGCCACTGATTGCATCTTCCCATAGCGCGCTCGTGAACCATCGCTCGCGTCCACCCACTACTACACATGCAAGGCCCCCGTCAAAGATGCCCTAACAGATTTGAAATTGTGTTTGCTGCTGCAATTTGTCGAACGACTCGTATACATGATGACCTGTCGATGCCTGTGTCGTCCAACACACAGTGATGAATATATTTAGTGACAAAACTCGCTTACGATTTTCTTAAATTTGTTACACAGAATCCAAAGAATTCAAATCCATCTATGGCTGGAGCCCACTGTACAGTGTCTGCATTCAGGGGGCGTTGGTGCTTCGATCATTTTGTGTCGTGTTGTACATGAAACCCGTCGTGGCCGGCTTGTGGCATTCATAACTCCTCATCCTCACGCTGCCGCAGACAAGGACAGCACCATTAAATGCTTATATCAATTTGTCAGCTAATCATTAGACATTTAACCCATGGCGTGGCATTCAGAGTCCGATTTTCGATGATCATTATGATGTACACAACTATGACGGCCACCTGACCATGATAAAGTCTGCCTCATTGGCTCACTGGCTCACTGGCTCACTGGCTTACTGACTTACTGAACGGTGCGAGTGCTCGTACTGCTTGACCTTTGGCGGAGACAGATGCATCTCAATTTCTATCCCATGATTGGTCTTTACGAATGGCCGAAAGGCGTTAGTGGTTAGTGATGGGCCAGGCCCCACCACACTTGAGCAAATATCAGTTATCCCAGAGAGCTAAAGAACCGAACCGGAGATGCTACGCTCAGTGAAAGAACATCTTTTCGGCCATGGGGGAATAAGTATTCAAGTGTGGGATTGTGTTTGTTTGTTGTTTTTATTATTGTTTGGCTTATCAAATCATTGGCGTCCTACTAATCGGCGGGATCGGTGGTCGGAGTGGCAGGTCTCTATCCGGACTTCTTGTTGAACAGCAGCGACAAGAGCGCCTGCTTGAAGGGCTTGGCGGTTGTTGTTGTTACCGTGACGGTTGGGGTGGTGTAAGTGGGTGACGTCGTGTACGTGTAGGTGGTTGTCGTAGGCGATGTCGGTGATGTCGGCGATGTCGCTGTTGTCGGAGTTGCAGTTCCTGTCGGCGTTTGGGCGCAGACCAGCGACAAGACAGCAGCGAAGACAGCGACGAATGCGAAGAACTTCATATTGTATTTTTTGTTTTGTTTTGGGCTTGGGGCTTGGGGCTTGCTTGGTTGTGATGCTGCTGGAGGCTGCTCAACTCGAAGTGTGTCTATCTGTGGGCCATGGCACACTTTTTATACGTGATCCAACCCCTTTCCTGCCAAGGGCCGAATGCAACAGGTCTGTACGAGCGGGCCGGGCCTATGTTTGCGCAAATGTTTCCATTGTTCTTTGTTTGCTCTTCATTCCCCATCTCCGCTCCCGTGTTGTGTTAGTCTTGCGGCTGTCAAGTGTTGAAATGCATCATTTCTTCCACTTCCACTTCCACATTCCCCTTCCAATGCTAGTCGGCCTTTTTAAAGTTGAGCAAGTCAATGTCTGGGCCCACACTTATGGTACCTTTACTTTTACTTATACAAGATCTCCTTAATCTGGCGCTTAAATTAATACATTCTTAGTATATATAACGTGCGTAGCTGCTCGGCCACTGCATGGAGAAGGTGTAGTCGGGCAGCGTGGCCAGGAACTGCTCGCTCAAAGCGTCCCGCTCGACCCTGGGACCCACGTAGTGCCCGGAGACGCCAAGCTCGCAAATGGGTTCATCGAAATTTCCATTGTCCTTCTGCAAAATCAATTCAGAATGAAGATGGAATGAACGCTCGGAAAAGTCTGGGGCTTAGAAATGATAACCTGATTATAATCGAGAATCATATTAATATACCAACTATAAAACTACTTTTAGAAGTCTTTGGACTCTGAAAGAGCTTCTATTAGGATAGTTTGAGATGGAGACGGACAGACATTGCTGTGGTTGCAAACATTTAAATAGCCTTGTAAAGTTTAAATAGTAATACCAACCGATAGTTCCACGTAGAACTCAATGGGAGTGCTGTCTATGCCGTAGGTTATCTGGACTTGCAGCGGTGGCCTATACGTGGCGGGGTTGTCCAGCATGCCCTGAGCAAATGACCATCTCAGCAGCTTCACTCCACTGCGGGGCTTGAAGAAGAGTCCCATGTTGGGAGGGCCTGACAGCCGGAATTCCAAGCGGGCCTGATCGCCCCTGGCCAGGACAGTCTTGTTAACCAGCTCCAGAACAGTGGGGTACGGCAGCTGCACGGGCTCTTCCCGTGGCAACCAACGCGCCTCTTTGCGAGCGGAGCACCAACGGTAGCAGGGAATGCCACACATCAGCTCCGAGTCACAGTCCTCGCCCAGGCGAGTGAGACCAGTGAGGTTCATCGTATCGTGGAGAGGCCCGTCCTTGTTCCTGTCCAGCATATGCAGATAGTAGCCGCTGTTTTCCGAGCTCATGGATCCATCGTGCTCGAAGAATCTGCGGTGCACTTGCTACTCCATAGAACAGTTCAGTTGGTGGCATTTCTTGGTAAACATTAGTCGACTCACCATCATATCTACACGCATCACATTGGTCTTTGGGCGGTAGGGAAATCCAACATCGGAGACGGAGATCATGCAGAACACGAACATCGCCAGCGCCAAGCCTCCGAGCATACTCTTGGGTCGCCGGAACATATTTATGAGGGGAGCCTGCTTACACACATAAGGCGTTCAGTTACTTTAAGTTGAGGGATAGTTCTGCTTCCTTACCGCAAAAGACAAGGACAGAATCGTGCCGAACGCACACAGTACGGCTATGATGGTGTCGGGATTGGTTGTGACACCAAATCGTCCGACCATTGGTATGAGTATCACGATAAACATGTGGAATAGATAGGCATGGTAGAGGAACGGCATCAGCTGGCTAGCTCCGAGCACGAAGGACCAGTAGTATCCTGGAAATAAAGAAATACTCATCCCATCAGAGACAACAAATAATTAACGTAACTAACGTTACCTCGGCAATGCAGACGGGTCACCAGATTGATGATCAGAGCTCCCACATAGAATACGATAGAAATGAGGAATAAGTAGGCACTGCGGATGCTTAGAGCCGTTGTCACCAGACACAGGACCGCCAGGAGGACGCAGTAGGCATGCCCCGCGATCTGCAAGTGGTAGGCATGCGTGATCTTCTCCTGCAAGGTGTGTCAATCATGGGGAGCTTTAGTCGTGGTCCCCTGAGTATTTTGTTTTGGACAACTCACATTTGGCCGAAGAGTCAGATAGAGGGTCAGCGGCAGAATAAGGCCAATCACCGAGGGGCAAATGAAGAGACCGATGACCAGCCAACTGTTGCTAAAGTAAGTCAGGGTACGATCTCCTGCATCGTACAAGACGCACATGATCAGGGGCAGTGCCAGGGCCAGAACGAAACCGGCAAGTGCCAACAGGAATTGTACTCCGAACGCGCCGGCAAAGGTTCCAACGGCGTGACCCGACACCTTGCGCATGCGCCACAGGGAGAGGCAGACGAGCAGCATGGCCCCAATAGAAAAGCAGATGTTGAGTACCACGCCAGTGGACTCTTTGTAGAACACGAAGAAGAGCCCGATAAAGTCGAAAAACACCGAATGGCCCTCAGAGTACGGCTGAAAAGAGCAGTGCGGCGTTAAGAGTGTCCGAAAAGAAGTAATCAAATGAGGAGATATCGAGCATTGATTACCTCCGTGTCATACATCTCGTGGGCATTGGAGATACTTTGAACTAGGGCCAGCACATTGTCCCCAGTGCTCTGGAGGGCGCCGCCGGATATGACGGTGTACCGATCAAACTCAGTGTGATAGACGAATCCATTGTAAATGCCAGCCATGTCCAGGCCTAGTAGAAGATATTTCTTAAATTGAACTAAATTAACAAGACACGTGTCACATACCCGGTACGACGCCAAAGTCACGGAAGATCCTGAAGTCGGTGTCCGAAGGTATTAGGCCAGCTTGGAATATCTCTTCGCCCGTGGTTGTGGCGAACGGGTGCGGGATACTTTTTTTGTAATGCTGTAGCGATATTTTGAAGGTTGAAAGTAGAATCCGATTAGATAAAATGGCTGCCAGACAGGCGATACCGATTTCGTTCATATCTAAGCAATACTCGTAGAACAAAGCAAGTAGTAGTCATCGGGTGAATGAGGCAAGTTACTTACTTCCATCAGCCACGGGTGATTGGGACCGCCCTGGAAGAGCAGCTCACGACCGCCCGAGCCGTCCAAGTTAATCAGCGCTCTAGGAAGAAAGTGTTTTGTTTTTTGTTCGCAATCTTCAGAGTCCGGTGGCGGTCTGTCCACTTACTTGCAATTGGCGGACCATCGGTGCTGTGTGATGAAGCCGTGGGAGCCCAGCATTGGCTGTTCCTCGCCCCCATTGAAGAGGAACACAATGGGATGCAGGAACAGATCAGCGGATATGGCCATCTGTCGGAGAACCTCCAGCATTACCGCCACCATGTAGGCATCGTCGCCGGCACCTGGGCCGTCAGGAATTATCTCTTTTGCTCTCTGATAGGACTATATCTTGCACTTACCCGGCGATCCGGGCTTGGTGTCGTAGTGACTGTTAACCAGCAAATATGAGGAGCTGTTGGACGTCCTCGTGCTCAACTTTACGATCACGTTCTGCACACCTTGGTAGTGGTTGACCAAGCCATTGTGAAGATAAGACCCCGAGACCCGTTGTACTTCACATTCCAAATCGAAGAGATCGTCGCGCATTGCCGAACGGACTTTCGCTATCTCGGCGAGCATATATTCCACTATAGTCACCTCATTGACATGGTCGCCCACGACTCGTGGTCCCATCTGGCTGATGGACAGCAGTATGCCCTGGGCTCGCTCGGCCACGAATTTCCCCGGACTGGCCGACTCCTCGGCGATCTTCAGAGCCGTAGGCACCGCCTGGAAGAGTGGTATGACCACGGCGAAGAAAAGACCCACCCAGAAGAGGAGGTAGGTGGGGCCATAATACCAGGGAAACTGCTTGGCCGCCCTTTCACGCCCCTCGAGCTCAATGATCAGGTTGGCAGAGTCTGAGCCGATGCTCGTAGCCTGAATGGTCTGCAGAAAAGGAAATAAATATTACTCATTCCGTGACTAATTCCAGAAAAATCTGGAGGCACACCGATACCTTTCCATCCGTTGGAGCGCCCATTTCTGCCTACAGCCAGAGTACTACTAACAAGGGTCTGGTCTGCCATGGCCATCCTATTTTAAAATGGTATTTTTTGCATTTATGGTTGTAGTATTGGTATCGGCAGCATAGTATAAAGATATTCGATATTTATGGCCTAATGGCCCTAATGGCTTCACAATTACTAATCAACATACATATATAAAATCTATATAACTCTTGGCAATACTTCGCAGAACATACATATGTACATGAGTACGTACTATGTAGATTGATTCCAAAACGTGAACGTGACGATTTTTGTGAGGCCGATTAGGGGAAATCATAACGCCCAACTTTGCCCCATATCGTAAAGCAGTTAATAGCGGATTTATGGATTCATTGTGTCGCATCCGAACGGTAACGGCCAATTAGTAATCGTCTCCAGTTCAGTTTCCGTTTTATTATACTAATCGTTTATTCATACATATGTACATAGCACAACTCTACACTAGGAATTCTCAGAATATATATCGCTCGTAGGAGGTCGGCCATTCCATGGGATGGGCGAAATCGGGAAGATCATCCAGGAACTTCTGGGTGGCCGCATCCCGCTTGTTGAGGTGGCTCATGTAATGCCCGGAGACGCCCAGCTTAAACAGGGGCACGTCAAAGTTGGCATCGTCTTTCTGTAAACATTTGGAATGCGAAAGTTCCCCGTATTAGATAAACTCTCACCTGATGGAAGAATTTTTGCAATACTAACCCTCAGCTCGAAGTAGAATTCAACTGGTGAGTCGTCGCTACCGTAGCCAAAGAAGATGTGATACGGCGGTTTGTAGATGGCCGGGTTATCCAGCATTCCCATTAGGAAGGACCACTTTAGGATCTTCACCCCATCAAGGGGCATCACGAACAGACTCATCCTAGGCGGACCCGACACTTTGAAGTCGTATCGAACTCGTGTATCGAACTCCCCTACTAGAACGGTTTTGTTCAGCAGCTCCAGCACGGTGGGGACATCGGGCAGTTCGACGAGCTCATCGCGGGGCAGCCAGTGGGCATCTTCCACTGCGGCACACCAGCGGTGGTTGAAGCAGGGCATGCCACACTTCATCTCCTTCTTGCATTCTTCGTCGAGGCGCGTGAATCCTGTGAGGTTGATCTTGTCACGCAGCGGCTCCTCCAGGCGTCTGTCCTGCAGGTCAAAGTAGTAGCCGCTGTCCTCCAGGCTAAGGGATCCATCGTACTCGTAGAACTTTCGATGCACTTCCTAAAGAGATCGAAAAGAACAGTTCCGGTGAGTTGGGAGTTGCTTCGATTGGAATGCTACCGACTCACCAGAAAGTGCAGACGCATAACATTTGTTTTGGCCCGATAAGGAAATCCAACTTCAGAGACGGAGATCATGCAGAATATGAACATAACCAGCGCAAGGCCGCCTATCATGCTCTTGGGTCGTCGGAACAGATTAATCAGAGGGGCCTGGAAAGAGCTTAAATGCTGTCTATAATCCCCACGAGGTGGCATCACTTGCTTACCACAAAAATCATTGACAAGATCGAACCTAAGGCAGACAGAAGTGCAACGAACATGTCCGGGTTCGATTCCATGCCTTTGCGACTGGTCATGGGTATGATGATGACCAGGAAGCTGTGGAACAAGTAGGTGAAGTAGAGATACGGCAGTATCTGGCAAGCGCCCAGAACCAGGGACCAAAGGTAGCCTTGAAAAGAAACGATATATATTAAAAGAATTCCTAAGGGATTCGAGTCCCCTCCGCCAACTTACCTCGATCATGGAGACGACTCAGCAGGTTGATAATGAGAGCGCACACATAGAAGAAAATGCAGATCAATAAGAGGTAGGCAGTGCGAATGCTGGCCACCGTGAGTAGTATACAGAGCACAACCAAAAAGATGCAGTAGGCGTGTCCCGCGATCTGCAGGTGGTAGGCGTGCGGGATCTTCTCCTGGAATATAAATCGGAAGAGTTTAGTGACAGAATTAAAACTATTCTGCTCAACTTACGCTTGGTCGAAGAGACAGGTAGAGCGTCATCGGCAGAACAAGGCCGATCACGGAGGGGCAAATGAACAGACCGATGACCAGCCAACTGTTTGTAAAGTAGGTCATAGTGCGATCGCTTGAGTCATAAAACACGGACATGAGCAGGGGGAGGCCCAGGGCGAGAAGGAATCCCAGGATGGCCAGCAGAAACATAATTCCAAAGGCGCCGGCATAGGTGCCAATTTTTTGGTCCGTCACCCTGGCCATGCGCCACAGCGAGAGGCAGACAAGAATTATTGCCGCCAGGGAGAAGCAAATGTTAAGTGCCACGCCCGTGGACTCTTTGTAGTACACGAAGAAGAGGCCCAGATAGTCGAAGAACACCGAATGGCCTTCAGAGTGTGCCTGTAAAGATAGGTAAAGTGTGCTTAGAATAGCTTTAATAAAAGGCTACTCAGAAAGTGAATATTACCTCAGTGTCGTACATTTCCTCAGCATTGGAGATACTCTGTACCAGGGACAGAACATTGTCCCCAGTGTTCTGCAGCGAGTCTCTGGACACCGCACTGAAGCGATCGAATTTCGTGTGGTATACAAAGCCATTGTAGACGCCCGCCAAATCCAGACCTGATCAGATTCATGGATACGATGAAGTTTCATGTATTTTGTGTCAATCTTTTAATAAACCCCACCTGGAACTGGTCCAAAGTTATGGAACATGCGGAAATCTGTGTCCGAGGGTATAAGATCAGCCTGGAAGACCTCCTCGGCCATTGTGGTAGCAAACGGATGCTTGGCACTCTTTTTGTAATGCTGGAATAAAAAAGGTCGCAGTTTCCATTAGATAAGCGAGCCGACTGGAGGGAGCTTAAAGTGCAGATTAGATAAACAAGGCCACTAAACCAGTTCGCCAAGCACTAATTTAGATAATATTCACGATATCGACTTACCTTCATTAGCCACGGATGGTTGGGACCCCCCTGGAAGAGGAGCTCACGACCGCCACAGCCAGCGGAGTCCAAGTTGATGAGAGCCCTAGGAGAAGATAACAAAAATTGTAGTGGTCATAGTGCTGTATGATCCGTGGTGCTTCCACTTACTTGCAGTTGGCGGACCACTTGTGCTGCGAGATGAATCCATGCGAGCCATGAAACGGTTGCTCCTCGGCCCCATTGAAGAGGAAGACAATGGGATGTAGGAAAGGGTCGTCAGATATGGCCATCAGGCGGAGCACCTCCAGCATGGACACCACCATGAACTCAGCATCTCCGGTGCCTGCAGGAAAGAGCTTCGAGTTTCAAAACCGAAGAGTATTCGTAAACCGGGTGAGAGGATGGACTTACCCACACTGCTGGGCTTGGAATCGTAGTGGCTGTTGACTAGCAGGTAAGATGTGCTGTTGGAGCTCTTGGCGCTCAGCTTGACGACCACATTCTGGATGCCCTGGTACATGTTTATCATCTGCCAGTGGAGAAAGGCGCCTTGTGCCCTCTGCACGTCCACTTCCAGCTCATAGAGATCCTGTCGCATCTCCTGACGCACCTTTTCTATCTCTTCGAGGAGTAACTGAACCATGAGTACCTCGGTCACATAGTCGCCAGCGATTTTTGGACCCATCAGATCGATTTTTAGCAAAGTGGTCTCTGCTCGTTGTGCCACAAATTTGCCTGCCTTGGCGGACTCCTCCTCCACTTTGACCCCCGTGGGCAGGTGGTTGAAGAGGGGATAGACGACGGCGAAGAAGAGACCCACCCAAAACAGCAGATACACCGGCCCATAGTACCAGGGCAGCTGCTTGGGTGACCTACCCTTCTCATTCAAGTCGATTCTCGTGTCTTCGCTATCCTGCGTGTCCGTCATTAGCTGCATGGTGCTCTTAAAACCGTTTGTTGGATCCGTGTACTCCGGAACGGCATCCGCAAAGTTATCCGTATTGTTCTCTCCCATGTTGCCTGATTCCCTGCCTGCCGTGTTCACCATCAGATCACGGCGAAAAGTGGCGCAGAACTGAGCGAACTTCTCGAAAATGTTCTCTTTTATCAGACTGGATATGCTATCTGCAGCCGAGATCCCATAAGCAATATAGGCACACACGCCTTACCAACGAGATTTATTGTACAATGCACATGAATTTTACAATCCATTAAGGGGCCAAAGTCGCTTCGAGTTCAATCTTAATAAGGTGAAGTTATTGATTTATTGTCATTGCATAGCATCTAGATACGATACCAATCCTCCATATGTACCGATCTTATCGAGTGAAAGTCTGTGAGTTCCTAGTTGGTTTCTGCTCAAAGATATCAACCTCTAATATAGGCTTTACGTTATGTACATGTATCGGTTTTATAGTCCTTAAATCAAATGGGATATAATGATAACATTTATAGTGAAATCAAATGTATGTGTTGGTAACTCTGATAACGAAGAGGTAGCTTCAGGCGGGTTTCCGAACGGACACGCTTTTGAAGTTCAAGCGAATTCGAGGTTCTTTTTACCAGATCTGATATGCTGGGTTGAGTACGGTTCCCCCCCGATATTTATGGCCTAGCACACGAGCATATAGATTTTATAATCTTTCGAGGGCTAAAGTCGAATTCATTGATTTATTTTCTCCGGCACTATTGCGGGCCGTGTTCTATGAAAAGCAATACAATAATTGGGTACGTAAACTGTACCTTATTTTATTAGCATAGGAATAAATGTATCGGTTTTATATTCTCTTGATCAAATGGGATGTGAAGATAACATAATCAGCAGCAGAATTTTCGGCAACCGTGAGAATAAGAAGGCAATCATTTTCATGGCCAGTTTCAGGCAGGTTATGGATCGCGTTTTATTGTGGAAATGTTTCGAGTGGTATGAGTATGGGTACGGGCATTGGCACACTTATAGCTATGATAGGTCTAATATATATAACGCTTAAATATCGATGGCCACTCCATGACATGGACGTAGTCGGGGAAGCTTTTAATGAACTGCAGAGCCTCTGGATCCCTCTCATAATCATAGCTCACGTAGTGTCCCACAATCCCTAGCTCGAGGGTGGGGCTTTCGAAATCTCCATCGGATTTCTAGAATAATTCAAAATATGAATCTTTATCTCCTTTTTTTGATGATTTATAAAACCAGAAACCCACCGATAATAGGATGTAAAATTTTAACGGAGAGTCATCCTTTCCGTAGGAGAAGAATATCTGGTACGGAGCCGAGAACTCTTCGGGTTCGTCCAGCATTGTTCTGACGAAGGACCAGTCCTCAACCTTTGCCCCTCCCAGTGGTTGGACAAACACGTTCATGTGGGGCGGCCCCGCCAGCTCGTAGTCAAAACGTACCGTTCTGTCGGACTCTGAGACACTCTTCCCCAGAAGCTCAAACTTAAGCTCCACCTCGGGCAGAACCACTTCCGTCTCGCGCGGCAGCCAACCAGCCCTCGTACGCTGACTGCACCAGCTGTAGTAGAAGCACGGAATGCCGCACATAACGTACTTCTCGCAGTCAGGCTCCACTCGAGCCAGACCACTTAGGTTGACGGAGGAGTCCTTCAGAGGATTGAGTTCTCGACGATCCTGATAGTCGAAATAGTACCCAGAATCATTGTGACTCACTGAGCCATCTTGCTCATAGAAAAAGCGGCGTGTGTGCTGCAAAGCAATGAAAATATGAGACTCTGTAAGTACATATGTATATGAGGAGTCCATACGTACCAAGAAGTTTACCCGCATTACATTGGTCTTGGGGCGGTAGGGAAAACCGACATCCGAGACAGCGATCATGCAGAATATGAAAGTGACCACCCCCAGTCCGAGCAATATGAGCTTTGGCCAGCGGAACATGTTAATAAATTGCACCTGTGTGATACATACTCGCATGTAGATATGAAAACGAGAAAAGCAAAGGTAAAGGCTCCCAAGGAAACTTTCACACTCACCACAAAGCCCAGGGCAAAGAAGGTGCAGAGGGCACAGATAAGGGCTATGATCAAGTCAGGATTTGTGCCGCTATTATTGCGGCCCAGGACAGGAAAGAATATTACGAGGAAGGTGTAGAAGAGATAGCAGAAGTAGCAAAACGGTAGCAGCTGAAGGCACTGCACGGTAATGGTCCAGTAGTAGCCTGAAGAAGTATCTCATTAGTCCAGGCACATCTCCGGCAAATCCCTTGAACAACACTCACCACGGTCATGCAGAGTGCTCAACAGGTTCACCAGCAGCGAGGCCGAGTAGAAGATCATCGACAACAGGCACAGGTACGGAGTGCGCAGACTAACAGAAGTCAAGACGATGGCCAAGAAGGCCAGGATAACGCAATGAGCGTGTAAACTCATGTGCAGATGGTAGGCATGGCTTAACTGTCCCTGCATAATATTAAGATATTAAAAATGTGGTCCACTAACATACTTTCTACTTACGTTTGGCTTGAGCGTGTAGTAGAGGGTCAGGGGAAGCACCAGACCAATGACTGCCGGGCACACATAGAGGCCAATAACCAGCCAGTTGCTGCTGAAGTAGGTCAAAGATCGATCGCCGGCGTCGAACAGTACGGCCATGAGCAGGGGCAGCCCAAGGCAGAGTGCGAAGCCCACCACATGGAGCCCCAGGATGATGCCGAACCAAATGGATATCTGACCAGCTGTCACCTCAGACGCGCGGGCCATTCTCCACAAGGAAACTGCGACTAGACCCAGGCTGATCACGGCAATGACACAGTTTAGTACTATTCCAGTGGTCTCGGTGTAATACACAAAAAATAGACCTAAGAAGTCGAAGAATACGGCATGCCCTTCATCATATTCCTGTCAAAAAATATACGATTATTATCGGATCCATAGATCGGAACAACATTGAGTTCTAACCGACCTCTGGGTTACTCATTTCGGTTGCATTGGTGTAGGCGCGCACTAGGGCGAGAATATTTTCACCTGTGTTCTGCACAGAACGTCCAGGAACGGCCTCAAAAGTGTCGAAGACGGTGTGGTACACGTAACCGTTGCTAACTTGGGCAATGTCGAGGCCTGCAGAAAGACATGGATTGCAATTCAATTATTGGCATATACATATGTGTTTTAGTTACTCACCAGGAACATCTCCATAGTCACGGAAAATTCGGAAATCTGAATCAGATGGCAAAATTCCACTCTGAAAGATCTCCTCAGCCATGGTTGTGGCAAATGGGTGCAAGGCATGGGTTCTATAGTACTAGAGAAAAGAAGCAAAACCTTTTAACGTTCCGACATTTCACGAACTGGCCATAAAATAGGCAGTAAAATTGGCTTCAAAGTTAATTTTGTGGCCTGCCATAAGCCAGCAGCATTTCGCAGAAATATGTCTCACCTTCATTAGCCACGGATTGTTGGGACCACTCTGGAAAAGAAGTTCCCGGCCCCCACTGCCACCCACTTCTAGGTTGATGAAAGCCCTGCAGCAACGACTCGGTAAAGATATTTTCTTAGTTTCTATTGAGTATTCTCACTTGACGTTCTTGGCCCACTTGTGTTGGGTGATGAAGCCATGCGAGCCTTGCAGGGGATTCTCCTCGGCGCCGTTAAACAAAAAGACTATGGGATGTTCGAAGGGCGTCTCCGATATAGCCATTTGACGCAGCACCTCCAGCATGACCACCACCATGGTGCCATCGTCGCCGGAACCTGTTCGCATTTGCTTAGATCCATCAATGGAAACGGAGGAGAATCACTTACCTGGACTGCTCGGTTTCGAGTCGAAGTGGCTGTTGAGCAGGAGATACGATTCACTCTGGGAGCTTTTGGCACTCAGTTTCACGACAACGTTATGAATGCCTTGATACATGTTAACCATGTCGATGAACACGTAGCCACCTGAAGGCGCCTGCACATCCACCTCCAACTCGTAGAGATCGCTGCGCATTTCGGCACGTATCTTTTCCGCCTCGTTCACGAGAAAAGCAACCGTTGTCACTTCGTTGGCTATGCTGCCAACCACTTTGGGTCCGATGCGATCGAAGTCGTAGAGCTGTCTCTGGGCTCTCTCCGCCACAAACTGTCCTGGTTTCTGGGATTCGTCGGCAACAGTCACTCTGTCTGGCAGTCGATTATAGAGCGGGATCACGATGGCATAGAAGAGCGCCACCCAAAGGAGCAGAAAGGAGGGCGCATAGTACCAGGAAAGTCTGCGTCTGCGGGAGTTTCCGGTTGGCCCCGACAGAATTTTGACGAGCGCATCGTCGGATGAGCTGTCCTGGTTGGGCGGGACGCTGGTTATTCAGTTCAATAGTCCGTCTTTCCAAGAATTCATACTTACTTTATCAGTCTTTTTTTCCATCTTTTCTGCAGAGTCAAACCCTAGCGACGTCCGGCCGTCGCATAACTGAACGTCTGAACCGCGGGCAGATCGACTTGAAACCCCAAATTAAAGGCCATAAAGATAGGGTCGTGTATCGCTGCAAGATATGGAGCTGCTGCCGACTTTGGTAGTGGTCGCTTTGCCTTAAGGCACACCTCACATTGGCGGGCTCTGCATGTGCCAGTTCAGAGTATCTAAATTGGAGGAAGTTTACTGCCCAACTTCAATATAGCCGGAGATTCCGACGCACGAGAGCAGCGATTAACAGCTTAGTCATCATTAGCCATTGACTGAAAGTCCGATGGATGTGACGCTTGACGCTTTGTTATATTAACGCGATAATTCTTATCTCAGTCCCGACTCCAAGCGTCTGGGGAAGACACAATAAATAATACATAATCTAGTATCTACGTCTATAAAGATCTTCAAGATTTCAGAATATATATCGCTTAAATAATGCCGGCCACTCCATAACATGAACGAAGTCTGGGAAATCCGCCATGAATTTGAGACTCTCGGCGTCCCGCTGGAAATCGTAGCTAACGAAGTGACCCACAACTCCTAGCTCAAAGATCGGTGCATCGAGATCTCCGTCGGATGTCTGTAATCGAAACGTTTATAGCTCTCATCCGTCTACATTATAAATAAACTCTACTCACTGCGAAATCAATGTGAAAGTTTATGGGCGCACTGCTCGGGCCGTATGAAAAGTATATTTGATATGGCGCAGAGTATTTCTCCGGCTCGTCCAGCATATTTCTAATGAAGGACCAGTCCTCGATAACGACCCCTTTCCGTGGTCGTATAAACAGACTCATGTGCGGCGGACCGGCCAGCTCGAATGCGTATCTCACGGTTTTTCCCCCCACGATAACTGATTTATCCAAGAGCTCTAACCTTAAGTTGGCGGGTGCAATAACTTCCTGGTCTCGGGGCAGCCAGGCAGCGCTGGAAAGAGCTCTGCACCAGCTGCTCCAGAAGCAGGGCATACCGCACACCACGTACTTGTCGCAGTAGGGCTCTATGGACGTTAGCCCGGTCAAATTGACGGATGAATGCATAAGAGGGCGCAGAGCTCGCCTGTCCTGGTAGTCGAAGTAATACCCAGAATCATTTACACTCACGGAGCCATCGTATTCATAGAAAATGCGACGAGTGTGCTGGTAAAAAGAGGGATAAAAATAAGATATCCGTAAATACAAGCGTGATGTGATCTCTTTACCAGGAAGTTCACCCGCATCACATTGGTATTGGGGCGGTAGGGAAAACCAATGTCCGTGACAGCAATCATACTGAATACAAAGGTGACAACTCCAAGGCCGAGTAATACTAGAGTAGACCAGCGAAACATGTTTATTAGGGGAACCTTCAAAGAAAAAGACAAATGTGGGAGTGGCTGCGGCACTGACTAAATGTAATCTTCCTTACCACAAATCCCAAAGCAAAAAAAGTTCCCAGAGCGCAAATCAAGGCTATGAGCACGTCGGGATTGATTGAGTCTCGGTTTCGGCCCATCATTGGAAAGAAGACCACGAGAAATGTATAGAAGAGGTAGCAGAAGTATACGAACGGCATCAGCTGGAAAATTTCCACAATCAATACCCAGTAGTACCCTGCAAATAAGCCAAACTTCAGCAAGAAGGTAACAAATCTCGCTACAGAGATCTTACCGCGATCATGTAAGCAATTCAGCAGATTAATCAGCAAGGCGGCAGCATAGAAAAACATCGATACCATGCAGACGTACGGTATGCGCAGCCCTATTGCAGTCAAGATGATGGCAAAGAAGGCCAGGATAACGCAATGAGCGTGTAAACTCATGTGCAGATGGTAGGCATGGCTTAACTGTCCCTGCATGACATTAAGATATTAAAAATGTGGTCCACTAACATACTTTCTGCTTACGTTTGGCTTGAGCGTGTAGTAGAGGGTCAGTGGAAGCACCAGGCCAATGACTGCCGGGCACACATAGAGGCCAATCACCAGCCAGTTGCTGCTGAAGTAGGTCAAAGATCGATCGCCGGCGTCGAACAGTACGGCCATGAGCAGGGGCAGCCCAAGGCAGAGTCCGAACCCCACCACATGGAGCCCTAGGATGATGAGGAACCAAACAGATATCTGACCAGCTGTCACCTCAGACGCGAGGGCCATTCTCCACAAGGAAACTCCCACCAGAATCAGGCTGATCACGGCAATGACACAGTTGAGGATTATCCCAGTTTTCTCGGAGTAGGACACAAAAAAGAGACCGAGAAAATCGAAGAAGATGGAATGGCCTTTGCTATGCACCTGTTATAAATAGAGGATACATTTGTTCTACGATTTGGTTAAATATCGATGACCTACCTCCGTGTCGTACATCTCGCTGGCATTGGCAAAGGCCCGTACTAGCGACAGGACATTTTCACCAGTGCTCTGTACGGAACGTCCTGGTACGGCATCAAAGTTATCAAAGACAGTGTGGTAGACGTAACCGTTGTCAATTTGTGCAATATCAAGACCTTCAAACACGAAGTACAGTGTGTTAAGCGAGTACTCAAAACTTTAAAAGAGCATCTTACCAGGCACCTGACCATAATCGCGGAAAATTCTAAAGTCTGTGTCAGATGGCAGCATTCCAAACTGAAAGATCTCCTCAGCCATGGTAGTGGCAAACGGATGCTTAGCATGATGTTTATAATACTGCAATCATATATCTGAGAATGAATTGTCGTACAAATATATTAGGTCAATATAAAGATTACCTGCATTAACCAAGGATGGTTGGGACCGCTTTGAAATAGTAGATCACGTCCCCCACTGCCAGCCACTTCCAAGTTGATAACGGCCCTGACGACAGGCAATACAATAGAGCTTTAAGATCGGAAGCGATTATATATATATATATACTTACTTGCAGTTGGCTGCCCATTTGTGTTGGGTGATGAATCCATGAGACGCTTGCAGTGGATTCTCCTCGGCACCGTTGAACAGAAAGACTATGGGATGTTGAAAGGGTGTTTCCGATATGGCCATTTGACGCAGCACCTCCAGCATGACCACCACCATGGTTCCATCGTCGCCGGAACCTGTTCAACTGTATTACTATCGACGTGATGGAAACAATATACGAGTAATTGATTACCTGGACTGCTCGGTTTCGAGTCAAAGTGACTGTTAAGCAGGAGATACGACGAGCTGTTGGAGCTTTTCGAGCTGAGTTTGACAACCACATTGTGGATGCCATGATACATGCTGGTCATTGTCCCAATTGTAAAGGACCCTGTTGGCTGTTGCACATCCACCTCCAGCTCGTAGAGATCGCTGCGCATTTCACTGCGAATATTATGTACAGCATCTACGAGAAAGGCAACTGTTGTCACCTCATTCGCCACACTGCCAACGACTTTGGGTCCAATGCGATCGAATTGGTAAAGCATATTCTGCGCTCTCTCTACCACAAATTCTCCGGGTTTAAGTGACTCCTGTGCAATGGTTATTTTTTCCGGTAGGCGATGGAAGAGCGGTATCACGACAGCGTAAAAGAGTGCCACCCAGAGGAGCAGGAAGGCCACCGCATAGTACCAGGCGAGTCTCCATCTGAGTGCCCTTTCCTTGGACAACACATTGTAAAGTACTGTGCCCGAGTAGTTGCCCTGTAAAATATGGTGATTAATGCATAACAAATGTATATAAATATATGAACTTACATTATCAGTTCCTTGAGCTTTCGATTCCATATTTTCTGCAAACTCTCCGCAAGACGGAACGTTGCCTATGGCCGGATTTTTTTAAACTGAACGTTGTCGGGGTGCTGCTTCTGTTCCCTCTGAAGCCTATATAGATAGAGTCGTGTGTGCCTTGATAGGGGACCGAGGCCCGAAGGCGAACTCTCTGGCAAACAAAAGTTCCCATAACTCGGGCCAAGTGCAGATATGTAGTATCTGAATTGTGGTAGATTTCTTAGCAGTTTCAAATCTAAATGCGTTTTTGATGTTTGCTGCAAATCTTATCAATAAATCTTTAATCAAGTGAAAGAGAGAGAACGCGAGAGCGAAGGCCACTTCAATCGGGGCAGAATATAGTCTATGCATAACTAAGATCGACTTTTGGGCACTCTGCTAAATGCTTATGTAGAAGGAATAATTCTGTTAAATTACTTGTGGATTTCTATAATCTAGGTCTACAATCTATTATATTAGTTAATATCTACTTAGTTAAGGCATACAAACGAAATAAGAGACAATCACAATAGTTTCATGGACTTAGAATACATAGCGTTCAAATAACGTAGGCCACTCCATCGGATGAGCAAAGTCCGGAAAATCGGAAATGAATTGCAAGCCAACTGCGTCACGATCAAAATCATAGCTGACAAAGTGCGATGAAAATCCCAGCTCAAAGACAGGCACATCAAAGTTTCCAGATGATATCTGAAAAATAGTTATCATAAAAATCCAATTTTGCAAAAGAATCCCATGAACTCACCGCAAAATCAATGTGGAACTTCAATGGCGTACTGTCCTTGCCATAGGCGAAGAATATATGATATGGCGCCGAGTATTTTTCGGGTTCGTCCAGAATGTTTCGAATAAAGGACCAATCCTCCACTGTGACCCCATCCAGGGGTTGTATATATAAGCTCATATGTGGTGGACCAGACATTTCAAATGAGTATCGCACGGCTGTTCCAGAGTCTAGAACGGTTTTGCTTAAGAGCTGCAATGACGATGCACCTGGTATGGCCACCGGCTCATCGCGGGGCAGCCAATGACTGCTTGAGCGGGTCTTGCACCAGCGATGATTAAAGCACGGCACGCCGCACATCAGATACTTGCTGCAGTCAGATTCCGTGCTGACCAAACCTGTAAGATTAAGCGAAGTGTCCTCGAGTGGATAATAGAGACGACGATCCTGGAAGTCAAAGTAGTAGCCAGAGTCATTAAGGCTTACGGAACCATCGTATTCATAAAAGATGCGACGAACGTGCTGCAGGAACATGGAAAATCATAAGATTTGGATCGAGCACTGGGGAAATAATTATTGCAAACGGACTTACCAAAAAGTGCACCCGCATAACGCTGGTCTTAGCGCGGTAGGGAAAACCCACTCCTGAAACAGCGATCATGCTGAATATAAAGGTGACGACACCTAGGCCTAGCAATATGAGCTTCGGCCAGCGGAACATGTTTATCAGAGGAGCCACAAATCCCATTGCAAAGAAAGTTCCCATGGCACATATCAACGCTATTAGAAGATCGGGATTAGTGGAGTGCCCGAAGCGTCCCAGCATGGGAAAAAATACAATCAGGAACATGTAGAACAGGTGGCAGAAGTAAAGAAACGGCATCAGCTGAAGAACTTGCACAATCAGCACCCAATAGTAGCCTTCAAATGAATCAAGATGTTAGAAAGCAGAATACATGTGTCGGCCAGGTACTTACCTCGATCATGCAGGGTGCTTATCAGATTGATCAACAGGGCAGCGGCATAGAAGAGCATCGAGACCATGCACAAGTAGGGCGTCCTGAGACTGATTGCCGTGAGAATGATGGCGATCAGTGCCAGGAGTACACAGTGGGCATGCAGACTCATGTGCAGGTGATTCGGGTGGCTTATTTTATCCTATGGGAGAAATTCACCATTAGTCGCCCTTCCGAAAGGCTCGACCTTCAGCTAACTTACGTTTCGTCTCAATGTGTAGTAGAGGGACAAGGGGAGAACCTGGCCAATCATAGCTGGACAGATGTACAGGCCGATCACCAGCCAGGTGTTGCTAAAATAAGTCAACGACTGACCTCCGGCATCGTAGAGCACGCCCATAAGAAGGGGCAAACCAATGCTGAGGAAGAATCCCACCACATGCAGCCCCAGAATGATGCCGAACCAAATTAGGATTTGACCCAGTGTCGCCTCTGACTCGCGACCCATTCTCAGTAGTGAACATCCAACCAGCACCAGGCTGACCACCGCAATGACGCAGTTCAGGATTATCCCAGTGGTCTCAGTGTAATATATAAAGAAGAGCCCCAGAAAGTCGAAGAACACGGAATGGCCTTCGCTGTGTTCCTGCAGTAATATTAGATTAGTGGACTAGGTCCAAGTATAGTTGTAAAATTCACCACCCACCTCTGGGTTATACATTTCGCTGGCGTTGGCAAAGGCCCGCACTAGGGCGAGTGCATTCTCGCCAGTATTTTGAAGGGAATCACCGGGAACCGCCTCAAAATTGTCAAATTTCGTGTGGTATAGGTAACCGTTGCTGATTTGGGCAATATCCAGACCTATAGATAGATAGAGTTGAGGTTGTTATCGTTTGTGTATGGAAGTTGTAAGCTTTCCAGCTCACCTGGTACCTGGCCATAGTCGCGAAAAATTCTAAAATCTGTGTCGGACGGAAGAATTCCCGACTGAAAGATCTCCTCCGCCATGGTAGTGGCGAACGGGTGCTTGGCATTTTGGTTGTAGTACTATAACGGGAAAATAAAACGACAATTAATCATGTAATTTTTCGGCACACTTTTATCCAACAAATAAATTGGGGCAATCAAGCGTTTTAGTATCGGCACACAATGACCGTTTACAATGCTAATAAACTGCCAATGACTATGCTCATTGCCTCACGTTCTCAGCGAAAGCATTCTATAAAGTGTGTACACTCGATACAAAGTATGCATGTCTGTACATACCTTCATAAGCCATGGGTTATTTGGACCGCTCTGGAAAAGCAGATCGCGTCCTCCGCTGCCAGCGACTTCCAAATTGATCAGGGCCCTGTAGAAAACAGCCTCTTTAGCCGCAAACCCAAATTGATCTTCAATTTCTTCTTACTTGCAATGGGGCGCCCACTTGTGTTGGGTGATGAAGCCATGCGAGGCTTCCAAAGGGTTCTCCTCCGCTCCGTTGAACAGAAAGACTATGGGATGTTCAAAGGGCATCTCTGATATAGCCATTTGACGCAGCACCTCCAGCATGACCACCACCATAGTGCCATCATCTCCGGAACCTGTTCGCATTTGCTTAGATCCATCAATGGAAACGGAGGAGAATCACTTACCTGGACTGGTCGGCTTCGAGTCGAAGTGGCTGTTTACCAGAAGGTACGCTATACTGTTGGAGCCCTTTGAGCTAAGTTTGACTACCACGTTCTGTACTCCCTGATACATATTCACCATATTCCAGTGCATGTAAGCGCCAGATGGCGCCTGGACATCAATCTCCAGTTCGTAAAGATGGCTGCGCATTTCCGTTCGAATATTTTCCACTTCATCCACAAGAAAGGCAACAGTTGTCACCTCATTCGCCACACTGCCGACGACTTTGGGTCCAATGCGATCGTATTTGTAGAGCCATCTTTGTGCTCTCTCTGCCACAAACTCGCCGGGGTTCAGGGACTCCCCCTTAATGCTTATTCCGTCTGGCAGTCGATTATAAAGGGGGATCACCACGGCATAGAAGAGCGCCACCCATAGAAGAAGGAACGAAGGTGCATAGTACCAGGGCAGTCTTGATTTTAGCTGCTTTTGCTGTGACAAGACCCGGACGAGGGAGACATCTGAATGATGTTTGGATTTGCTGGAGTCCTAAAAGAAAGATTACCAGGTAATCATTTAGAAGCGATGGATTCATATATTTAAACTTACCTTCCCGCTCGGTAGCTTCATGGCGTTCTGTCCTTGGCAAGAGCTAAGAAAGGTCTAACAATGCCTTTGTCCAGTCGTCGGAACACTGACTATATCTGCCTTGAGAGCTTCAGTTTGGAGCTAGAGGGATATTATCAGCACTGATTCGCACTTTGAATCCCATAAAGATAAATCGGTTCCTGCTAGCAATATATCGCCTGATACGAGGTGGTGACAAACCCCATAGTTTTCCTTGGGGAAATGTGGTATCTAAATAATGGCAGATTTATGCCCTGCCCTGCCTATCTTTACAACGCTTTAAAATTGGAATGTTTTTGGCACGCTTGTTTGTCCAATAGCCACATGCTGAGCATTGCAATGCCTATCTTTATATCTCTAGACGGTTGCTGTGTTTATCGAGTACACCTCTCGCTACCTCAGTACATCCTCTTATTGAGGCAACAAAGAATTATAGATTCCTCACACTACAGAGGCTGAGTTGAATGGAACTTTGACGAGTCGTAAGCGTAAATCACAATAAGAAAGCATTTACAGCTGGAAAAACCTAAACAACCATTATCACTTGAATTTTATTAGAATACAATAAATCAGAAGAGATTAGAATCGCATGTCCCCCTGGCAGGGCCGTAATCGAGTACCTTTTTTGAGGAGAATTCCATTCGACTATGATATATCTGATTTTTAAAGTACAAGGTTAATGGTTAAAAGGTGTCTTATTTAAGAAGCAATTGTACTTATAATGCAAATAACATGGTATGTATAACTATGCAATAGGTTTGTACTTTATTCAGATACTGGGTGGACATTGGCGGGCTACTTCTCCATACATTCAATGACTTTTTCCAGCAGTTCTTCAAGCTCTGCGGCATGAGATAGTTCTTGGAAAAATCCCGGACGCTCCTGTTTAAAGACGGCCAGTTTCTCTTGGAGGCAGGACAACTTTTTCATCAATTTGGTGCCTCGCAGAATGGCCTGGTACTTTGCTATGAAACAGAAGAGTTTCCACAGAATCAGGACCACCAAGCTGTGCTCTTCATATGATTCTAGGCTGCCGTCCCCGCCACCATCCACATCTTTGACCGGTTGGGAGACAATGTCACTCAGCATAGACAAAAAGTCGGCATTGTTTACTAGTGGCAGGCGATTTCCAACGGAGAAGCTCATGTTGCGGAGGATGCGAAGGCAGAGAATCCTACCCTGGCTGAGCGGTGGCATGCGCCGGATAGCAGTGATGAGACCATGCAAATGGCAGATCTTGGAACCACTATCATAGCGCGAGTAGACTTCCCAAAAGCTAAGCCATGCGAGCAAAGCAGCGGGTCCGATCTTGGAAGCATGAGCCCCGCTTACGGTGGCGGGCAGAATCGTGTCAAACATGTCCAACACATGCATCTTGAAGAGACTGAGACGACCCTCGAGGCAGGCACAGCAGTTGACCATCACACGCAAAGCAGGAACTAGACTCTGATTGGGTATGGCGTTGGGAGTCTCCTTCCTGGTGGTCTCGTAGTCAGCCACCCGCACCATCAGCTGCAGCAGCGAATGGGATTGTCCGGACAGCAACAAGGAGCTATGCTTGCACATTTCCAATGAGTACTCGGTGAGGGACATGGCCAGCTGAACGCAAAGCAATTTTAGGTGTGGAGAGTGCGACAACCAGGGCCAAATGCGTATCTGCAGTCGTACAAATATGACTGCCACCGATGCTTCGTTGATCACTGAGTAAGGTGAACTGTGCCATTGCACCATCATGTTAAGCAGCAACACAAGATTGTTCAGTATATCACGCGACTTGTGGGCGCCAACGCGCTTCACATAAGTGGTGGCGTTTCCAATGTCGAGGTCGCTGAGAAAGGCGTCGAGCAGACCCAACACTCGATCCAACAGCTTAAGCGTTTGAGCGACATCAATAGCATAGGGCGAGACCTTCAGCAATGCTCCGAGCACTTCACAGATCTGCACATGACCCGTTCCGGGAGGGTGCAAGAAGTTAAAAGTCTTAGCTGGGAAATAATGATCAAAAAGACGGTTCAGGCATTGAAAGAGGATCACCACTGCACTGACAACAGGCAAACCATCGTGGCATATTGTAACCGAAGAAAGCTTTGCATCGCCTTTCGCAAATTTTCGGTTCGACTTCGGCTTTAGCTGGTTATTCAAGGCATTCATATTGTTCTGCTCATTCATAGTCTTATCTTTAGTGTCAACACTGACCGGCAAGCTGGCTTTTTCCATTTTCTTCACAAAATTGAGATGTTCAGGTGCATGTTGAGCCTTGAGGCACACCATAGTCAAAGCCGAGAGAGTGTGCTGCTGGAGAGATGTTCCCTTGTGCTTTAGATTCGTTCCGTATAGGAATATCTCGATTAAAATAGTGGGTCGAATGTAAAGCTGCTCGAACAAAAAGTCATATGCGTTGGGGTCCTTGCAGAAAACCAGAAATAGCTTAATAAACCTTGTCAAAAAGCGATCGGGCTCTTCCAGGTCCAGTATAGTATCTATCAGCGTTATGTAGCTCTGCAGCAGGGCGGGATCACGACAAATGCTGCGCTGCAAGAACTCGAAGTTAGTAGAATAGCAAAGGGCATAGAGTTCACTGATATCAGCGCACAGCTCCAGAAAGCCATCCGAGAAATTCTGTGGTGGCGGCGACCTCTTCATCACATCGCTGAGGCAGTTCATAAATCTGTGCTCACAGAGCAGGGCACACCAAGTCGGCTTGAGGACCACCAGACGCGAACAAATAGCTATGTAACAGCTGATTATTCCACAAGAGTTCTTCTCTCCGTGTGCGTGTTTGTCCAGCCAGGGAGTCACATGCAGCGTTTCCAAAGCGTAATGCGCATCTTCCAGAAAGTTATGACGCTGCAGTAGCTCGATGATTTTCTCCGCATCCATTTGCGGCATCAGCGTTATAAACATACGACCAGCCAGCTCTCGTACCAGCATCATTTCCGCTACATGCTGCATGGTAGACAGACAGCATTCAATCAGATCACCAGGCGGAAACTTTAGGTGCGGCAAGATCTTTCCCGCGCTGGAGCCACTATTGGATAGCCAACTGGCTATCGCTACCCAAGCCAGTGAACGCACTTGTCCATCACTGTGCCCGCACAGTCCCAAAAGATACGTAATTATCTTGTAGGCTAACTGATCCCTATCGTCGGATGTGGCAGTCGTTGCGAATTTTCCCAAGTACCGTGTGTGGAGCTGGCATACAATGTGTAGACAGTCCCGCTGCCACTGAGATCCAGTCTGTGTGGGGTTTCTCAGGTCGGAGGAAAGTTGCACAAAGTGTCGGATATAGAACTGCAAAGGTAATAGATGTCTTAGCTAAGTCGAAATACGGAAGAATCTGTTTTGGCACTCACCATCAGCTGATCGTCGCTAAACATCAGGTCCCGCTCGCTGACAAAATGCAGCACTCTGAGAATGCAGCGCACGTGCAGTAGCTGGCGCAGCTCAAAGTGAGTCCTGGCCACGGCACTCAGCTGAATAAAGAACTGTCCGTGCCAGCTAATTTTAGCGGGGACTTGCATCTTGGCCTCGAGCAGAGCTGTAAAGATTTGGCAGATCGCTTGGAGCAAATTCAGGTCGGTGGTGCGATCGTACAATATCAACAGAAAACTGTGGAGTGCGTCTAGTTTCAGAGTCCGATTGAGACCGCTCCATACATGTTGCACACCGAAGCGAATGCAGCTCAGGCACAGTTCCGACACGGACATGTATACCTCTCGATCGGCTGCGTTTGCGGGGGCTACGCGCAGATACTTGTGCATAAAGTTCCACAGGCTGATTCCCGCATCTTCAGGCACACTAGTGCGAAGCAGCACCAGATATATCTGGATTTTTGCCACAATCTGCTTGAGTTCGTCGTGGCTGCTGCAGTTGCTGGCTGCCGTGAGTTGGCGACCCAGCTGTGGGCCGACTTGTGATGCTTGGATCAGGGCAAGATCCGCAGCCGTCAGCTTTAGCGATTCCTTGATGTCCACTTTCTGGATCGCTTCCAGCGTAATATCCTCCAGGGTCCCGCATATGAAAATCGCCGTATTTAGCCGCCAATGCTGGGCAGCCCTGTCGGCATCTTGGCCGAAATGGGTCTGCCGAAGGGTATGCTCCAAGGCCAGCCCCTCCGTGGCGGTGCACGGTGGTTCAGTTAGATCGAGTTCATATGTTATGGGGATGATCAAAGAACTAAGATCCACATCCAAGACGAGCTTCGATTTGGTGGCCGTCATATGTTCGTGGAAGAGCATTTGGAATAGGCAGATGAGGACACTCTCCCGAAACTCCAGATCGTTAGCAGTTTCAAAGAGGAGCGACGTTAGAAGTAAATACATTTCAGAGGATGACCCCGACTCTTGCAGAAAGACTTTGTTGTAAAAATGGATTTTGATCAGAATACTCACAGTTGTCAGTAGATTATCTGCATGTTCCGAGTTTCTTATGTTGGCGCGACCAATGTATAAAGCCTGCATGACCACTATTAAGCCTTTGTTTGTTTTCGAAAAGTGCTCGCAGGCCTTCCAGTTCTGCAACAAAACATTTAGCTGTGTCAGACACGACTTTCTGATAGCTGGCTTGAGATCTTTGGTTTCCAGCAGCCGCAGTAGGGCGTCCACGCTGCGCTCTCCCAGAAAGGGCTCTTCGGTGGTCGCCGGGAAAATGCTTTGGTACAGCCGAGGTGGTTGCACCCATCCGAAGTCATAAATTAATATCTTTCCCTGCACCTTTTTCTCGTCGCCCTTGGAAACGTACTGCAGGATGTAAGCCAGTCTAGCCGCGGCCTCTATTCTTATCTGAGGATCGGGATGGAATAGGTAGCAGACGTTTGCGCGCAGCTTTAGAAGCACATCTCCTTCGGCCGGACAAACAATCTTCCATAATTTGTTGTGCATGGTACTGTTCGTAACGGAACGGCAGATCATAAGGGGAACCATCACGGGTTGAAGAAATTCGTACATTGCACTGAAGTCATTATCTCTTAGGGTGCAGGTCAAATTGAGTAGCATGTCCAGGTACTGTAAGCACCAGACTCGGACCCTATCCCATTTATCTTCTAGCCAGCTCTGCAAAACAAACTGACGTAGCAGCTTGGTGTTCAGCGGCAGTCCAAAGATACGCTGACGTATCAGCTCCAGATTACTGCAGCCCCTCTGATAGACGCTGTTTTGAACGATTGCGTGAAAGAACAAACCACAAGGATACCACATAAGGTGATAGAAGTGGCCGCGCAGCTCTGGATCGCGAATGTTCATCAGACTATACATCAAGCTCTCGGCTTCCTTACGCAATTTTGGGTTCTTGGTATACTGCAGAATGCAGTCTAGAAGGGCGTCGCAGAGCTCCTTCAGCAAACTGTGGCTGCCCAACTGGTTGACGACCAGGCAGATGTGCTTCTGTAGTAGGAGTACGTCCTCTGAAGTCATCTTTTTGAGCGGATTTAATTGATTGATGGCCAGATTATAGCCCCTGTATAGCCTACTCAGCTGTTTATCCGTCGTTGAGGGTTGTGAAATAGCAGAGACAAGTTTCTTGATCGATTGTTCGCGTTCTGGCATGCACATCATATAGGTGCTGTCCATCATGACAGGTAGAAGCCGTAATTTGGCTTGATTTCTGTCCATGGATATGTCGTAGGTTATATTCAACGCAATTGAATCATGCAGCAGGCCATTGCAAATAAGTGACTGCAAACGGGGCATCGCGAGTTTATCCACCAGTTTTGCCAGGTCGTTCCCTTCCGTATTGTAGCAAAATGTATGGGCCTTTTTGACTAGGCCGACTAGCCGCTCTATAAATAAGTTTGAGACGGGACAACACAGAGCTTTATAGGTTCGTACAGCCGTCATAATTAGTTCCAGGATGAGCCAATTCTGGCTGGTAAATTGATGCAGAACCGGGTCCAACAGCTTGGTGCAGCTGTTCAGGAGGAAGCACAGGGCACTTTCCACACGCAGCTGTTTGGGGCGAGCGTCTGGTGGGTCGATGCTGCAGGAATAGCTAAGAGTGGCTTTCCGCACCTCTATACTGCTCTGCATCTGCAGCAGATATTTGATGAGGGCCCGATTCACATTGAGAAGATTGGAGTCTGCCCTTTCCTGAATCTTTACAAGCTTGAAGAAAATGTGTGGCGCCTGAAGGAAATACTCGCTGGGATAGTCGCCCATTTTGATTGTTAACTTGGTAAGCTTTTCATGCATTTCGGCATCCGGGTCTTCCATGTCGATCATGGCCTTCATGGTGACCACATCCTCCGTGCACGGTTGTGTCCAGGCCGGTTCAAAGTCTTCTGGCTGGAATCTCGCCACCAGTTGATCTTTCCAGCTGCACTCAGTCTCGCTCGTCAATTCGGCCTCACTGATCGATGGCGGCGGGGTGGGCTTATGGTTTAAATATATATCGGGCAGCAAAAGCTGTAATTCGTCCAGCAACTCCATTGCTCGCGTGGACTCCAGGGACCGTATTATCTTCTTGATCTTGTCCAACTCCGCAGAGAGCCGCTCATGCGGTATCTTCTTCACCACCTCCTCGGCATACTCGGAGCGCAGCAAGTCCTTCAGAATGGCCAGCACACGGTCAGCGGCCAGGGGGGGCTTGCAGCCAAACCATCGTATTAGCTGTTTGAGCATAAACACTGGGTTCACCGCGATTTTCTCGTGAAGCATCAAGCAGCGAAAGAATCGCGTCTCAACCTGCTCCAGGGCCCGCATGCGTATCTCCACCAAATTATTTGTCAATTTGGTCAATAGCGATTCGCGCAATTCCAAAGTCATTGTCTGTCTCGAGGCCATTGTCATCGACGTGCATCTAGGGGTGATATGTACTTTAGCTATTGTATCGGTATCCCGTCTCTGATTTTACTTACTTGAATTGTATTTATATTTAAATTTTTTTATCTGGCAGAAATTTTTTTAGATTTTTTTTAAAGCGGCGGCATCTTGTTATCGCTTGTTTATCGCTCAAATATACCGTCTCATATATATATGGTCTCATTTGAAAAATATACCGTAAATATACTGACGAATTCAAGTTATATTTTACATATTCCTCGTTTTCTTTCTTCCGTTGAATATTACTAGCTATATAGAACATTTAGCCGTGCCCACATAATTTTAGCCCATTGATGAATCAATTTTCTACTTAACTGGCTTATTTTTATTACTTGCTTTTATTGTATTTTGACTAAAACAAGGTTTAAACAAAATAGTTCAACAAAAAATCAGTCGCAATGAACCCCTGTAAAACCCATGTAAAAGTCATGTAGACACGCCGTTTTGACAGATTTCGTCGCCAGGTGCCTCCGTGACAACTACATTTCTGTACAGTTGCAAAGTACCAAATTATTTAAATTCTTAAATTCAAACGTTGAAAGCATTCAAATTTAATAAAACATAGAACATACAGTTCTATGAGTCAAACGGTATATTTCTGACATCTTAGAAAATGTATCTTTGATAGACTGCTGGCCACTGGATGGCAACCGCAAATGATGGAAAGGAATCCGCGAACTTCACACTCATTGCGTCCCCTTTACTGTGTATATAAAGCGCCGATACGCCAAACTGGAAGAGGGGTACGTTGAAGTCGCCATTGGGTTTCTGTTCAAAATTGAATGCACGTAAAATTGAAAACCGTTAGATTCAATAAAACAAATGATCCAAATATCCTACCGTAATTTCCATGAATAAGTTTAGTGGAGAGCTCTCTATTCCGTTCGAGATGATAATGTAGAACGGACTGCCACTAGATGTATTTTCTTCCAAGTGACTGAGCAGGAACGACCAATTGCTGATGGTCACGTCTTCGTACGGCTGGATAAACAGACTGGTCTGGTCGGGACACGTCAAATTAAACTCGAACCGTACGGTTTTGTTATTTTCCAGCACAGTCTTGCTTAGCAGCTCTAAAACAGGCACCGATGGCGTCTCTACGGGCTGATCACGGGGAAGCCACATCCCATTAACACGGCTGCTTTGACTGCTTTTGTAGTTGTGGGGAACTCCACACATCATGTACTTTTCGCAGTCCGACTTCATGCTGACCAAACCAGTAAGGTTCACCTTGGTTCCCTTCAAGGGAGCAGCTCCACGACGATCCTGGAAGTCGAACACATATCCAGACTCATCCTTGCTGACTGTTCCATCGTACTCGTAGAACACTCGGTGCACTTGCTGCAACCAGCAAACAACGGGGTTAGTTTCAGATTAATTCAGATATGGGATGAAAGACTAACCAAGTAGTGGACTCGCTGCACATTGGTCTTGGGACGGTAGGGGAATCCGATTTGGGTGGAAGATGCAATGTATACAGTTAAGGCAGTCACAGCCAGCAAGCCGAGGAAAATGAGACTGGAGCGCCGTGACATATGCACAAGCAGAACCTGAGGAGAAATTTAAACGGTTTTACATACTGACTGTGGCGTACAGCAGCAGAATAACGTACCAAAAAGCCCAAGGAGAATATAGTTCCTAATGCAGTCAAGGCAGAAACAATCAAGTCTGGATTGGTAGATCTAAAAAGTGAGGGGTTGAAGGAGAAATTATCCCACAAAACCGTCAGACATTACTTACAGGCCAAAGCGACCCATCATGGGGGTTAGCACCACAATGAATGTGTAGAAGAGATAGCTGTTGTACAGGAACGGGATGACTTGGACGACTTTAAGGACGGCCGTCCAGGCAAAGCCGCGATCGTGCAGAGTCGTGAGAAGGTTGATGGCCAAGGGAATCACGTAGAAGAGAAGGGTCCACGTGACGACGTAGGTGGTACGCAGTCCATAGAGCGTGAGTCCAATGCCGAGGATGGCCAGGATAGTGGCGTGTCCATGCAACACCAGCTGCAGTTGCTTCGCAAAGGAAATCTTTTCCTAAACAGATGGATGGATATAGTATATGGTATAGAATCGGATTTGGTTGCTACTCACATCCCGTTGCAGCTTCAAGTAGACGAAAGAGGGTAAACTGAAACCGATGAGAGTCGGGCACACATAAAGGCCGATCAGGAGCGCTGGAGTGCTGTAGTAGGTGAGGGAGAGGCCGTACATGTCGAGCAAATACGCGACCACAACGGGCAGACTCAGGCCAAGCAGTAAAGCAATGACCTGGAGTACGATAATCAGAATGAACCAGCCGACGACGTGTCCGGCGGAGACATTGGACGAGCTTGCGGTGCGCAACAAGGACACAAAGATCAGGACAATGGTAGCCCCAGCCACGAAATAGTTGAGGATTACACCAGTGCTCTCCGAGTAATGGACGAAGTACAATCCTAATACATCAAAGAAGACGGCATGTCCCGCTGCGTATTCCTGTGCGAAGATAGAATTATGGCTTTATTAATCATTATGATATCATATAAAGATAAAAGATACCTTTGGATTGCGTAGTTCTGTAGCATTGGACAGACCTCGGACAAGACCAAGTATATTGTCCCCAGTGTTCTGAAGGGAGGTTCGGGGAATGACGTCAATGCGGTCGTACCTTGTGTGATACACGTAACCATTAATGCACTGGCCCAGGTCCAAGCCTAACAAAGACGTATGTGAGCTAGGGCTATTCAATTGTTTCTATTTATGTATACCTATGAGGTTCGAATATTTAGTGAAGATGCGGAAGTCCGTGTCCGACGGTAAGAGCCCTGTTTGAAAGATTTCCTCAGCCATGGTGGTGGCAAATGGATGCTTGGCGTTCTTCTTGTAGTACTGAAATAGAACAGAAAAAATATTCAGAGCTTGGATTCGTGTCCATGGAAAGGCTTGCCCAAAACAGATCGCTTACGTCCACGAGCCAGGGGTTATCGGGTCCAGTCTGGAAAAGAATCTCGCGTCCTCCACTGCCGGCTGCATCCAGGTTGATAACAACCCTGCAAAATAATAGGTTAGTCGTTGGATTATAATGTGACACTAAAAGGTAGTTATTAAATTACTTACTTGCAGAATGGAGCCCATTTGTGTTGGGAAATAAAGCCATGGGAAGCAAGCAGTGATTTCTCCTCAGCTCCGTTGATTAGAAACACAATTGGGTGTTCAAACGTCTGTTTAGTGGAGGACATCACTCGAAGGACCTCAAGAATAGTAACAGCCATGTGACCCGCATCGCCAGCAGCGGGACTGGTCGGCTTTGAATCGAAGTGACTGTTGACCAGGAGGTAGGTCTCGCTGGTGGTGTTCTTGGGACTGAGTTTTATAATAATATTCTGCACCGCTCGATACATGTAGATGGATTCCGATTTTAGATATGAGCCGGAAGTAATTTGCACGTCAATTTCCATGTCAAAGTAGTCATCAAGGACATTCTCCTGGATCAGCGCTAGTTCTTTGAGCAGGAACTGAACGGTTTTGTTCTCATTTGCATCGCTCCCTACCACCTTGGATCCGATTTTGTCAAATTCGTACAGGTTGTCGTAAGCGCGTTCAGCAATAAATCCTCCCTTCGAGGCATCCTCAATGTTCATAGCGGCAGGCAGCCGGTAGAAGAGGGGCACCACAATGGCAAAGAAGAGGAGAGCCCAGAACAGAAGAAAATTACTGGCAAAGTACCATGGACCTGTGGAGTCTTGCTCCACTTTTTTCCTATATTCCTGCGGTTCTCCTCCATCTTCGATACGCTCATATGAAACCTGCTACAGAAACAAGGCATATTAATATTTAGTGAAGGGGTTACAATCCGAGAATCCTCTTTACAGTTTTTTCCGTGTCACCCATTTTCATTTTCGGTGGCTCCAGCTCAACTCCTCGAGAACGCGACTGAAGGTAAATAATAGAGTTAGGTGCTTATATATCCAAAGCGAAATGCGATTATGATATGATTTAATGGCCGTTTATAAGGGGTGATTTATTCGCATTTATCGTTCAAATGATAGTTAAAATTCAGAGTTTTTTACCAGTTTTATATGATTATAAGACAATTTATGCGAGGGTGGCTAAAGAACTAAAAGCAATCCCATAATATACTTTATCTAAAGTGGTGCGGTATACAAGAATAACTATATTTAAAATATATTCATTAATATTTAATCTTATATGAAACTGCGGCCAGTGTAATATTTAACGAAATAAGTAAATAAAAACTATATTTAAGAACAAATTAATGAATGTATGTTCATTGTCCTTTAGCCTCAAACTCTTTGAATAAGCTTATATTTTGATTGGGACTATTTTGGTTCATAACTATACAAACTACTCATGGAAATTTCGGATCTGAAAAGCAAAGCATGAGTATTAGCTGATCAAAGTTGAATGTGTTTTATCTGAAGCAGTTTTGATTACTTCCCGTCTTTTTCTTCTTTCGCTTTCGCAGATAAGAGCTCCTTATGGATCCCATATAAACAGCAATCTATACACTTGTCCCTAGCGCAAAAATTGCTAATTGCATCGAACTCCTACATTTTTATTGCATACATATATACATACATATGTCGCCAAGACTATACATATGTACATATTATCGGTCACTGATTAAATAGATAAAATATTATGTTCATGGTACTTTTTATTTTTCGTATCTTCCGATAAGTTTTTGAATATGATAATGCCAGAACATTTATTGCTTAGAGAGGCAAGGGCGTACCCAGAGGGGTATGTTTACTTACATTTTTTTAAATTTCCTTAAAGTTTCATCCTTCAATTAATCCCTTGTTTTACCAAGGCCCAATGAAAATAATTGAAGAGTTTGTTGTCTTTATAGACTTGCATGCTTTGAATGCAGAAACTATAGCCGAAAAAATTAAATATTGATTATTCTATTATATGGATCTTGAGTTGCATCTGAAGTGTGTTGGACTTGATTTTGAAGGACATGTTATTTATTTTTGTCGCCTAATTATGAGAAAGCGAACTTTGGTAATTAAAATGGTTTTATTGGTTTTAAAATTATTCTCCAATAAGATGAATACCTATTTTGAAACCTATTTTAATCCCCCCTTCGCGAAATCCTGCGTATTATCTTGTGGAGAGGCCATTCATAAGAAAGAAACATATATTTATATATGTATATAGAAGCATATAATCAATATTTTCAGTCTTCACATAGGGGATTATACATATGGAAAGATGGAAATTCTTTCCCAATACGTTTGTACCAAGTAAAGAATGCCAATTGCCTTTCAAGTCGATATATATTAGAAATAAACTAGCTCAATATACTTGCATATAAATCTCAGATTTAATATATTCAAAATATTTATACTCGTATAAATAAAATACAGATTAATATATATATCTCTGATATATAGCTGGCCACTGAACAATCGCCGCATATGAAGGGAATGATGCAGCGAATTTCCTACTCAGATCATCGCCTTCGGTATGCATATACTGAGCCGATATTCCCAGCTGGAACAGAGGTACATCGAAATCCCCATCGGATTTCTGTGGGATGAGTAGGAAGGACGCAAGTTTAGAGAGTTTTTATTAAAAGTTCATAACCGATGAATTCCTTACCGTAAGCTCCATGAAGAAGTTCAATGGTGCATTATCTATTCCATATGAGAAGTATATATGGTACGGAGGGGTGTACTGTACCGTATAGCTGAGCAGGAACGACCAGTTGCTAACGGTCACGTCTTCGTACGGCTGAATGAACAGACTCGTGTGATCCGGACACGTCAAATTAAACTCGAACCGTACGGTTTTGTTATTGGGCAGCACCGTTTTGCTTAGCATCTCCAAAACCGGCACCGACGGTGTCTCGACGGGCTGCTCCCGCGGCAGCCACATCCCATTTTCGCGACTTTCCACCCAGCGGTGATCGTACAGAGGCACGCCACACAGCATGTGCTTCTCACAGTCCGATGCCATGCTGACCAAGCCAGTAAGGTTTACCTTGGTTCCCTTCAGGGGAGCAGCCCCACGACGATCCTGGAAATTGAATAGATATCCGGACTCGTCCTTGCTGACTGTTCCATCGTACTCGTAGAACACTCGGCGCACTTGCTGCAACCACGATTAAAGAGTGACATAATTAAAGGAATAAACCCAATTTTTTAAAATACTTACCAAATATGGGACTCGCTGCACATTGGTCTTGGGACGGTAGGGGAATCCGATTTGGGTGGAAGATGCAATGTATACAGTTAAGGCAGTCACAGCCAGCAAGCCGAGGAAAATAAGACTGGAGCGCCGTGACATATGCACAAGCAGGACCTGAGGAAATATTTAAATGGTTTTACATACTGACTGTGGCGTACAGCAGCAGAATAACGTACCAAAAAGCCCAAGGAGAAAATAGTTCCCAATGCAGTCAAGGCAGAAACAATCAAGTCTGGATTGGTAGATCTAAAAAGAGAGGGATTGAACGAGAAATCATCCCACAAAACCGTCAGACACTACTTACAGGCCAAAGCGACCCATCATGGGGGTTAGCACCACAATGAATGTGTAGAAGAGATAGCTGTTGTACAGGAACGGGATGACTTGGACGACTTTAAGGACGGCCGTCCAGGCAAAGCCGCGATCGTGCAGAGTCGTGAGAAGGTTGATGGCCAAGGGAATCACGTAGAAGAGAAGGGTCCACGTGACGACGTAGGTGGTACGCAGTCCATAGAGCGTGAGTCCAATGCCGAGGATGGCCAGGATAGTGGCGTGTCCATGCAACACCAGCTGCAGTTGCTTCGCAAAGGAAATCTTTTCCTAAACAGATGGATGGATATAGTATATGGTATAGAATCGGATTTGGTTGCTACTCACATCCCGTTGCAGCTTCAAGAAGACGAAAGAGGGTAAACTGAAACCGATGAGAGTCGGGCACACATAAAGGCCGATCAGGAGCGCTGGAGTGCTGTAGTAGGTGAGGGAGAGGCCGTACATGTCGAACAAATACGCGACCACAACGGGCAGACCCAGGCCAAGCAGTAAAGCAATGACCTGGAGTACGATAATCAGAATGAACCAGCCGACGACGTGTCCGGCGGAGACATTGGACGAGCTTGCGGTGCGCAATAAGGACACAAAGATCAGAACAATGGTAGTTCCAGCCACGGCATAGTTGAAGATGATGCCATTGCTCTCCGAGTAGCTGATGAAGTACAGTCCCAGGACGTCGAAGAAGATTGTGTTCCCTGAAGGGTTTGCCTGTTACGACAAATGTTCTTATAATTTGTGAAGGCTTTGTTAATTCAGTTGTCTTACCGTGGTATCGTGGAGCTCTGTGGCATTGGAAAAAGCTCGCACAAGGGCGAGAACATTGTCGCCTGTATTCTGAAGAGAAGCCCTGGGGATAACGTCGACGCGATCGTACCGGGTGTGATAGACGTAACCATTGAAGCACTGTCCTATGTCCAATCCTGAGGAGGGAAAAGGATATGTTATGTCTCTCGTAGATAGGTTGTCACAACTGTTTTTCATAGGTGCGTACCAATAAGGTTTCCATATGTGCGGAAAATTCCGAAATCGGTGTCCGATGGGATGAGCCCAGTTTGAAAGATTTCCTCAGCCATGGTGGTGGAGAACGGATGCTTGGCGTTCTGCTTGTAGTACTGAAATAGAACAAAAAGTAGACAGAAATAAGAATCTTAGGCATGGAAGGGCTTCCCCAGATTATTTACGTCTACGAGCCAGGGGTTATTGGGTCCAGTCTGGAAAAGAATCTCGCGTCCTCCACTGCCAGCTGCATCCAGGTTGATGACAACCCTGCAAACATTAGATATATCGTTGGATTATGTCACACCAAAATGTAGTTATCCCGTAGCTTACTTGCAGAATGGAGCCCATTTGTGCTGGGAGATGAAGCCATGCGAGGCCTGCAAAGAGTTCTCCTCGGAGCCGTTAATAAGAAAAATGATTGGATGCTCGAACGTTTGCTTCGTGGTGGCGATCACTCGAAGGACCTCAAGGATCGTGACAACCATGTGGCCTGCGTCGCCAGCAGAGGGACTTGTCGGCTGTGAATCGAAGTGACTGTTGACCAGGAGGTAGTTTTCACTGGTGCAGTTCTTGGGGGTCAGCTTAACGACAATATTCTGCACCGCCTGATACATGTTGACCAATTCCCACTTGATGTAGGAGCCAGAAGCAATCTGCACGTCAATTTCTATGTCGAAGTAGTCGTCCAGGAGTTGGTCTTCAATCAGCGCCAACTCCTTCAACAGAAACTTGACAGTCTTGTTCTCATTTCCATCGCTTCCTACCACTTTCGTGCCGATATTGGCAAAGTCGTAAAGGTTAGCCTGTGCGCGTTCGGCAATGAATCCTCCCTTTGAGATATCCTCGATGGTGAGGTCCGCGGGCAGGCGGTAGAAGAGTGGCATCACTACGGCAAAGAAGAGGAGCAGCCAGATCAGAAGGAAGCCGCTGGCCATGTACCAGGGAATTTTGGAATCTTTCTCCTGTTTTTTAACATTTTTAGGAGACGCCGACTCGACGCGTTCGTCCAATATCTGAAGGAAATACAATGGAAATGTGGTTAAGGAAAGGGATTAATGTTGTTCTTGGGAAATGGTCTTTACAAGTTGTTCCTTGTCGCCCATGTTGGTCTTCTTTTTTCCCGGGCGAGACTGAACGAAAAATGCCAGCGGCTTTTAAATACTTCCTCGAAAAGCGACATATCATTCAATATGCTTTACAGTCATTAAAAACTCCATTTTTTGTACATTTATCGCATTATTATTCTTCTCGTTTTTCCCCCCATTCGGTAATAACTAAAACGTGTATATGATTATACAAATTTAATGCTCCGATTTCTTTCTTTTGATAAACACGATCTTTATAGTTTCAGACCCACCGCAACCCAACAACTGTTGCCAATTCAGAATCCCTGTAATCTATGAATGCATGAATGTTCAATTATCGCAGACTTTTTATGGGGTTTATTACTGGGAAAATTAATATGAGACACACTTCTGTTGATAACTCGACACTATCTTGATAAATCAACATAATCAAACCCAAAAGCATTATAAATAAATTTGGTTATTGCCTAACGTACTCCTAGGCAACATCGCACACCTTTCTTTGGATGACATCCAATCGCAAACGCAGTCCCCGCCACAAATCCAACTGAAATGCGAGGTTTTCATGTTAAATGAAAATTTCATGTTCTTCCAAAAAATTTCCCTGTTGGCTCTCTTAAAGCAGATCTCTCTATTCATAGGCACTTATGGCATACTCATATGAATTGTAGGCCCAAATCTCAAAGACTATACTTTCTGCGTGAGTGCCTCTCCCTCTCCTCTCTCGATGTCAAAGTTTCATGGATGGTTTTCGTTAAACTTACTTTGACAGGCTATTCGATTCTTGTATTTCCAAATACACATTTTTGTTTACTTTTTTTTTTTTTTTTTTTGTATAAATAAACATTTGTGGCATTTAAAATTAATTTTTTCATTGCAAACTAAACAACAATCTAAATACGATTGGAAATTGAATTCAATGCAGTACTTTATAATACTCTATAAAACAAATCCTACAGAAAAACCAATCATAAACACAACTGCTAAAGTTTTGTGGTCCCATTCTGCGCGGAACCATTAATTTAATGACTCGATCATTCCGATAACTACGAATGATCTGCCCCTTCATAAATCAATGTGAATTATAAAAAACTTTGCAACTAGTTGACCTTAAAAACAGACGGACTGTGCTATAGCGAAGCGTCTTTCCATGACAATTTACCCTCTTCCGTAGCACAAGATTTAAAAAAATAGCCCTTGGTATGTATTTATATGAAACCTATCCGTTATCCGCATCCGTATCGTATCCGTATCACTCATGATACACAAAGAATCGTATTTGCATGTATAATTTTATATATTTTTCAGCTTTACCAGTTGAAGCAATTATTTTAAAAGATATATCTCTGATAGGAAGCTGGCCACTGGACAATGGCCGAATACGCTGAGAATGATTCAGCGAATTTCACGCTCTCAGCATCTCCAACACTTCCTATAAAGTGTCCCGACAAACCCAGCTCGAACAGTTGAACGTCGAAGTCGCCATTGGGTTTCTGTGTGAAATACAAATGAGTAATATAGTAAACTCCAGTTCTAAACAGTTTGGAATTAGTCATTTTCCTACCATAATATCAATGAAAAAGTTCAACGGGGAACTATCAATTCCATATGAAAAGTAAATATGAAACGGTGGGGGATACGTAGAGGTGGTCTGCAGGTAGCTTTGCAGGAAGGACCAGTTGCTTATGGTCACATCTTCGAAGGGCTGAATGAAGAGACTCGTGTGATCCGGACCCGTTACCTCAAACACGAACCGTACGGTTATACCGTCGGCTTGCACAGTCTTGCTCAAAAGTTTGAGGGTAGGCATCGCTGGTGTCTCAATGGGCTGCTCACGCGGTAGCCACATTGTATTTAGGCGACTCTTTACCCAATGTTGATCATACAGCGGAACCCCGCACATCATGCGCTCGGTGCAGTCCGATTCGAGGCTGACCAAGCCCTCTAGGGGCATGCCGCTTTCCTCCAAGGGAGTTGGCCCACGTCGGTCCTGGAAATTGAACGCGTAGCCGGAGTCTTCCCAGCTGACTGTTCCGTCGTACTCGTAAAACACTCGCCTCACTTGCTGTAATCGAATTTTAAATGTGTCAAATATTGCCGTAGATTAGTAAGATAGTGAACGAACCAAGTAGTTGATCCGCTCCACGTTGGTCTTGGGACGATAGGGAAACCCGATATCGGTGGAGGTGGCAGCGAATATAGATAGGGCACTTACGGCCAGCAGAATGACAAAAACTATGCTCGGTCTGCGGAACATGTTCACAAGCAAAATCTGTAGACGTAATGATGCAGTTATAGAAGGTGATCACCGATCAGTACTGTATCGGGACAGGGCAACATACCAAAAAGCCCATTGACAAAATGGTGCCCAGTGCAGTCAAGGCAGAGACAATCAAGTCCGGGTTGGTTGCCCTAAAATGGGATGAGACAGGTTGGTTAGGAAGTCAGTGCAGCTAGTGGCTTCGCATTGCTTACATTCCATAGCGTCCCATCATGGGAGTGAGCACAACCACGAATGTGTAGAAGAGGTAGCTGTTGTACAGGAACGGGAAGATCTGGAATAGCTTAAGGATGGTTGTCCAGGCGTAGCCGCGATCGTGGAGAGTCGTCAGTAAGTTGATGGCCAAGGGAATCACGTAAAAGATGAGCGTCCATGTTATAACGTAGGCGGATCGCAAGCCATAGTATGTTAATGCGACCCCGAGAACGGCCAGGACAACAGCGTGTCCGTGCAGCGCCAGCTGGATGTAGTGGGCAAAGGAGACCTTGCTCTACGATAGAACGTATAAATAGAGTGAAGACTTGGTAAGTGGCAGCTAATGGGTGCCAGTGGACACTTACATTGCGGTACAGTGTGTAGTAGATGGTGGAGGGCAAGCTCAGTCCCACGAGACTTGGGCACACGAACAGACCGACAACCAGCAGGGGACTGCTATAGTAGCTTAGCGACTTTCCGTAGAGATCAAGAGCGTACGCCACAACAATGGGAAGTGCCAGGCCAAGAACGAAGGCGATGACTTGAATCACCAGCACCAGGATAGCCCACTGCCTTACATCCTCCTGCGAAACATTCGAGACTGCCGCTATGCGCCACAAGGATACAAATATCAAGATAATGGCGGCACCAGCCACTCCATAGTTCAGATACTCGCCATTGCTGGACGAATAGCTGATGAAGAACAGGCCCAGAAAGTCAAAGAAGATGGCGTGTCCTGAAGTGAAGGCCTACAAAAATTGATAGATTATTAGATCCGTTCAGACACCTTTCTATACTGTGCTGCAGTGGGACCCACCTCAGTATCGTAGAGCTCTGGTGCGTTTGACAAGGCCCTCACCAGATTGAGGATATTATCGCCCGTATTCTGAAGGGCACCCTGAGGGATCACGTCCAATTCATCGTACTTGGTGTGGTATACGAAGCCATTGATGCACTGGGCAAGGTCGAACCCTTTTTTGGGAAGCAAAACATATCTGAAAACCAAATACCACGTGCAGATGTTCCTTTGGACTTACCCACGAGGTTTCCATAGGTGTTGAAAATGCCGAAATCTGTGTCTGAGGGCAGGAGACCCGTTTGGAAGATTTCCTCGCCCATGGTGGTTCCAAACGGATGCTTGGCGCTCTCTTTGTAGTACTGTACAAAATTTGGTACGTACATTTAGTGCCCTTTGGGGAAATGTTTTGACGGAACAGTTACCTTTAAAAGCCAGGGATTGTAGGGGCCACTCTGGAAGAGAATCTCGCGACCACCAGATCCAGCGGCATCGAGGTTGATGACGGCCCTGTAATTATACAATATGCAATCTTAACTCTTTAGTAATCGCTGGGATCAAGGGATGGATTGCTTACTTGCAGAATGGAGCCCATTTGTGTTGGGTGATAAAGGCATGAGAGGCTTGTAGGGGATTCTCCTCGGCTCCGTTTAGGAGAAATACAATCGGATGTTGGAATGATTGCTTGCTTGTGGAGATCACCCGCAGCACCTCCAACATAGTGGTGACCATGTGTCCAGCATCGCCCACCGACGGACTAGTGGGCTTCGAGTCAAAGTGGCTGTTGACCAAAAGGTAGGTTTCGCTGGTGGAACCCTTGGGGCTAAGCTTGATGACGATATTCTGCACTCCCTGGTACATGTTGATCATGGTCCAATGAATGTAGGAGCCCGAGGCAATTTGAACATCGATCTCAATGTCGTAGTATTCCAGCAGGACTTGCTGCTTGATCAGCTCCAGTTCAGCTAGCAGGAACTGCACCGTATAGACCTCATTTCCTTGACTGCCGACCACTTTCGTGCCAATGTTGGCCAGACCGGCTAATGTCTTGTGGGCCCGCTCCGCAATGAATACGTCCTGGTTGGTATCGTGAACCGTCAGAGGTGTGGGCAGGCGATAGAAGAGCGGCACCACGATGGTCAGGAAGAGCGTGGCCCAGAAGAGGAGGAATCCCGCTTCAAAGTACCAGTGGCGATTCGCCTTCACTGCCAGTGTGGCTACCTTTTCGGCAATCGCCGCCTTGTCCTGAACGGATTCCTCGTCAGAGATCTGCCAATTTGTGAATTTTGCATATTCATAAATATAATAGGGGAAACGAAAGGGGTTTCCTTACGAGCTTGTCCTTGTCTCCCATCACTTTAGTATTTTGCAGAAACACACTGGCCGCTGTCGGGAATAAAACTGCTTGCCTAAAGAAAAGGTCGAGATACTCTTATATATGCGGCGTGGGCGTCAAGTTCACCAAGTACTAATCTGCCGCCTTTCAATTACTGGAGCACGTACTCGAGACAACTTATCCTAATCGCCGCTTGATAATCAAATTTATTATGCCAAACCTTGTCTTGGAATATTTCACCAATTGGTAACCGGAGATCAAATCTTCTTAATAAAGTATAACAAATTATTTCAGCTCGCAAAACAAAATCTGAGGCTGGGCTGCTCAGATGAGATCCCAGATGCGAAATTTTCACTTAGAAAAATCCAGTATTGACTGTAATTCCTCCTATACAATCGTATAATTGGTTAAATCTGTAATAAAACGTTTATGGCGCAGATTTTTATCACGATTGATTTAGAGCTTGATTGCACGGGCGTGTGTTCATCATATTTTTATTTTGTGACAAGAATAATTGGTGTTTCAAGTGGACTACGACAAGGCAAGGTGCGTTGTCGGATCTAAAGCTGAAGTTCGGGCTGGACGATTGCTTTCATGGACTGTCTGCGCTCCACTGTAGAGGGGTCTTACAATAATACAGGCAGAAGGAAAACACTCAGTAAGTGAATTGCCGGTAGGAGGTGGGCCATTGGACCAGCGCCGCATAAGACGGGAAGGATTTCGCAAACTTCTGGCTGAGCTCATCGCCTTCGTCGCCAATGAAATGATGAGACACTCCCACCTGGCAAACGGGCACGTCGAAGTCGCCATCGGGTTTCTGTGGTAATGGATGAGAATGCAGAAATTAAAATGGACTCCAAACTGTACACCATCCGCCGAACACTTACATAAAGTTCAATGAAGAATGAAAGTGCCGTATTATCCTTGCCATGCGCGAAGTAGATGTGATAAGTCGTCTGCTGTCCAATGTAATCGATCGGGAAGGACCAGTTGGTTACGGCCACGTCTTCGTAGGGCTGGATGAACACACTGGTGTGATCGGTAACCTCCGCCCTGAACTCGAACCGCACCGTCTTTCCGTCCTCCAGCACGGTCTTGTTCAGAAGCTCGAAAGTGGGCACCGATGGGGTTTCGACGGGTGTTTCGCGCGGCAGCCACATTCCCTTTAGACGGTTCTTCACCCAACGGTGATCGTAGAGGGGATAGCCACACATCATGTACTTGGCGCAATCCGCCTCGATGCCAACCAAGCCAGTTAGGTTCGCCTTGGTACCCTTCAGGGGTGCAGGTCCCCGGCGATCCTGGAAGTTGAACAGGTAGCCGGAGTCTTCCTTGCTGACGGACCCATCGTACTCGTAGAAGGTTCGTCGCACTTGCTGGAAATGGAGTTAGTTAGCTATAATGGAATGTCCAAGAGATACCACTGTCCAGTAAGTACTCACCAGGTATGGCACTCTCTCTACATTGGTCTTGGGGCGATAGGGGAATCCGAGTTGGGTGGAGCTGGCTGTGTAGATGCTCAGGGCACTTACGGCCAGCAGGGCGAAGAGGATCATACTTGGTCGGCGAAAGACGTTGATAAGGGGAATCTAAATGATACTGCATCGTTAGATAACTGTAGAAAGCTCATAAAAAGAGTCATTACCAAAAAGCCCATAGCAAGAATAGTTCCCAAGGCATTCAGAGCAGAGATAATCAGATCGGGGTTTGTCGACCTGCCGAATCGGCCCATCATTGCACTGAGGATAACCAGGAAGGTGTAAAACAGATAGCTGTTGTACAGGAAGGGAACGATCTGGACAATCTTCACGACGCCCGTCCAGGAGAAGCCGCGATCGTGCAGAGTCGTCAGCAGGTTGATGGTCAGGGGAACCACGTAAAAGATGAGCGTCCATGTTATCACGTAGGCGGATCGCAGGCCGTAGTAAGTTATTCCAATGCCGAGAGTGGCCAGGACAATCGCGTGTCCATGCAGCACCATTTGCAATTGATGGGCAAAGGAAATCTTCTCCTGCAACAAAAGTTACATGTATTTAGTCCCAAGCATATATGAATGGTATCCAATCTACTTACACTCCGTTGCAGCTTCAAGTAGATGAACGAGGGCAAACTAAGTCCGAGGAGACTGGGGAACACATATATGCCGATCATCAACGCCGGAGTGGCGAAGTAGGTGAGAGAGAGGCCGTACATGTCGAACAAATAGGCGACCACAACGGGCATTCCCAGGCCGAGCACAAAGCCAATGATCTGTACCACCAAAATCAGGATGAACAAGCCAACAATGTGGCCTGTGGAGACATTGGAGACACTCGCTGTGCGCCACACTGACACAAAGATCAGGACAATGGTAGCTCCAGCCACGGCATAGTTGAGGATCACACCAGTGCTCTGCGAGTAGCTGATGAAGTACAGTCCCAGGACGTCGAAGAAGACGGCGTGTCCCGAGGCGTATGCCTGATATAAGTTCAAATTATGAGGAGAATTTTCTCGGTTGGGCTGGATCAACTTACCTCCGGATCATGCAACTCTGTGGCATTAGAGAGGCCGCGGACCAAGCTGAGAACGTTCTCACCCGTGTTCTGAATAGAAGTGCGTGGAATGACATCGAAGCGATCGTACTTGGTGTGATACGTGTAGCCGTTGATGCACTGGGCTATATCCAGACCTAGAGCAAGGAATCGATTATATTTGTCATCATTTAGTTGCACATTTTTCGGTTGCTGTTGTTGCTGTCATTCTTACCGACGAGTTTACTATATTTTGTAAATATGGTGAAGTCCGTGTCTGAGGGCAGGATACCCGTTTGGAAAATTTCCTCAGCCATGGTGGTCGCGAATGGATGCTTGGCATTCGTCTTGTAGTACTGCAATATGGAAAATCGTGGTATAGAATCGTTGCATCAGATGGCAGCGGCTTAAGGGTTGCTTACGTTTACAAGCCAGGGATGATTGGGTCCAGTCTGGAAGAGAATCTCGCGACCTCCGCTGCCAGCTGCATCCAAATTGATGAGTACCCTGTAACGTGGGGAGTCGTCTGTGTTATTGATTGCTCTGTTAGCTTGGGAGTCGTGTTGCATTGCTTACGTGCACTTGGAGGCCCATTTGTGTTGGGTGATGAAGCCGTGGGAGGCTTGTAGGGGATTCTCCTCGGCACCGTTGAGCAGAAAGACAATTGGATGCTCGAAGGTTTGCTTGGTAGAGGACATCACGCGGAGCACCTCCAGGATTGTGACAACCATTTGACCGGCATCGCCGGCCGAAGGGCTAGTGGGCTTTGAGTCGAAGTGGGAGTTGACCAGTAGGTAGGTGTCGCTGGTCGAGTTCTTGGGGCTCAGCTTAACGACGATATTTTGCACCGCCTGGTACATGTTGACCATAGTCCAATGAATGTAGGAGCCGGAGACAATCTGGAGGTCAATTTCAATGTCAAAGTACTCGTCCAGGACATTTGCCTCAATCAGCGCTAATTCCTTGAGCAGGAACTGTACGGTCTTGTTCTCATTTCCATCGCTGCCCACCACTTTGGGTCCGATTTTGTCAAATTCGTACAGGTTACCCTGTGCACGCTCGGCAATAAACACACCCTTGGAGGCATCCTCGATGGTCATGGCCGCGGGCAGGCGGTAGAAGAGTGGCACCACTACGGCAAAGAAGAGGAGCAGCCAAAACAGAAGGAAGCCACTGGCCATGTACCAGGGACCTCTGGAGGTCTGCTCCTGTTTCCTGGCATTCTTCGGCGACAGCAAACCAGCCTCGACGGGTTCGTCAGAAATCTGCAATAGAAATATCCCCGGATATTTAGTGGAAACGGAAAATGTCAGTTTTCCATGTGGCCCTTACAAGCTTGTCCTTGTCACCCATTTCCCTTTTCTGTAGCTACAGCTCTGCACTCTGAACCCTCCAGAATGGGACTAGTTGGCCTAAACCCAACATCAATTCCTTTTATATCCGCCAAAAACCAAGGGGGCCCAATTGAATACTCCATGATACAAATTAATTTATTGTATGTGCTACGTTGATATGTGCTCATGGATGTATTTATATTAGGTTTTCTTGGATACTAGTCTCATCGCAACGAGGGTGGCTATAACGAAACCAGCGTTAAATGAGGAGCAAAACGAAATTAATTTCCAAATAACAGGATAGTTTGCCACCCATCCAGGCTTTCCATTCTTGAATCCGGATAGCCATAGAAGAATATCCTGGAGAACTACATATATCGGAACAATAACCAAAATAACCATCCGTCATCCATTCCTAGAGGACTTCTCAAACAGCCCTCTTCTATGAGCAAGAAATTTATGTTTTTATAACCATTACTTGTATAATTGTATAATTACTGATATCAATTGAATGGCCTTATCTCAATCACCTCCGCTCCTTTCTTCACAGATAGGAGATCTTTATGGCTCTAAACCAGACCACCGCAACCGAACATCTATTGTTTCCTATTATATTCCGAGTATATACACACATACATACATACATATGTACGAGTATTTGCACATGTATGTAAATCATTTGGGGCTTGGCGAATATCTTCACAAAGGCGAGGCATAAAATCAATTGGATACACCATTAACAAACTTTGAACATATGCATACTTATTCCCTAATTGAGTTTATAAACTTGATAACCGATTTATGGCACTAATATCAGACACTTAAGCTAATCAAATGATGCACACACTTATTCGAATATATGAATTGTGTTATCATAATTGTACCTTGTGGACGGGCCCATTAAATCACTAATCACCAAAAGTCACCTCACCTCGCTCTCGAAAGAATCTAATCGGGTACGCAGGGCTCCCCACATCTCCGTTGGGCATGAACAATCCAACTGAGATGTGATCTCTCTCAGCCTCATCATCATCATCATGGGCGATGCTTATTCGACTATTTAATCTGGAATTTCGTGGGCTCTCTGTGTTTATTTTAAGCTTTTTATAAGAGCCTATATTGTTTCTTGTAGCAGTGCTCTCTATCATAGACACTCTACATATACACTCTACAGTATGTAGTGTGTAATCTCGTAGGTTTTGGAGAGCGTCTTCCGAGCGTAGCTATCCCCGGTCTCGAAATGAAGATAGACTGGGCCTTTAGCATGTGCCTTAGTGGCTCTCTAGCTACAATTTAGCAGATAGTCCTAGTGGAATAATATTTTTGTGGCTAATTGCTTCCACCGTACCACCTGTTGTTTATATTGGCCCTGTTTCGTACGCCTTAAGTAAACACTTTTCCTTTCACGAACATGCCTTTCCAACCGGGGAATGGAATGCATAATTTACCAAAACAAATACTCAAAAAGACGTTCCATTATATTTGTAGTATTCGTAGGTTTAATGGTTTAATAAAATATATATACTTTTTATCAGATTCTATACAGTTAATCGATAACGCTTAATGACTACAATTAGTAAAGCAAGCCCAATCTCTTCTTGTGAGTAATTCCCCTTAGAAATACCAGGTCTCGTAGGTCCCAACCCAGCCCTGTATGTAGGCATACGAGGGAAATCGATCTATGTATTTGCTCAGCCTTCCAATGGCAGTTATATCCTGATTAACCCAGTGTCCGCCAATGCCAATCTCCAGAGTGGGAGTATCGAATGTCGAAGTTGTCTTCTGCAAGCAATAAATTGGTTTGTTAGGTCACATACTTATGGAATATGGAATACCATTAAATGTGGATTGAGCTCACCTCAACGTCGATAGTAAACTCTAGGGAACTGTTGTCCAGTCCGTAGGAGAAGTACACCATGTACGGTGGTTCTGCCTTCTCCCGAACGAGAGTGTCGTTGAAGGACCAGTCCACCAGCTTGGCATCATTTTTCATATTCACGAAAATGCCCATGTGGTCGGGTCCACTCAGTGAGAAGCTGAAACGCCGCCGCGTGGCACTCTCCAGCTCGCTGCTGTCCTGCAGAATGAGCGATGGATACTCCGTGGGTATCTCTGGCAGCTCCGGCACAGGCACCCACAGGCTGTACTTCCGAGCCTTGTTCCAGCGATGATTGTACAGGGGCAGCCCACAAAACATTTCCTCGTCGCAAGTGTCGCTGACCCTCTGCACCTCTCCGATGGAATCTATTTCGTCTGAGAATCAAATGGGATACTCGTATTAATCCAGAGAATTATGAATTTAAAGAGTAAGCTTACCTCGCGCTATTTCGATGCGTCGATCTTGGGGATATATGTACAGGCCTGATTCGTCCATGCGAGTGGTGCCATCCGCGTTATGTAGCCGACGATGTGCATGCTAAGAAAGGGCCACGATCAGATCCAAGCAGGATAGTTTAAGTAGCGATTAAGGTGTCACTTACGATCAATGAGTAGCGCTGAGCTGAGGTTTTCTCCTTGTAGGGGAATCCGGCATTCGTGACGGCGATTACAATGAACAGAATGGTAATCCCGAGGAAGCAGAGCACAATCGTTCTCGTCTTGCGGAAGAACATGATCAGTGGAACCTACGAAGGAGTTCTCTTAGCCACAAGTCAGGCACAAGCGATCCAATTTTCACTTACAACAAAACCAGCAAACATGAGGGAAAATAACCAGACAAGGGCTGCGATAACCATGTCGGGGTTGGAGGACGAACCCGAGCGTCCCTGCATGGGCATCAGAGTTAGGAGAGCCGCCGTGCACAAATAGGTGAAGTAGACGAACGGAAGGATCTGACAGACCGTGACAGCAATGGCAAACAAATAGGCTGTCGAAGGATGGAAATAGTTTTAAGTTTCCTTTATGTTTTCTACTTACCTTTGCGGTGCCACTTGGTGACCAAGTTCACAATCAAAGCCACTATATCGAAGAGCACACAGAGCATAATCAAGTAGGCCGATCGAATGCTCAGTCCCGTCAGCGTAACCATGATCACGATCAGCCAGAAGCAGTGCGAGTGCATGAACAGCTGGATGCGGAACCCCAGGCCTAGGGGATCGCGTTTCGTCTTCTCCAGATACAGGGCTGGCAGGATGCTCATTCCGAAGATGATCGGCGCCAGGTAGAGGCCAAAGATCGTCCAGGTGGAGGTGAACCAAGTCATCGAGCGATTCACACCATCCATAAAGACGGCCACGAGCAGTGCGAGGCCCACGGCCAGAGCGAGGGAGGCGAGCTGCATGCCAATGGTGATCGCGTAACGCAGCAGGACTCCCTTCCAGCTGCATCCCGAGCGCACGGACATGAAGTACAACGAGATGCCAATGGCCAGAAGGGCCAGCAGAGACACAACAACGTTCACAATGATGCTCGTGGTTTCCGTGTAGAATATCATGAACCAGCCCAGAAAGTCATAGAAGATGTTGTGGCCCTCAGCGTGCGCCTGAAAGTATGCGGCATTTTTTGAGGCATTCGAGAGCGGACTAAGAATATTTTCTACTTACGGCGGTGTCGTCCATTTCCGGTGCATTGGCGAGAGCTCTGGCCAGGGACAGCACATTGTCGCCCGTGTGCTGGAAGGAGGCCCTGGGAAAAGCGTTTATCCTATCGTACTTGGTGTGGTAGACAAAGCCGTTGAATATGTAGGCCATGTCCAGGCCGGGAACGCCGCCATAGTCGCGAAAGATGCGGAAGTCCGTGTCGGATGGAATAATGCCAGCTTGGAACATCTCCTCGCCCAGGGTGTTGGCGAACGGATGCGGAACATTGCGATAGTAGTTCATCAGCCAGGGATGATTGGGTCCGGACTGAAACAGGATCTCCCGACCGCCGCTGCCGGCAGAGTCCAGATTGATGAGAGCTCTGTGGAGTTGGAGATGAGCGAATGAGGATGATCTTGACTAGCTGCAGCTGCTGGGTCACCTACTTGCAGTTTTTGGCCCACTTGTGCTGTGTGATGAAGGCGTGCGAGCCCTGGAGGGGATTCTCCTCGGCCCCGTTGAACAGGAAAACAATTGGATGGGCCAGTGGCTCGCCTGCTTTGGCTATCACACGCATGACCTCTAGCATGGAAACCACCATGGACCCATCATCCCCGGCACCGGGGCTGCCGGGAACGGAGTCGTAGTGGCTGTTCATCAGCAGGAAGTTCTCGTTGCTGGAGTTCCGTTCGCTCAGCTTCACGACCACGTTCTGAATGCCCTGGTACATGTTAACCATTTCCCAGTGCATGTAGGCGCCGCTTGCCTGCTGGACATCGATCTCAATCTCGTAACGATCGCTCATCTCGGCCTCTACCTTGGCCACCTCTGCGCGCAGAAAGTCAACGGTAGCCACCTCATTGGCCGCAGATCCCACGACGCGGGGTCCAATGCGGGTCAGCTCTATGAGAGTGTCCTCGGCGCGCTGGGCTATGAAGGAGTTCGGATGGCTGGCCTCATCGCTACGCATCAGGGCCTTGGGCATGCTGTTTATCTGGGTGTTGACGAGCGACAGGTACAGACAGAGCCAGAAGGCAAAGAAGACGGGGGCGTAGTACCATTGCAGCTTCTTGGGCACCTCGAAGTCCACGTCGATGTGATACTTGGAATTGAACTGTTGAAGAGAGAGTGTTGCAGTGTCCAGTGATAAGGTGGTTGCTCTATAAATTTCCGTTACGTGTATATAGGTAATTATAGCTTATCCATATCTAATCTTGGACTTTTAATCGAAGCAATACCGGAACACGTGAACTTCACAATCCGATGCGATGCATTTCAATTGTGCCCAGGCTTTTGGGCGAATACAAAGTTAAACATTTATTGATTTACAATCCGTTAACCGATAAGACATTCTCTACTTTCTTTTTTGATTTCTAGATTAAACAACGGTCAGCACTGAAGGAATTCATCGTCGCGTGTTAATCCATGATTCACGGGCGTGTGCTCAGCGGTAGGTTGCGCTGGATCCACCGTCAACCGTTCAAGTTGAGGCCATAAACCGATAACCGATTAATAAAGAACAAATAACCCTACAAACATATGGAGTGAACATGCAAAAAACGAAGAAAAAGAATTGGCGAGACCGGCGGCATCTTTGAAGGGTGTAATTTTTGTATTGGTTCATGGTTTTTAATCGATTTCTTATCTACTCGTACGTATGAGCATATAATCTGTCATAGCGATTGTTTTATTTTTTCTGGACATTGACCAGGAGCTCTTCTCATCCTTTTGCCTTTCTTGGATTGCTTATGGATCTCTCCTATTTCTATTTCAATTTTAATACATCCTAATTATGTAACAAACACTTTCATTTTCTAATATGTTTCCCAGAATTAAATAAAACTTCCTGACTCTCTCAAAATATTGTATTCACTTGTGGGGCGTGCTTCTTCTTAAGAACAAAGTAAAATACTATAAGGATTTTAGTTTCACTTCATAAATCACTTGTTTTGCACTGTTCATATTGTTGCCACTCCATAAATCCACACAAATTCCATACGTACACTCATTTTTATAGATTGCTGGAACTTCTATATATTGAGATTTCCACAGGATTTATCCTTCGACAAATCCGAAGCACTGACACTTTAAGGATTTGCTCGTAACTCCTTAAGCTCGATCACGTCTGGGCCCCGTCACCCTTGAATTCCGATTGAGGTTCGAGTCTGGTCGGTCTTCCAAAGATATATGAGAGTCCAACGCTTTCAGGAATTCGCCGAATAGGTAAATTATCGGTATCGTGGGCTCGACAATATCTTAAGTGCTGCTCCGATTGTGAAACACCACACACCCCTTTGGGTTCCGATCGCGTGCGGATGGGATTTTATGAGACTTCTTGTTTTCGCATTCGGGGGCTACAGTAGTGTGCGGTAGAACAATAGATCCATTGCCATTGCCAACCGAGTTTTATCTTTATTATGAAGAAATGCCTTTGTGTATCGTAAAAGCGCAGAAACAAGTTCCTAGATACTCGTATTTCCCCGTTTCTTGTTGTTGCCAGCCTGCAGCCCTCGGAGATACACAATTGCGGCGGCACCTTCGAATTGGAAGTTTGGAACCATTAAATCTACACGGTGTAGAAACGGCTTGATTAGTCCGTACTACTACTGTACTACTGCTCATAAAGATTGCCACTTTGGAAGGTTCTTCTTCCGTACAGATTCACCAGATGCGCCAGCTTTTCCCGTAAACCCGAGCTGTGGGTCTTTGCTATCGTTGTCTCTGACTGACTAACATTAGCTTCAGTTTCCGAACACACCCAGCCCCAATGACAGTTCCGATCCCTGTACTATTTGAAGCCCATGCCCTCTGTCTCTGGCACTGGCACTGGCACTTGTTTCGCAATGCCCCTGCCTGCTCTGCTCTAGCATTTCTACAGAGTTTACTAATTAATTTGTGCTGTGTTGTTGCCAGTCTGTCGTTGATTTCATTTCGTTTCGTTTATGTGTCATTCCACTTTTGTTTGCCTATCGTTTGCCTCGCCTTGTCCCCCCTATTTGCGAATCCTCCATCTGGGATCGGGTTCCGTTGTTTAACTCGCTTGATTAACAAACTATTTTGCGTTATTTGAATTAGTTTCGTATGTATTTCAGATTCACCTGCCCAATGGATCATCGCTGTTGTTGCACGCGTTCCGGCTGAGTGGACTCCAGAGCTGGGAAAACTGTTGGGCTGCTGCCATCAAATGATGTCAACCCATTTTCTCGCTCGACTGAACGGCGCAGAGTCACCTTAACTGGCAGTTCCCGTTCCCCAGCATCCAGAAGCATTAGAATGCATCGGAAAGTGCTTCAGCAAAACATCAAAAGGAATATATATGATGCATTTATTGAGTATATCTGCCAATTAGCCACTATCTTGCCTAAGAAGTTCTGTTTAGGTACTGTATTAAGTACGATAAAACACACATTCCAATGGGCCATATAATTCGTATCGTTCAAAATTGCAATGGAACAATAAAATAAATATGTCTGCCGAAGATCTGTCGTGGGGAGAGAAATGGGCACTTGAGACCAAGTTATCGCCACTATGCGCACCGCATCCTTATCATAAATGATTTCAGCCTCTGTATCGCCAAGTGCGTCTCACTTGTCTACGAAGCCCCCCTTAATCGTGATTGCGGCTAATTATTGATGAAATCCCTGGCACTTTGCGGTGCTTATCCAAGTTAAGCCAAGGAACGTGTCCAGAAAACGAAAACAGATTGGCCAATGTCAATGCCTATTGCATACTGCCTGCCGCCTGCCAGCCCCCCTCTTGGGCAGGTGTGTTTGTGTGTGTTCTATTCCTGTCAAATTACTTGATTAGGTGTCCAATTCTGATAATTCCACGATAAGCCCCAGCAGAGCGTCGGGAGGCTCTTGAGGCTCAAGCACTTGGAAATAGCCGAAATCCAACACACAAATCCATCAACTGAGTACTTATAAAATTGCCACTGGCCATAAGCGATCGTTTTAGTCGGCTCCCAGTCCGTCCACCGAGAACATTGGGTTCTTCAGATCAGAGCGGAGGAGGATCGGGTCAACAATAGCCAGTGACGTGACAAGTGCATCAGCCTAGCAAGTGAGTGAGAGTGATCCGAAGCACACCACTGCTTCGAGAGAGCGAAAGGGAGAGCCAGTTCTCTCCGACATTCGAGCGATCGTGTCTCTGCCGCATCTCTCCTGTAAGAGCATTCAGTTGGTAAACGCAGCAGCCTCAGAGGCAGAAGCATACGCAGACGCAGACCTCCGCCGACCGTTGAACGGGACAGATGCGCTTCTCGGTGAATCAGCTGATCCCTCGGACATTTGGACACTTGGACACTTATTCGCGTCTCTACTGACCGCGTTTCAAATACGATTTCGGCCAAATTCTGTCAACGTGAAAGCCGAATAGTTTGGGTTTATTTTTGGGCAGATGTGCTAATAATTTCGTGTGCCAACAATTTGTTGTCGGTGTCTCCACACAGTGTGCCAAGTGCCAAGCGATCGTCGAGAGCAGAACACATAGGAGTGTTCTGTTCGCAAAAGTTCTGGATGCGGGAGGTGAGAGAGTGCAGGAGTTCCAGTTGCAAGGCTTCGGCGAGATCGTCCGCTCCCTCCGCTTGCCTTCTTTCCAGAGACAACAAACAACCGCAAGTGCAACCGCAACAAACTTCCTTTCCGTCAGGTTATTGACTTTAGCCTGCAGCGTGTCGCGTTATATACATATGTATTTGTTCTGTATTGTTTGTGTGCGCGTGTGTGTGTGTGTGGCGGCAAGCATCTGCATTTGTTTGTGGCAGATACTATGATTGTTTTTTGAACCTCTTCTTTCCGGCTGCCTTCGTCTGTCGCGACCGTTGTTTCTGTAGCCGGCAGGCATCACTTGCTGTTGGTATACCCTTCCCTTGCAGAGAGTATGCTTTGTTTCATCAGGTGTTTGTAACGTATAAAAAGAATGTAAATAAAGCCCTAGATATTACCATAAGCAGTACATACGAACCGTAGGACTATATCCTGTAATTCCCACTACGATCGATATCCAAGGGTATGTAAAGCGTCGAACCCTAGGCTGACCTTTCACGCTTCATCTTGTCACAGTTGATTGCCGCCGCCTCGTTCTTTTCTTTTTCCTCTTATTCATGACTTTACTTTTGTTTTGGATCTTTCTGCATTTCCTTTCCCCCATTCAAATGGTCTTTAAATAGTTTTTCCTTCTTCTTCCCCCCCTCCTTTGCCGTTTCTCTTTTTGTTGTTAAGTAGGCGTGGCACCCACACACAGAGAGCTCCGACACTGTTTGTTGGTTTGTTTTGAGTGGCTGTACGCGAGATGATTGGGTAGCTCGATAACGGAATAATCATGCAGAGAGCGGGGTGTACACCTACTCCCAGTAGGCCGCAGCAGCTAATCGACACTTTTTCACTGCACAATCGATGCACAATGCCGCTGCACTCGTAATCGCCGCCTCTGCAGGGTCACTTGGAAGTCAATGGAAATGGGTCGAAGTCGCGACGCCGTGCGACCCAAATTGCAATATGCAGAGCACTCTGATTCGCTTGGCAGCAGAGAGAACACTTGTCGCCGTTTGCCCTACTAGTCGGTGATCCTCTTGCCTCCGCGCAATTCAGCAGCTTAAGTTGTTTGTGGTACACATTCAACAAAATGGACCATGCGATACTGGGCGATCTTCTGGCAGAGCTTTTGTTTTTACTGCATTCATCTGGTGCGGTGCAAGTACGAAAGTGAAACACTTTTGTATGCCCTGCAGAAATGTTGAATGATTGAAAATCCCCTGATCTTTCTCTAACAGATTAGTAGTGTATCGTCTATTCAGCCTGAGAAAATGTACCCAATTTGTTATTAGATATTTCCCCCACACACATGTGTGAACATTAAACGAAAATATTACGACCCAGCTGGCTATAAATAAGAATGAAATATCGCTCAAAAAATTACAAATTGTGTCCCGTTCAATGCTGATTTGCTTCGGATGCTGATGGTTACGACTTTTCTTGTACTTTTGCCGAAATGTCAGATTATTCAAATACTGAATATAAATATTTGGTCTATTGTTTATTGTTTTGGAAGGCTGCATCTCTGCCAACAGCCATTCCTGTCGATACATTCTATCTGAAACCCTGCAGCATTTCATCGTCGTCGTTGTCATTAATGCCGCGGAATGGTCAACAGATGTTGTCCGGTACAGTTTTAATTTAGATGTGGCTCATATAATTGGTAAACAAAATAGTAGTATTTTCCCAGCTAATCTCTTGCTCCGATTCGTTCATGTTTCCCCCAAAATTGAGGGCACTCAAGATTTCATATTCGTCTAGTCTATACACTCCAGTCACTTCATTTCCTGCCCATTCCCCACTACTTATTGAGCAATCTGATAGGTATTATCTGTAGCAGATGATTTGATTAAGTGTCGTTCTGTGAGGAAAAATTCATTCAACTTTCGAGGTCTATGATAGTCACTATTAATCGATGTTTTCTGTGCTCTTATCAGTGTCTGTTTAGTCAAAATTCTAGAAAACACCTCCTCTGATTGATTCATGTGCCACTCTACATAACCGATGAGGATCGTTCAGTGGAAATCCGCTGTGGCCTGACATCTTCGAGTTGATCGCACTCGCTTATCTGAGAGCCTAATTATTAAATCGGTGCTCGCCGTTGAATTGGCGGCTTCAACCCTAGTCCCTCCCCATCAGACCATTTGACCGACGAAAGTGTAGAGATTAGTGACGATGACACGACAGTGGAATATCTGGCTTTATCAGCGGAATGTGTCACACTCCATATTCGAGTGCCGACAGACAATTGAAGTCAATTAATGGGGGAGGACAGTGACACTTTTTGTTCATTTTTTGGTGACAAACGATATACAAGAATTCATTAACTTTCGATTTCACTTGCAGCTCAAGATGAAATCAAAGTACGAGAACATGAAGATCATCTATAACCGGAGTAAGATCGGCTGGTATTGGGCGCCTCTCTTTGTGTCCTTCTGGTTCCTGCTCTTCTACTTGGTGGCGGTTTCCAGTTTCCATCGGATGCCGCGCCTGAAGACAACACAGGATGAGCTTCAGCAGCCGGGCCAATTCATTGGGGAGCGGGCCGAGAACACCCTCCTGAGACTATCCAAAATTGGGCCAAAGGTCGTGGGCAGTGCGGCCAACGAGCAGGTGGCCGTGCAGTTCCTGCTCAGTGAAATTACCGACATCATCGACGGTGCTCGTACCGATCTCTACAACATCGAGAAGGATGTGCAGATTGCGTCGGGCAACTACCTGCTCTGGTCCATGGTGAATGTCTATCAAAGTGTCCAGAACGTGGTGGTCAAGCTGTCACCCAAAAACGCCACCAGCGAGGCCGCCCTCTTGATCAACACTCACTTTGATTCGGTGCCGGGCAGCTCGGGAGCGGGAGACGCCGGCATGATGTGTGTGATCATGCTGGAAGTATTGAGGGTCATCACCAAGTACGAGACCCCGCTCACCTACTCGGTGGTCTTCCTCTTCAATGGAGCCGAGGAGAATCCGCTGCAGGGAAGCCACGCCTTCATCACACAGCACCCTTGGGCCCAGAACGTCAAGTGAGTGATGCTGGGACCTCGAGCATATATATTTTTATCACAACTTTACTATCCCCTAGGGCGGTTATGAACTTGGACTCGGCAGGCAGCGGAGGACGGGAAATTCTCTTTCAATCTGGTCCTGACAATCCTTGGTTGATGAAGGTGCACAGACCCTGGCATTACTTCAGTTTGGAGCTCATTTTAATCTCCTATTTTGTTTTTCAGTACTACGGCAAGAACATAGTTCATCCTTTTGCTTCCACTATTGGCGAGGAACTGTTCCAGAATGGGTTTGTGCCATCGGAGACGGACTTTCGAGTATTCCGTGACTTTGGCAATATACCTGGTACGGAATTCTTTTGCCTTCCAAAAATCAGATAATAAATGTATGTATATATTCCCATTAAACAGGACTCGATATGGCACAGGTCTTGAATGGGTATGTGTACCACACCAAATACGATCGCTTCAATCTTATCCCGCGACGCACCTATCAACTGACGGGAGATAATATTTTGGCTCTGGTGAAGGCACTAGCAAATGCCGAAGAATTGGAGAATCCTTCGGTGCGTTTTATTCACATAACAAACGACAATTTCATATTAATAGCTTCAGCAATTATGCAGAAATACGCCGAGGGACACATGATATTTTTTGATGTGCTTGGCTGGTTCTTTGTCTACTATCCGGAGAGCACGGGCGAGATCATCAATATATCCGTATGTGTTGTGGTGTGCGCCACCATTGTGGGCTACATTTGGATCATGTCGAGCAGCACAGGCATGTTCAGGCGAAGGATTTGGGCCAAGTTCGGTATTCTCACTGCCCTGCAGGTGGCTGGGGTGGGCTTGGGTATCGGGCTGGTCCTATCCATAGCCATGTTCCTGGATGCTGTGAATCTGCCCATGTCCTGGTTTACTCAAAACTGGATGCTCTTTGGCCTCTACTTCTGTCCCATGTTATTCGGCATGGGCATCGTCCCAGCCATCTACTTTAGCCGCACAAAGGAGGTGAGTGGATTAAATAAAAGTGCTTTGGTTCATTGATAACTAACTATTTCCCCTTTTACCTCATTAGCATGGACTTCCCTTGGGCTATGGCATACAACTGCTGATGCACTCCCATTGTCTCATCCTGACCGTCGTCACAGTGGTCATGATCAGCTACAGCATTCGATCGGCCTTTGTTATCATGCTCTGCATTGCCTTCTATACCCTTTCCGTAATCATCAATATGGTCACGCGGGCACACAAGACAAGTATGTATCTATTCGATAGTGCATCTCTGAGTTTACTCCAACACACATATCTTGCATGTCCTTTCAGACTTTCTTTGGCTCATCCCACACTGCCTGTGCCAGGTGCTGCCCTTCATGTTCTACACCTACTGCTGCTATGCATTCTACGTGGTCTTCGTGCCGATGCAGGGGCGAGAGTGCAACACCAATCCCGAGATTCTGATGGGTTTCTTTACGGCCCTGATGGTCATTCTATTCGCCCCCTTTCTGGTGCCTCTGCTCTGCCTCTTCCGCAAGTCGAAGACTATCATCTCGATGTTCGGCGTGTGTACGTTACTCTTTATCATATTTGCCGCCACCCCCATTGCGTTCCCCTATGCCGAGAAGACAGCCCCCCAGCGTTTCTTTGCTGTGGTAAGTGCTATCTATCAAATATTTCCATATCTTACTTGCTAAATCCGTTTGATTGCCTTCTCTTACAGCACACGGCTCGTACCTTCCACAATGCGGATCGAGCAAGCACCGTAAACCACACGGACTCCGGATACTTTGTCGTTCCCGTGGATCGTCGTCCCCATACCCTTGATGATATATTGTTCGACAACACCAACTACTCCAAGGCCGAGCCAATTGACTGTGATTCAGAGATTATGTGCGGCTACCCCATATACAGCTCTCGATGGCTGAACGCAGTGTAAGTGAGCTGAGCACCAGAAGTGAGCTTATGACTTATCAGTACCTTTGAAGTGACAACAGCTACTTCGTCCCGGGCCCAGAGCCCAACAAGGACTACTTGCCCACATTGAGCATAATCGACAAGTCCAGCAGCTCTGCTAAAAACATCAAGTTCACACTAGAGATCGCGGGGCCCGACCACACGAGTATATTCATTCAGCCGGTGAACGGCACTACGCTGGTGGACTGGACCTTCACCAAGGAGCCTCTCGAACAGAACGTGAAGCCACCATACTATGTTTATTGGTCGTACGCCTTGGATCCCACTCCCCTCCAGTTCAGCATGGAGTTCGAGCATGAAAACGATAACTGGTCTGGAGACACGTTCAAGATTGCCATAATGGGACATAGAACACACCATGACATGTACATAGATGAGGAGTTCAGGGAGTTCCTGGCCACGTTTCCGCCGTGGGCGCATGTAAGCTCCTGGATTGGTTCCTACAACAGCTGGCAGCTCTAAGTGTTCCCCAGTACAGTCGACAATCGAACCAAACTGAATCCCAATGTTGCCATTCAGTCACTCTTAAATTTGGTTAATGTTTCTCCATGTATGTCCCCCGGGATAGCCTTATCCTCCTTATCCTGGTAATCCATCGAACAAAGTGCCAGTTTCCTGGTCACGTCATAAATGCTTTAAGATTTAAGATTATAATTAGCTTATTAAAATATACTATAAATTTTGTATTAAGTTAACAAATCGATGTATCCTTAAAACTATTCGCTGCTTACAATACCCAGCTTTCCAAGGACGAAAACCAATCGGTGGTGTAGGTCCAGTCGGGGAAAGTGCCGAGGAACTCCCGGAAGTCCTCGGTGTAGTGCTCCTTGTGGTAGAGGAAGTGCTCAGAGACTACCAGTTTAAAATACGGTCCCTCCGTATTACTGACCTCGTGCTCGAGCTCCACCCAGAAGTCGAAGGGCTCCTCGGTCATAGAATATATGTGGTACATAAGATAGGGCGGAGTGTGCCCCTCATCCAGGGGTGTCTTGTCAAATGACCAGTCCGAGACCTTGACCTGATCCATTGGAGCTATGTAGATCATGACGCGATCGCTGGCCCGCAGGCTGAACTCGTAGCGAACCTTGTTCTGTCCCAGAGATGCCTTAGAGACTTCCGTCAGATCGATGTTTATGGGGAGCTGTGGAGGCGTGCTATAGATCCACCGAGCAGAGTCCCTATTCAGACAAATACACATAGCATTAGATAAACCATTCCCATCCTCCTTTTGAGGCTTTGTGTGAGGTAGAACTTACTTCCAGTCAATCCAGCGACCGCTGTAGATGGGCAATCCGCAGAAGGGCTCGGCAGCACAGGAAGCATCAGTCCAACTGGAGGGTTCTCTATTTTGGAACGTAGTACCGTCCAGCTCGCCTAGCCGCGTATCCACGGGTTGTATATAGAAGCCGGAATCTTGTTTGACGGTATTGTCCGCATTGTGGAATGTTCGCGTGGTGTGCTGCAAGTGATTCGATTAGTTTAGACCAGGACTCTACTTTCTAGAGCTAGTGACTTACCAGGACATAATATCGCTGTGGTGCCAGCTCCTTGACGAAGGGGAATCCCGCGGATGTCGTGGCCAGTATAATGAATATGATGGTTAATACTCCAAAAATGGAGAAAATAATCTTGGGCTTGCGGAACTTGTGCATAATGGGGATCTGCAAAGAGACAGTGTTAGGATATCGATCGACAGATGGGAATTCTCGAAGATCACTTACTATGAATCCAGCAAAGTGCACAGACATATAAATGATGAACACGGAGACAAGGACATCGGGACTGCTTTCGGGGCCGTCGCGACCTTGCATAGGCAAAAACACAATCAGAATCGCGTAGCACATGTAGGTGTAGTAAATGAAGGGCAGGACCTGGCAGATCAAGTGGCTCGTCACAAAGTAGCTCTCTAAACGAAAGGAGAATCCATTAGAATCCACTGCTGCTCTTGGGGCTGCTAACGAACTTACTCTTCAAGGAGAGCTTGAGGGTAATCTGCACAACCACCGAGATCGTGTAGAAGAAGATGCCAATCATGGGGAAGTAGCCGGAGCGAATGGACAGACTGGTCATGATGATGCACAAAACGATCATCACAATGCAGTGTGCGTGCATGAAGCAGGCTATGGTCTGGTCTAGCTTCATGTTGGTCTTCCGCTTCGTCCAGCCAATGTAGACGGCGGGCAGCAGACCCAGCACGAAGAACAGGCTGCAGAAGTACAGTCCGAAGATCATCCAGTGTCCGTAGTACCAGGACTCCGACAGGCCCACAGCCTGCATGAAGACAGCCACGAGAATGGTTAGGCCACAGGCCACAAATACTGTTCCCACTTGAACCAAGAATATGATGCCGAATCGTAGGAACACGGCCTTGACCGCATCTGCCCCATTGTCCATTGTCATTAGGTAGACGGAAATGCCGATGCACGCCAGGGATATCAGGCAAACAGTCACGTTGATGGCTATGCTCACAGATTCTGTGTAGGTGAGCATGAACCAGCCCACGAAGTCGTAGAAGACCGTGTGACCCTCTTCGTGGGCGGCGGTGTCATCCAATTCGGGGGCATTGGCCAGGGCCCAAACCAGGGGTAGCACATTCTCACCCGTCGATTGGTAGGTGCCTCGCTCTATGTTCTTGAAGTTGTCGTACTTGGTGTGGTACACGTAGCCATTTAATGCATGTGCCATGTCCAGACCGGGCACATTTCCGTAGTCGCGGAAGACGCGGAAGTCCGTGTCCGAGGGTATAAAGTTGTTCTGGAACAGCTCCTCCGCCATCGAATTCGCAAACGGATGAGCCGCGCTCTGGTGATAGTATTTGGCCAGCCACGGGTGATTGGGTCCCGTTTGGAAGAGAATCTCGCGTCCGCCAGCGCCGGCCGAGTCCAGGTTGACCAGGGCTCTGATTACATACGAAGGACATTGGTTCATCAGTCAGTGCTGATGACTTAGCTGAGGCTATGCGTCTACACTACTTACTTGCAGTTGGCTGCCCATCTGTGCTGCGTAATGAAGCCATGTGACCCCAGCATGCAGGCCTCCTCGGCCCCGTTGAAGAGGAAGACGACAGGATGTGCCAGTGTCTTCTCCGAGCGGGAGATTACACGCAGTGCTTCTAGCATGATTACCACCATGACTCCGTCATCACTGACCGCCGGCGTTCCGACCTCCGAGTCGTAGTGCGAGTTGACCAGCAAATAGTTGTCGTTCTGTTGGCTCTTTTGGGTGATCCTTACCACGACATTGGACAGATTGGTGTACGTCATGGCCATGCCCCAGAGGTAGAAGGAGCCCGAGGAGTACTGCTTCTCCACCTCGATATCGTAAAGGTCGGTGCGCGACTCGTCCACAATTTTCTGCAACTCCCGCAGCAGAAAATTGACTGTGTGCACCTCATTGGCTATCGAGCCGCTCATCTTGTTTCCGATGGACGCGTACTCTGCCAACTGCTTCATTGACCGCTCCCCGATGAACTCATCTGGGTGCTGGGCCTCGTCGCGCTGGTACAGCATGTCGGGGTACGAGTAGAAGCTGGGCAGGACGGACACATAGAAGAGTGCAAAGCAGATGGCCGCATAGATGGGTGCTCCGTACCAGGGCCATTTCTTATCCCTAGTTTTCCCCCCATCCTTTTCGGTGGTTATGTCAACGGCGGAGAACGACATCTGAAATTGAGGGAATCCGATAAGAAATACAGATACTCAGGCTGGGTGTCCAGAGATGATGCAAAAGATCCAACAAAGGGAGAAATTCTGTAACATATTTTCGGGCCTTGCTATCTTCAACTTGATTCCCTATGTTGCATACTTTACGGAACTTACGATTATCAAAAGGCATACGATTACGATCTACGATTAAGCCCCACAATCTATGAATATACTGAAATTGAACGTGATCGGAATACTGCCATCGATTTGGAACCATAAACCTTTTCAGCCAGGAACGTTTTTATCATGTTTTTATTGGTAGAATAAACTTCGTGGGAAAGTGTAGGAAGATCATAAACTAATTAAACCTTAAGAGTGTTCGACTATATGATGCAAATGGCCTGATGGCCAATTCCATTGGTGGGCTAAAATAAGAATCCGATAATATTTTACAACGGATATAAACATCCTTATCAGAATGGATTATCAACCAAAGAGAGGAAAAATAAAAGATAACTACATATGTATGTCCCCGTTCATCACATATACCTTATACGAGGTCCATATGTACATATATCACTTATGTCACTGATTCATATATAATAGATATTCTCACTTTCTTATCTAAAATAGATACTGAAGACAAATCCAGAGTAAGGAATGAAAACTGAAAAGAGCCTTCATCTTTATATATCCTTTACACTTTAACTTCAATATATGTATATCGGTGGTTCCTTGAATCCTTCACTCGACATTTATGCTATGCTTATCTACAGACGTTCTTTCCACATTTTTTACAGCATGTCTTATATTTTAACGGAAAAAATTGTTCACTGCAATCTCTAGCACAACGAAAATTCCTTCAGATCGTAATCTTTCGCCCGTTCACTGTGAATTATGGCAACCGGTTTGGAGCCTCACCAACCTTCTAGCACGCGACTTGGACCTGAACTGGATGAAATATAAATTCAACTGACACGCACCGGACCGTGTCCCAAGTATTAAGTAGGGCCAGGTCCGGTTCGATCCCAATGGTTGCGGCGCCGCCGCAGAACCCTTATCATTTTGGGGTTCTTGGGCATAAAAAGATTACATCCTAGCGATAGTCGATCTTAAAAACAGCAGGAGCTATTGCTCTTTATAGCTTGATGGCCGCCAGTTAAACCGATTAGGGCACCGCTCCCGTGGCGGCAGAGATCTTAGTGCCATAAGTACAGAAGAATTCTTGGCGTGGGGTACCGGGCCCCCATTTATGATAATTTCATTAGAGGGTGATACACACACACCCCTGTTATCGATAAGCATAAATCCAAAACTTGAATCCCTGAAATCTCACAAATTCGAAGGTCTTTAAATTTAACCAGCCTCTGGCAGAACCTATCTATTCAACTTCATTCATTCCATAGGTGAAATAAAAAAATTTTCAATTTCGCACTAATAACAATTTATTTGGAAATAATGACTAACTGTCTGGGGGAGTTACCTTATTATCTTTGATGACCATTCTAAGAAATAATTCACTGTTATTAAAGAACTCTTCTAATAAATAAACACTGAATACTTTACAGTAAAAAGATCCGGTCGCTTTGCAGTGTAGAGAAGGACTGATTGGCTTAGGCTAAGACTTGAGCGAGCATCGGAGTGTTGAAGTGATTGTTTGTCTACAGAGTACATGCACGATCAGCATTAGTGCCCTCCATCTAAGTACAAATGTAAGTACTGGGCACATATGTAACCGAACCACGATATTGGGTGGTCCAGTGTCGAGTGTCGGGTGACATACGAGTACACATATGCATACTGCAGAGAGTTCAATTTATGTGATCGTCAGGGCAACTGTATTCAATGCGTTACGTAAATACATATAAAGATTCATATATAAATATTTATATATTCTGTTATTAGTGTGGAGTTTGTCTGCTACACAAAAGATGATAGAAGGAAGCAATTTAGACCTTATAAATGATGTACATATACGTATTCTTGATCGATTCAATTAACTGCCCTAATCTAGTTCTGATATCAATTACCTACTCATGCTAATAATCGGATATGCTTACCACACATATATATACAGTACATGAGTACTTTAAGTATTGAATTATTAAAAAGGATTTCTAATCTGTCTACAAATCAGACAGATTTATATTTATATGCGAAACTGCACCACACTTCTGGTGAATGTACATTCCACAATTGTTCGTGAGCGGGGATTTCTTGGGTCTTCCGTTGCGTCGATGTCGAAGGCACAAGCCCGATACAGGAATGGATTATAAATTAAAGATCGATTGCTGATTAGCCCCCGTCGCAATCATAAAAGTCGATTTGTACTAAATTTGATAATCTCAAATTGGAAGTCACCGAAGGGGCTATACACTTTCTGGACTTGTCATGTACTCATGAGGCGAATAGGGAATTTTACATTACGAGTATACTCATAATCATAGGTACATTATCAGGATAGCTATTCCTAATGAACTTGAAGCACACTTCTTATCATTTGATGTGTTGTTAATTATAATTCATTTAATTCCCATGGTTCAGTGATTACTGATGAAGCGCACTACATGCATATCTGAAACCAATCAGTCATCTATAGTCTACTCGTATCTTTAGTCCAAAGTTCACTAGATATTGTTTAACATTTATGTGTTGTCTTTAATTAAAAGTACATTTATTTTAAACAATTAATTCCCGATTCTTAGTAGATCCAGGTCTCATAAGATGCCGGCCAAGGGGTGGCATCCACATACTTGGGGAAACTGTCGAGGAACTTTTTAAAGTCTGGCGTCAACATCTCCTTGTGATGGGTCCAATGGCCGCCCAGGCCCAGCTCAAATGTGGGCGTTTTGAAGTCTCCCTTGGGTTTCTGCAAATATCGAATGGGAATATTTAGATACTGGATTCAAGTGTCGTACCGAAACATACCTCAAGCTCAAGCCAGAAGTTAAGGGGATCTCCATTGACGCCCCACGAGAAGTAGATAAAGTAAGGAGGCTGAAAGCTTAGTCGCAGTGGAGCCTAAAGGTAGAGAGATAGCATTAGAGGTTTCCAGGCACTATATAAATATTTGAGAGTCCCAACCTGATGGAAGGACCAGTCCTTCATGATAGCTCCGTTCAAGGGCTGAATGAACAGCGCCATATGATCGGGTCCGCTCAACTGGAGTTCGTAGCGAATCTTGCTGGGAGACACCTGTTTCTTGCTGATCACTTTGACGGCCGGCACACTGCCCAGCAATGGCTCGGAGGCAGGTATCCACAAGGTGTTCTGTCTGGGGTTCACAATTGGGGGTTAATCAGTTCAATGAGTTACTGGGAAAAAGAGCATGGGCTTACCTAGTCTTGTGCCAGCGCTGGTTGTACAAGGGTAGACCGCACATCATCTCCTTCTGGCAATCGTCGCCGATTTTCTGAGCCAGTGTCATATTAATGACATCATCTAAAATTCGGATATGATAAGCGAGATGACGAAACAGAAAAAAGAATCGAACATACGTTTGACGGAGTAGGTACGTCTATCTTGGGGCATGATGAAGTAGCCCGATTCCTGGCGACGCACTTTGTTATCGGCATCATGGAAGGTCCGCTTGGCATGCTATATAAAAACAGTCAAGCGTATTAGTCCCACTCTAAGCAGATCGTAGGGGAAATCCTTACCAGCACGGAGAATCGCTGAACACTTGTCTCTGGTCGGTAGGGGAATCCCATTGGCGTTATTGCAATGATCACGCAAACGAACGTGATGGCCAGGAGGGCGCAAATAATGGTCTTCGACTTGCGGAACAGATGCAGTACGGGCACAATGAAGCCGCAGGTGAGGAGACCCACGGCAATGCTGAAGACGGCAACCACCAGGTCCGGGTTAACATTCTCTCCAAAGCGGCCGAACATGGGAATGAAGGTGAGGAAGAATCCGTGCGAGAAGTAGGCGAAAAACACAAATGGAGGCACTCCGCATATGATGTGTGGAATAACCCAGGCCACATCTAATGAAGAGCAAGAAAGCTGATTAGAACGGAGCTTTACGCGAACATCCATGAACTTATTTCTCACCTTTGCTGTGCAGCTTGGTGGCCAGATTAATGATGAGGGCCATTGTGTAAAACAAACAGGACAGCATCAGGACGAAAACTGATCGGACGCCGCAGATGGTTAGCACTATGGTGAAGATGGCCAGGAAGAGGCAGTGACAGTGCAGCAGCATCTGGACCCGCTGTCCAATGGGCAGTTTGTCCTGGAAAAGAAATAAAATCAAAGATGAATAATGCGGATATATGGTTTGATTTGGTCTTCGCTACTTACATGCTGGGTGTAGTGATAGTACAGGGCAGGCACTATGGCCAGGCCAAAGATGAAGGTGGTGAAGTAGAGCCCGAGGATGAGCCATGAGTGCGTGAACCAGGACATCGGCAGGTGCACCAGATCCATGAACCATCCAAGGAATACGGTCAGCGTGACGGCGGTAATCACAGCAAAGAGCTGGACCACGAAGGTGTGCATCACCCGTTTGAAGATCTTCTCCAGCTTGATGCCCGAGTTGGAGGCCATCAGCTTGAAGGCATACAAACAGGTTCCGATGGCCACTAGCGACACAATCACGTTCAATATGATGCCCTCCGTCTCGGTGTAGAAGACCAGGAACCAGCCCATCACATCGAAGTAGACGGTGTGGCCCTCGGCGTGTTTCTGCAGATATCAGATCGGTGATGAAGTCGAGCAGTTCTCTGGTATTCTTTGAGCGCATCTTACCGAGGTGTCCTCCAGCTCCTGGGAGTTGGCAATCTCCCGCACTAGAGCCAGCAGGTTGTCGCCAGTATTCTGGAAGCTGCCGCGGGGGAAGATCTCCGGGCGGTCAAATCGGGTGTGATACACATAACCGTTGTACTGGTAAGCCATATCCAGGCCGGGCACCGCGCCGTGGTCGCGGAAGATGCGGAAGTCCGTGTCAGAGGGAATAAAATTGTTTTGGAACATCTCCTCGGCCATGGTGGAGGCGTACGGGTGCTTGATGGCGCGACGATAGCTCTTCATAAGCCAGGGATGGTTGGGGCCCGACTGGAAGAGGATCTCCCGACCGCCGTTGCCGGCAGAGTCCAGATTGATGAGAGCCCTGCGAATTGTGAGAGGCAGGATTAGCTGGATACCGAAAGAAACATTCAGAGATCACTTACTTGCAGTTTTTGGCCCATTTGTGCTGGGTGATGAAGGCGTGCGAGGCCTGGAGTGGATTCTCCTCGGCTCCGTTGAACAGAAAAACAACAGGGTGCTTGAGGGCCTGCTTGGACTGGGCCAATACTCGCAGGGTCTCCATCATAGTGGCCACCATGGAACCGTCGTCGCCTGCGCCAGGTCCACCCGGCACCGAATCGTAGTGGCTGTTGACCAGCAGATAGGTGGTGCTGTTGGTTCCCTTGGGACTGACCTTGACCACAATGTTCTGGATGCTCTGGTACATGTTGATCATCGTCCAGTGGACGTAGCTGCCGGAGGCCACCTGCACATCCACCTCGATGTCGTTGGCGGAGCCCAGTCCCGAACGGATCTTCTGCACGCTGCCGGACAGGACCTTCACGGCCCCCATCTCGTTCTCCTTACTGCCCACGACACGGGGTCCCAGCGCCACTAGCTGCTGCAGATTGAGCTCCGCCCGCTCCGCAATGAATCGATCCGGATACTTGGCCTCATCCTTGATGCTCAGCGGGCGCGGCAGCCGATGGCAGGCCGGAATAGAGATGGCCACGTACAGCAGCAGCCAGAACCCAAAGAAGGCCGGTGCCCAAAACCATTTGATCTTGTTGTACTCTACGAAGGCGCGCTCACAGCCATTGGGTTTATTCTGCTAAAGATCGGTAGAAAAAAGGGTGTAATCATTAGCTTTATGCCATTTTTTGGAAGAATGAAACCATTTCGAAATTGATAGATTATATTATTGTTTCTGTGCAATCAAGATCCCATCCCTCCTTAATATTTCAGCATTATGAGTCAGAAGCATTATGCTCTTGCATATCACACGGTTCTTGTAGGAACAGCCGTTCCTATGATACATTTAAGTGGGAATAGTTAGTGTTTCTTGCTGCGATAGAATTGGGCTACCGTGATAGACAGTCCGTGAGTCAGTTTCCAATCATTTAACACCCGAAACGACAGCTGTAGAAAGCAGACCGAATTCGTGTACCGACTCGTATGTTAGATTTAATCCATCATCGGCTATCTTATCTCTGGTCAACTTGTTGGCGAAGCCCCCAGAGCCGGTTGCCACCTAAAACAGTTCTCGATAGGCGGGTACACGGCTGCTCCTTCTGCCAGGGGTTCAGTTCGACTGGCGGTTCCACGGAAGTGGGCCAGACAGGGGGCTGATATAGTCGGGGATTGCAACTAGGGCTCCGAAGGTATCATATCTCAAGGGTATCCGCGGTTCGTTAATTAGTGAACATAGATAAGGAATGGCCGGAAAAGGGTTAGTGGGGGACAGAGTAAAAAAAAAAGAGCAGAAGAAACAATACCGATACGTAGGAATTGGCTCACGGTTATTTTAATGCTCGTGTTGGAGCCATCCAATCAACGGGAAGATTACCTATGCCCCACCCGAAATTAGGCAATCTAATCGTAGAGCAATTACTCGCAGCTGAGGCACTTACCTCATACAGGTGCGAATTCCGCTGCCGCAACAGAGGATCTGTGTTGTGAGGATCACTGGTCGGCGTTATGACGCGTCGCCGCACGCTCTTGTCGTTGCCACTGACACTCATCGTACCACTAACTGGTTGCACTGCTTCAATTGGAGGCAACCTTTCGCTTGGCCGCAACGCGCTCAACTGATCGAACAGTAACTGAACTGAAAACTGTATCTATAACTTGGAATAACTTTGATAGCTATAGCCATTGGCCATGGCATAACTATATAAGGTAAGGACAACTCATTAGAGCTCGCTGCCTAAACAGATAAAATTCCATTGCTGCAAAAAAATACCACTCATTTCACACTTATTAATATAAAGTATACGCATAAATAAAAGGCAAAAATCGAGGAAAATTCGTTGTCTGTGTATGTTCCACGATGAGCGGGCCTCACCTAATATGATAGTACCATGTGTGAACGCAAGTTTTGTGTTGTTGCCTTTGTGGCTATCGAACACAGTCCAAACAATATAATCGCGGAGAGTACACTCACCACTCACCACTCTACACTCACGCTCTCGCTCTTTCTTTCTCTCTCTCTCACACAAGGTTTATTTATATAAGGTAAGACATTCCCAATGATCTCCCACCTCGACCCGACATTAGTATGAACTTTGAACGTTTCAACACTACAAACTTTCCTTTTTCGCCCAGTGCATATATGTATAAAGAGAGGGCTTGGTAGAGAGAGAGAGAGAGAGAGAGTGACAGAACCAAGGGAAGGGTCAGCAAAAGTTTAAATTGCTTGAAGTTTGTACCTGCGCTTCTTTCTCCTCTGCGTCGCTGCTCATTTTTAACCGCACCTTCTCGTTGTTGCTTCTGATGTTATATCTTTTTCTGATGTTGCTGCACTCTGGAAATCGTTCTTGTTGTTGAATCTTGCTCTTTCTCTTTTCCACTTTTGTATTGAGATTCGACCTGATCTCTTCTCTGAGCAGCGAAGCTCTCTCGCGACGCGCGTCTACTCAACTGATGTACAAAGTTCCACAAGCCGCGCTTTAATACGGCAGTTTACCGTGGAATTTGAATATCATGCGGCACGTATTATTTTCTAAATAATTTATTCCGTTCAGCATTTGTTTTACCGGCAGTTTTTTGTTTGTTTACACTTACTCATTTATTGCCCACTATTTTCGACGCTTTGTTTGTGTTATTTGCTTACTTATCTGTGAGTGTGTTGAAATAACACTATGCAGCAAAAGAAACCACCTTTTTTATGGTATTGCGCATTTTAAAATAATGTTTTTCTGCGAACGGCAATATCAGCAATAGCAACAAAAACAATAATTTGTGCAAATTTTGACAGTTTTTTTTTCAAAAGCATACTTGATTATTGCAAAAATGAAATGAATGAAAGTTTCATTAAATTCCATTCCATTAAAAAATAAGCATAACTGACCGCCAAATATGTACATACATACATATGTGTTGCACGTAACGTGCACGGTTCTCTTCTTTCCTTATTTTTTGATTTTAAGAACTTTACAATTGGGAATTTTAAAAATCGTTCAATACGCTGAAAATTCTATTATTTTTGATTTTAAAAAAGTTTGTTTTCGGAGGAAATTAAGAACTACATTGAGGCAGAGGTACTGATCGGTAAATTTCGATAATAAAATGCAACCTAAAAAAATAATAAACTTTCAAATTAAAAATTTAATATTCTTCAGAATATTGATGCCAGATTTTTTTGTTTGCTGTTGCATAGTGTAATTGCTATTGTGAACCAGCGAAAGCTTTATCAACGGGTTAAATTAAAGCGTTGATTGCCACAGATAATTGAACACTTTCGGGCGATAATTGTATTTGACTCTTGGTAAATTACGTTTTATTTATGCGCACACACTATGACGCAAAGGTGATGTATCGTAGCATATTTTTGGGTTGACTTTTGGTGTAGAATACATGTAGTTGTCATGTAGTTGTAGTAATATAATATTTCGACTTTCAGAACTATCCTTTAAAATTCGCGATGGAAAAGGTCTTAAAACAGTATCCTTTTGGGATCCTTGAGAAGAGGTGACTAGTTCTTAACAGAAGCTAACAAGCCTAGTTGTCCAGCTGTTCTTCTAGTTGCCGAGTAGCAGATGTCAAATTGTTCCGTTTGTCTGCTTCATTGATACTCAACTGATTCTGGTCCACTGGAGCACTCGTGTAATTGAAAACTGTCCGGAGGAGCAGAGGAGACGACCAGCATTCCCACTTACCATATTACACCGCCCCAGCTAAAATAGAGCAAATAGAGCAGCCACGCCACACACAAGGAGGCTGGCTGTTGATTTGCTCATTTAGGGTCGCCAGCCCTCAGGTCGTTATCTCCATGGTGCATGTGCATCGCATTAGACAACGATGACGTGCCATGCACACACACACAGACACCCGCGGGCTTCCCGTTCGGAATTGAGGACAACGTGTGACATTACATTAACGGGAAATGCAGAAAAGGGGGGCGATCGGAGGAGGGAGGGCAGCCTGTGCCCAATGTCATTCAACCTAAATGGAGGAAGGAGCCCATGCTTTGTGCGTTTGTGTGTGTGCATTCATTCATTCATTCTCTCACTCACTTATTCATTGGTTTGGCTTGTGGTACACAAATTCGTAAACAAAAACGTTCATCGGAATATTGGTCAAAAGGAAATCGATAGAATAAACAGGCACGCAAGTGGGGATTGGAAACCGAATGAGAATTGAATGGAAACCGAATGAGAAGAATCAAATTGGAATCGCAATCTGTGCACGGAGACTTTTCTTTTGTTGAAACATCCACCGAGCCACTATTTCCACTGGCGCTGGCTAAAGTACAATTTTAGATTTTATTTTTGAATAGACTAGGCTTAGAGGTGCGTCAGGCGCAGGCGTCAAGAGAGGGGAAGAGAGAGAGAGAGAGAGAGAGAGATATGAAATGCCGGCTCTGCTGTGAACGTGCCCGCCCTCTCGACCAACCCGTCCACCACCCTATTACACACACTATCACGGGGGGTCACAACCAAAACAAAGCGAAATATGTGTCAGCTGCTTCTTCTTATGCTCGCCTTTCCCGCTTTCCACGCAGATTCGCGCTGTTTTACCTCGTGCTATCCCTCGCTCCCACTCACCCCACCGCCCCACCGCCCCACTCGTGCGTTCATTTCGGGCGCCCAGTCGCTTTTACGTCGCAGTCGCAGTCGCTGTTTCGGCTTCAGCTTCAGCCTCAGCTTTCAGTCGCATTTGAATGCTCGTCGCCCTCGGTCGGAAAAGTCTTCGGAAAAGCGCCTCAAAATTCGGTCAGCTCGAAAGGAGACACAGGAACAACAAATGTGGCAAATGTGCTTATGAGGCGCCCGCCCAGAGTCCACGCGTGTGTGTGTTTGTGTGACAGTTTACGCTATTTGCTAGCTTCTTGGCTAAAAAAAAATTATATAATTTTTTAATAAACCAAACCCAAGGAAATGCAAATTCTATTCAACGGAAATAACAGTCTATCCGCAAGCTGGCGAACACCCATTTAGTGTGCCACCCGTCGCCGCCGCCGCCCCCACGGAACATGTGAGTGAAGTCGGAGTTCATTTTGTTTGGTGGACGCTGCGGCTGGAGATGAGATCTGAAAATCTATTCGATCCACAAATGGGGGGTCTTCTGCAAAATCTGGCTTGCTGAATTTGTAGATTTCAGTTTCAGTTTCGGGATTCGGGGACAGGCGTTATTTATGGCAAATCAATTAAAAGTTTCAATCGAAAGTTTACGAAAAACATGACTAAACTTTGCAAAAACAAAAAATTGACTATTTGTGAGCTTCAAATATAAATTGAATTGGTATTTTTTTTTTATTGATTTCAAATAAAGTTGGCATTTCGCTTTCCTTGACTATGGGGCCTGATACAGAGCCACGTTTATCAAGATTAATTCGCTGGGCTAACAGGTCGTTGACCAAGCCGATTATCATTAGCCTCTGCCCCAGCTACCGCCTCCCTAACCACAGCTGGATACCGTTAAGGAATTTCCTTTATGAGACAATGGCCCAAACCAAGACAGCGACTTTTCCGTTTGGTTTTTTCCTTCGTTTGCTTTTTGTGGCTCATAATAACATTTTGGACAATGACACAATGCCGGAAAATCAGTGGCTTCCACGCGGGGCAAGGGCGAGCGGCAAGGCGCACGCAAGGAAGTGCGAAGAAACATGAAAAGAATAATAAAGGAAAAGCGAGAACGGAAAATAGCCAAAACAAAGCTGGGAAAACAGCAGAAAACTTTCCCAGATAAGTTCCCAGTAGTTGGCTGAAGCAGAAAGTCCCCCAGAAATCTTTTATACAATTGCCGGACTCGTGCGGTGTCCCATTTGTTGTTGCTTGTTTGGGCATTAAATGATTGTTCTGTATTTCAATTTTGTTGAAATGTATGGTCCTCCCACTCCCACTGTGATTGCACAGGACACGGCGTAGACACTGGTCCTTCAATTAGGCCTTTGCTGGGCTGTGATTTGAATAGATTGTCAAGGGGAGAAAAGTTACTCCTCCTGCAACACAGATTTCAAACAATTATTGCTTACAAGGCAGTAGGCAGGCAGGCAAAATGTCACCAAAAAAAGTTCAGGGCTAACCTTAGGCAAAGTTTCCCCTTACCCATTGTTTATTATAGACAATGCTTCAGTAGTTCCCGTCCAATTTGGGTTGTTTGGCTTTAACGAAGGGATGCGATGCGCCTGGGGATGTGGATGTGCTCTCCACTCGTTTTCTACAAATCGCCCCTACCCATGGATTCTTATCCCTATACACACTTGACTGAGCCTGCTCCGCCAACGAAGCCCGCCCCCGCCCCCACCTCCCTCTCCCCGGCTCCGTTCTGCGTGTGAGACGCTTTTTAATGAAGTCATTTGTGGCATTCGCCGATTCGTTTGTGATTTATGAGCACACATACACACGCACCTCTGGCGAGGATGAGCTCTCCCCTTTCAGGCTTTTCCCATTCAGGTGACAGCATCAATCAGGTGCCACTGCTGCCATGCTGCCGTTGTTGTTGGATCTCGTTAGACATGTGTGTTGCCTCAGTTGACTTGTCAGGATAATTGCTCAAAAATTTCCAAACCGAGGTAACAGGATTAGGCTGATTGGCTGGCTGGCTGGCTGGCTGGCTGGCAACAGCTGTTGCCAGAGAATTTGCCCCTTCCCCTTGTCATGCCCAAAGAAATCATAAAGAGCAAGAACTCCTTGTAATTAAACGAAATAATCTTGATTGAAACCTGAGCAGGTACATATATAGTATATATGAAAACATTCAAGAACCACATTTCCTGGAAACGCGAAGAGAAAAATAGTTTTAAAAATGAAAAGCGATTTCTTGAGTTGGAGAGCAGCAAACGGGTTTTTCTTAGAACAATTTCCTTTCATGGTAAGCGGATTCTTTATTTTATTGGAAAAGCGGGAAAGCAGCTCCATAATACTAGGAACCAATTATGACTGACGTTTCTATGCGCTACTTTAGGGGTTGGCGTTTAGAGTTTTTAGTTGAATGCCAATTCAAAAGCATTTGATTGTAGGATAAATTAATTACAGAGATATGGGGCGGTGTAATTTGAGCACTTCAGAAATTAAGACCGTTCTTTATATCCCCATTCGAAGTCAGAGCGATTGTGCACCCAGTGATAGCAACTCCCCAACTCCTTCGATCCAGCTGTCGAGTCAACAACCCAATCATAGGGTCCCTGCACTTTTCCCACCGACATTAGACAATTTCAAGCTTGATTAAACCCATAGCCAAGCGGCAAATATAGCCCGGAGTCAAAGTTACTCTGAACATACACAATGCCAGTGGCAGACCGAAGTGGAAATGTAACCAGAGGGCAGGAACAGGGACAGAGATAGAGACAGAGAGGAGCCACAGCCATAGCCACCCCCCAGCCAACCCCAATGACAGCACAGACATTGACTTATTCATGTTCCTGTTGCACAGCAGCATTGTCCCGGCCAATGACTTCTGCACTTGGCCAGCCACAGAAATGCAATGCACTCCTGCGTCGCCTGCGTCTCCTGCGTCGCCTGCCTCGAGCAGCAGCCACAAACTGTATTCCGTTTGGCATGCAACAGCAGTAAAGCGCGTAACGGCGTCCTACCCCAGACATTGTTCTCCGCCCCGGGGGCGACAGACTGTACATAAATAAATACGTATACGCGGTCAATATTTTAAGGGGATTCTCATTAAGAGGGACACCAGACCATTTGCTATTTACCCACACAGAGAGATACAGATTGAATGGGTCTTTGAGGACTTCTCTAACCTGTTGTCCAGGTAACCTTCTGGCGGGCCGGGTCAAGCATTCTCTCCACATGTAGGTTAAGCCGTTCTGGATTGTGTCCTCGAATGGCTGGGAAATGTGGAAACGCCCCGCAAGGCTGTGGATAATAATGCTCGTCTCTCCTTGACTGACAGCTTCATTCAATGTGGTTTACTCTGCCCCCGTTCTGTTGCTGGGGCAACGAAATTCGTTTTTCCTGGGCGAGATCCAGTCATTCTCCCGATGATGTGGCTTACCAACTGTCTAATAAAGAAATTTCTATGAATCAATTCGAAGTTCGCCGGAATTTATGCATCGAGCTCTAAACCACTCTGGGAGGGAGGGACCAATATCTTAGCCGGCCCATCCCTACATCGAGGATTTCTTTCTGTGTGGGGTACTGCCTGTGAGTGCGGTATCTGCTGCCGATATGTTGGCCCATTCATTGAACTGGAATTCATTCGCACAAACAACGCTACGCCTTTACCGAATGCGTTTGATGTTGAATGAGTGGGACTCTGACTCTGACTCGGGCGTGGTCTGGCCCTGGCCCTGGCCCTGGCCCATGGATTGGCACTGGCACTGGTCCTTCTACTATTCTGGCTCACTAGTCTGTGTTGTTTCAGCACTTGGCTCGGTTTATCCCTTAGAGACCGCTACCCTCTTGTCGAACAAATAAAGTTACTTTGCCCCCGAACAGAGCAGGCATAGCTTGGCCTATATACTGTTAATTAAGTGGCTATTACTGTGGGGGGGGCTTTGCAGGAGCCCCAGCTGTCATCAAAGTTCAGTTTCAAGCTGAAAAGAGCCGCCACGAGCCCCACCCCTCGGCTTGAGGGGGGTCTCTTGGAATCCTTTTAGGGCCCCACATATATTTTTGATGAGCTTTTGCTGAATTTAATTATTCTTGCCAACTCGAATGTACCCAGTACTTGCAGAGGAATTGCAGATGTTGTACTCGGATGAATATAAATATGCAACAGTTCGAAGAAATTGTTTCTCTTATTGTTAAAGTTTTTGTGGTGCTGTTGGTGGATAGATCGCATCCTTTCCCATGGCACGCTTCCAATTAGTGGAAAACCAATCGCGAACATGCCCTGATTTTAATTGCCTGTTGCGGCGTAATTCAAAGCTACATTTTCATTCGAATCCATAGGAGGCAGGCTTCTATAATGTACTACATAAAAAACGGCATTCAATTGGATGGCTGCAGGCCACTTAATCGCATTTTCCATTTAATTATTCAGCCATGAACACAAATAAAGCTTCCGTTCCACCGGAACTCTTGCAAATAGCTTCCCCATGAAAACTTCGATTTTGATTTATTGGCTGGCCAGGTACGGTGGCTTTGTTTTCGCCGCATTATAAATTAGTGGCTTCATCATAAACATAATCATTATCGGTGTGCGGAAGCAGACATCAATCAAAACCAATGGGAAATAATCGATGATCCACATGTGGGCGGAAGCTGGGGAGAATCCGTGGAGCTGTGGGGGGTGATTTCGAGGCTGCTCATCACGATGATGACCATTTTGATTGTGATTGTGATTATTTACCTGTCAGCGGTCGTGTTGAGGGTTTACAGGGCTGCCAGGGGCAACGCTGCGTATGAGTGATGGAGTGCGAACGGAGGGTGGAAATCAATTACAGGTGATTTAAGTGCTACATGTATTTCTGCACATAATCAGCTTACGACCGAGCAGTGTTTAATATGAATGCAAATTCGAGCTGGAGGCGATACTACTGTCCAGGCCGGCAATGCTTTTCGGAACACTTGGCAGGACTCTAGGACTCTTGGACCCACTCTCATGGTTGCCAAGCTGGCCCCAAGCTAAATGGGCGTACAGTTTTCTGGCTTTTAATGAGAATTTTGTTGCGTTTCTTGGGGCCACTTTTTGTCCCTGAAGAAAAAATTATGTAAATAAAGCTGGACGCGCAATTTGCGATGGCTTCTGCAGCTGGTCTCTCGCTTCTGTTTGAGTTTTAATAAGGAACGGCAGCAGCGTAATGGAAAGCGGTTGTTTGTCTTCTAATGAAAGAATAAATCTGTTAGCAGCGCATTGGGCACGCGTTGCGTATACGTAATATGAGAAAATAATTGCTTCCATGGCTGGCTGGAAATTGCTTTCGAAGCGGACCAAAGCACACCAGGCCACACGCCACGCTCCACACTCCACACACCACACACATATCCTCGTCCAACAATGATGAATCTGCAAAAAAAGTTTTTTAAACAGCAAAGCCAGAAAATGATTTCGTTTACAATGGTTTCCCCACTCCCACATTCATTCTTTCGTTCATACATTTCCCTGATCTGATGAAAAGCCAAGGGGGCTGGAGTGGGTGTTTTTATGGCCGTGTTTATTGGCCTCTTTTCTGGTTTGACCAAAGCATTCGTTCCATGCCAACAGGACGTTCCCGCCTCGAGTCGACTGCTGTCATTGGCCTGCCACCTCGCTACTCATTTCCCATAAATCATGATTATCAGCAACAGCCGCAACATTTTAATGACTTTGGGCATTTGCATTCACCTGTCGAGGGGCGGGACGAGCTTTTGAGGTTGAGTTCTGGCAATTCTGAAATTCTGGCCTGAGACCTTGGCTTAAAGGCTTCGCCGCTACTGTTGACGTCTGAGCGGGAAGATGTTCTCCAGACGCCGTTTTCTTTGATTATGAATGCAAATTTGCATTCCGGTGCTGTTTCAGCTTTTGTTTGCGGTCCTTAAAGTTTATTTTATTTCTTTGCTCTTTTATTGAGGAGCAGCGAGTGGAAGGGCATTAAAATGAATGCTCGGTATATGGACACCCCTGGGCATTCGCAACATTAGTGGTGGTAAAGTGTGCTGTGTGGAGGGTGAAGGGATAATTCTATCGAAATAAGTTGAGTTTCATCTGAAAAGAGAGGGCAGTGGCCTGTGATATGAGGAGCTGAATGTCCACAGCGACCTTGGAACCCATTCTGTCCTCCGCCCGACTGCTCTTTCTGCAACTCTTGGACGTAGATTGGAATCAGTAGAGGTCACTGGTGCGTTGTCAATTTCCCATAAAGAGCCAGTAGTCAGTGGAGCTCAAAGGAAATGCAGTATCTGAATGGAATTTCAGTGTACTCGTATCAAATATGATAAGCCGTTGCTAGGCATTTAGCTGGCAGCCAGCAAACTCTTCTCGTATGCAAGCGTTTATCAAAGTTTCCACCTGTTGGGAGGTAGAAGTATCTCATGGCTCGGTCGTGTGCCCTCGCCACATTTGTCAGATGGCTGTCGGCAGCTGTTCCAGGAAAAAGCATTTAAGTAGAGAATACCTGGCAGAATTTTGCTGCATTAAATAGTCCTTTCACTCAGGGCATGGCTACTCGGAGGGCATTTAAATTTCATTGTGTGTTTCCTCTTCTTTCTGCGGCCGCAACCTCCCACCGTCAGCCTTGGGGCGCACATGCACAGTTAAAATGGCAACAACAGACGCCACAAGAGCAGCCACAGGAGCGGAGACAGGAGCTGCGACGGAGACAGAGTCAAGCAGCCTGTGGCTGGAATGTGAGGCATTGTCAGAGGGCCAAGGGGACACAGCCTTTGGGACATGATTTTAATTGTGTGTCGGAAATTATGTTTCACTTTCAGCGTCCTCAACCTTTTGTTGAGCCCCCCAGGAGGGCTCCTCAACTGAAGTACGCCCCCATTCTGGGCATCCATGCAGACCCAGCCGAAAGCAAAAGCTTGGCCTTTGACTTGTTTTCGACTTTCCTGCGTACTTTTGGCTCCCTCCTTGGGGACAAATTTAATGGACATTTGCTGCCAAAAGTTGTCGTTTTACAATGGATTGGATTCCCCCAGTAAGGCGTAGGGTCATCCCTGGTCCGGGTATGAAATCTGACCCAAAGCTGTGAGCGCAATAAAGACAGCTAGAAAATCTCTGGAATTTCAAAAACAGAAAAGCGTTCTTTTCCCCCTAAAAGTTTATAATATTGGGATACCATTTGGATGATATTTCAATTATCTTTTCCATCTTATCATCTTTCTATCCATCATTCAAAAATTATAGTTTATTCTTTTCTTCTAATAAACATTAAATATGGTATAAATAAATATAAAATAACTATGAAAAATATTTAATTAAAATCTGAAATGCACTTCTTTTATTTTATTTTAATTTCTCTGACATTTCTCTGGATGTTAATAAATAAAGCTTCGAATTTGGCACAATCTTCGAATAACTTGCATTCTTTTCTTGCAGCCACTCTCCGATCTGCTTATTTTTCCGGAGAAAACTGTCGGGCTCTGTCTGCAGCTACTACCTTCTAGTACAGTCGCTTCTGGAACATTTTAATTCGCTTAAAAGTGCATTAAGGTCTAGGCAGACACTCGCACACAGGCCTTACGTGGTGAGACGAGACACAAAAGTTGGAATTAGTTTTCTGAATTGGCCCAGACCGCTGCACTTGTGGCTGGGGTTTGAAATTCCAGAGATGAGTCCAAAACTTTGAGGCTAGCCGTAACCATATTCTGCATTTGCACGAACGAGTCGAGTTCCATCCAAGAGGCAGACACACCTGAGAGCCGAACGTGGCAGGGCAGCTGAAGTGAGGCCGAGGCGGAGGCTGGGAGAGTGCTCTGCGGATGCATTTCATTTGGAAGGGGCCCCGACAAAGACAATACGGAGGGTTTAAGGAGTGCCTTGGCCCGTTTACGCAACAGAACGGGCCCCTCAGTTCCACAACAACCCACACCGCCAACCTCTCCCCTGCCTACCTCCAACTCCAGATACACCAATCCCTACCAGCATCCAGCCGCCAATTCCTTGTCATCGCCCACATCTGCTGCCGTCTTGCCGCATTCTAACGCGGTCTTATCATTAAAGCCAACGGAAGCGGCATCGGCATCGGCAACGGCCACTGGACGGGGAAGGGGACGAGAGAGGGCTGGTGCTGGTGCTGAAACTGAAACTGAAGCCGCTGGAAGCGCAGGAGCTAGAACAGGGGCAGCTCGCATTACAGGAGCCAGGACAGGAGCTGCTGATGCAGATGGGAACCGCATCAATGGCCTCGTCCAGAACGTGAGTACCATAAAATCATCTTACAGCAGTACCACAAGAGCCCGCTTCCCCTGTATTCGTAGCAAATATGTACCTGTATACCTCTATATGAATCTGTATCTGCTTGAGTCAACACAAAGCCGCAAATGCGGATAGCTAGCTGGTATGCCACACAACACCAAACTTTAATTGCAGTACACCGAAAGCTTGAAATTGAGCCACATTCCAGATTCCAGCACTGCTTGAGTTGGCCAACAAGGTTGCCAAGGATGATGGCAATTACCCAAAATACACAATAGAAAAAGCTTTAGAGAGAGTTCTCTAAGAATCCGTCGCTATGTGATAGGTTTCTTAAAGCATTCTTTAGGAGTTCTCGCAAAACATAACTACATTTTATAAGCAATACATTTCCACTGCCGGGAACAGCGGATGTGGGTGATGAATTTTTCCTGACTTCTTGCTCAATGAATTTATATCTGACGTTGCAGGTCAGGAAATTAAAAAATCGCTGCTCAAACTGCATTTTATGGCACATGACGCAATTGCAAAACGCATCCGGCGACCTTTTTTACCTTCCTTTTTCTAATCAAATTTCCAACGACTGGCTAGTGATTGCCACATCCTGCTTTCAGCATTAGCGGGAGTCCCCGGAATCGATAAGGAGATAATAATTGGATTGGAGCTAGTCTACATCTAGTCTTTAAACTCCTCCGCGTTGCATAAATTTATTCGAAACCAAATTTTCATGCGGCTGGGAGCTGCCACATCCTGATTGCTACAGTAACTGAACGAATAGGAGATACAAATTGGATTGGTCAGCTTTTTATCATACAAAACCTGTGGCTTTGGACTACCGCATGTACATCTGTATGTAAATACTAGTTTTTTCCCGCCACAACACGTATGCAGCACTTTTTGGCCTTCGACTCGTTTGTAATTCGATTTGCATACACCTCTGGCCAGGAAAATGGCCTTACCAAGGTTGGGGGAGCGCGAAAAATACGAAAAATACGGAAAATTAAGAGCTACATAAGCATGATAATTGCTTGACAACATTTTACCATTAGACTTAATTAAGTCGTCAATTGAAATGAAATCGTTAACTGAAAAATGGGGACTACTGGAAGTTGCAGGAGAACGAGAACCCACTTCAATTGAAGGCTGCAGACAACGTGGTAATGACTTTAAATGGGAAATAATGAGACTTTCAGTTTTTGCGCAGCGCATCGAAGAGATTTCACGTACAACACGGTGGCATCAACTTAATTAAGTCGGCAATAGCATCCTTTGAAAACCTATGCCGACACCAACTGGCATCAATGACAGACAATGGCCAGACCCAGACCCAGACCCAGATCCAGACCACACAGGGTGTGGGTGTGGGGGTGGGTGTGAGGAGCATGTGACATTTACAGAGCTGGGCCAACAAATGGGTTCAGCCTGGGCCTGGGCCTGGGCCTACAGCGAAACATTTTGGCCTTCGCCATGCATAAATTTCCAGATCGCAACTTTGCTCTTCGGATGGCTACGAGTTTATTGTACGTACTTTGGCCCCAGCAAATACGAGTATTTGAAGCCTTTGGCACGTACCTCTTTTATCCGAAAGTTGGCCCATTGAAGAGGCCTGGACTGGCACCAGTTGGTCATTTCTGTTAGGCCGTTGCCAAGTGGATTAGCGCAAATATTTTACATTTCTGTTGGTCGGTCCACAGACAAGAGTGCTGAGAGGCTTTACTTTGCGGCTTAATTAAACTCAATTATAATCGTATTGACACTTTTGTTATTCCAAGTATTCTGTAGTTGTTTTTGTTGGGGGGAAAGCGAATTAACACTTCAAACTTGATAAATGCCGAGTGCGAACAAAACTTCTGCTCCATTATGGATTGTTTTGCCTGCAGATTAGTTGGGAATCTCGATTGCAATTACTCCAACGAAGCTCATTGCCGGAGAGTGGTCCAACCACAGGAAATTTAATTGCTTTCGAGTGGGTTTCAATTACGCAAATTGCATTAGACATCACCACGCACGGATTCCCAATGAATCAAAACATATAGTGCTCTTAGCTGTCAATTATTTGTGAATCGGATCAAGTTATCGGCCTTGCCAGCAGTACTTAGGCCAAGTTTTGCCCCAATCGCTGTAGGAATTCCCTCTGCCGCATCGCAAAACATTACCAAATGTCAGAAAAGGGGTCCATTCTTCATCCTCCAAGGCTGCCGCACTTTGATCTGCCTGCTCCACTCAGGTGGAGGCTGGTGTGATTGATTTGATTGCTGTCACCGACTGGGTATGGGATGACAATCCATCCAATTCAATGAGCTACTCACTTTAGCCTGCAGTTTGTCCTGGGTCTTCCAGCTGTCCTTTGAAGTCGTCGTCAGAGGTATCGCTCCCGGGCGAAATGAAAGTCGTTTACATTTTTTATCAACTTTAAGTGGAAGATTATGGAGGGCACTTCGTGCTGGTTTTCGTCCAACTTACCCTGGGAACGTTTTCATAATTTTCGACCTCCAACATTGCCATTCATTTCCCATTAAATGTGCCGTGCCCCAGGACGGCTCCCAGGACCCTCAGGGCGGCGGAAGATGTGCATTTATCCATTACCGTTGACGTTGCCGTCGACTCTCCTCTCCGCTCCGCTCGAATCACCCGGTTAAAATGTAATTATCCTGCCTGGACTCGGCACTCCATGGCACTGCATTCCACGCCTGAAATTCAGCCATGTATTAATAGCCGGAAATCGGATTGACTTTCCCTATGCCCTGGCCAAATGCATGTGGAATGAACTCGTTCGGAGAATTATGGCTGTGAATTCAAGTTGATTGAATATCTATAGACGTGCCTGGTGCCGAAGCAGAGGGGCCTCGCATAATTGTCGGCTCATTAAACGATAATGCAGGAAAATTGATGCCCGGCCTTTTTCCATTCCATTCCCCATTTTTGGGGGAAATTGAATTTCATAAACTTTCCGATAAAAAACAGGGTTGCGGGGGAGCCTCCCCAGGGAAGTTCCCAGCAGCAATTAGTGCGCTCTGCCCCGGGAGTGCCCGGCTTCGGAAGTGGCAGGAGCCCCGAGAAGCGGCAGGAACGTGGCCGAAGTCAGCGACGTGCCGTGCCTTGCCGTGCCGTGCGTCAGCTGGGGAAAATGGAAACCAAAAAGTTTGTTTATGCTTAGAATGCCAGCGAAATTGCTGGCAGGCTGTGGAGTGGGAGCTGGGCGCTGGGAGGCCTGGGGGCTTGGATGCTGGCAGGATGCGGCTGCCTCCGATGCCATTGACATCAGCAACACGGCCACGGCTGTTGTCATTCAAGTGTTCTAATCAATTCTGATTTAATTTTACGCCCAATTAAGTGTGAAAAGCTTTTGATGTTGGGCACACGGGTGCGAGCGGCAAATAGATGCAGACAAGGACTCGCAGGGGCGCAGTCACACAAGCGTGAGCATTGAATATGCCACAGATACATATGTGGGGTCGGTCCTTTGCTCGCACGAGTCCCATTGGGGCTCTCACACTTGAATAAAGCCATTCCAGACATCAATATTTTGATCCTTCCCTGGTTGGGCTATTTGTACTTACCGCTGCTTCTGTATCCACGCTGTGGCTTCCGCACCTGCTCTCACCGCTCCACGCTTTCACACACTTTCCGTATGCATCTCTCTTTCTCTCTCTTTGTGTATCTCTAACCATGGAACAACTTTCTTCTTATGACAGAGACAGACGTGGCAGATAGTTCCGCCAAGACATTATCCAATAATCTTTATCAACAGCCACAGTCACAGCCAGCGCTGCAGCATCCGCGCCGCGTGCCTACCTCCACCTCCACATCCAGCTCCAGGTTAAGTTTGTTGGAAACTTTAGTCTGCATGACAGCCGATCCGATATCCCTGTGCTTTTGGATTTGTTTGCAGGTAACGACAAGGCTCAAGACATTTTACTAATTAAATATCAATGTACTTTTCCTTCCATTTGCCTAATTTACCTCTGTCAACAGCAAGACAGACAATATTGTAGTCCAAAAGAGTGTACACACTGGTCGCCCAGGGTTGTCACGCCACGATAAAATGAAAACAGCTGTGTCGTAAATGTGCGTTTAAAAATTCAACAACATATTTGTATCCCCGCGAAGCTTGGTTTTTGGAGATCAAAAAGGTCTTCCATATCCCGATGTCTCCAAAGATAGGGCTTATCCGAAGTCCCTTCAAAATGGAAGAGCGTAATCCACTTTTACATTAAATCGGATTTAAATATAAACTCTATAGCGGCAGATATTCAAATTTATTTTCTTGGAAATCCTCACAGAAATTTAAATGATTAAATTCCAAGTGCTCTTAAAGATGGGAAACCGAACCAAACTGTCGTCTAGGGCCTGAAATTGTCCAACTCCTGATGGCACTTCAGGTGACGGCGTAAACGCCAAGCTCCGCCTGAGGGGAGCCAGGCATGGAGTGGGGCCATAAAACAATTTTGTTGTAAATTTACGATACCCCCGGCCATGTATGACAGAAGGTACATAAATACTCGTACTCATACAGGCACGGGGCAGGAGGCAGTCGACATTTTCTTTCCACCAAGAAATTAGCAGAGGATGGAGGGAAGGAAACGAAACGAGCTCCATTGCTCCACCATTCTTCTGGAGGAATAAATTAATTTATAGAATGAACAGATTGCATTTTAAATTTATTATACTTCCATGGTATTGATTTTGGGGCACATGAATTTCTCTTTACATGATAGAAAATTTTGGTGTTGGAGATTGACGTAAGGCTAGTCCCGGTTTTTCACACTGGACTTAACTTTGTATTATAATTGGACATCCCCCCTCGTATTTATGTATATATTAAGCCTATGTTTTGTGTTGGTATGGGGGGGTTCTTTCATTGTCCTCCTCACAGGACGAGTGTCTTTTAATCAAATTACAATTGGGGTTAATTTAATAAACCCTCACTTTCTACCTTTCACAGGATCTGTTCTATCTTTCATGTGTGTCCCGTGGCTGGCGCTGTGCCACTGGAAAATAATTCACTTTCTTTTGCCTCTTGTATAGAGTGTGCGGTGCGTGTGATTTTGGGTTACATGTTCGAGTGTCTGTATGCGACGGGTGTGGATGAACATTATTGGATTGCATTGAAAGAACTGGTAGCTTAGAAATACTGTATCGGCACTGGCGTTACGTTGGCTAAACGTAACGCCCAAGAGAACTAGTCCTCTGATATACTATAATTATTGAATACACGTTGCTAAATCAGACGCACCAATTGTGCATAATTTTGTAAATTTCTTTTTGGGAGATATTTCTTGAAATTTTTTTTTTCTTGAGTTTTGCCATTTTTAAAGTCTGTCAAACAAAATTTAGAACTGAACTGCGTAAAAGAAACAATTTAGAAGAACCGAAAAAGCCGAAATGGAAACGCTGGCACGGCCCTGATTGGTTCCGCTTCGGCTTGAGATCGGTCTGATTTGGCCAACTGATTTGAGGAAGCAGGAGATCGCTCCCGATTTCCAATAACAACTAGTAATACACGCATATATACGGCATGATATATATGTAGGCAATGGTAAACGAAATACAACTAGTATTCCCTGGCTGTTGGTGGTGTGCTTGTGTTGGGCCCATGTCGAGCAATCGAAACCCAGATAGTGCTGGGCTGAGTTCCCTTCGCTGAGGTGTGTGTCTGTGTAGTGTGGTGTGATGCTGGTTTTTGTACGAACATATTTGCCTTTCTAACTTATTTCCCAAATTGATTTTGATTCTTTTGATATTCCTAAATTCCGGGATCCTAACTGAATCCCTCTCTACGTCAAGGTCCCTCAAGTGTGCTGCTGTAGGTGTCTATCTGTGTGCGTCTGCTGTATGTGTTCCAGGTGAAATGTGTTGACGTGTGTGAGTGTGTGCGTGTGTGCGTGTGGGATGGGCTACCACTGCGCCGTATCTATCTCCGGACTACGAACGCCGCTCAGTAGACAATGAGCAGGTTGTTCTCATTGAAGCCTGCGGAGTGTCCGGCATTGCGTACAATGAAACAGGATCCATCGAAGTGCATGCGCTTCTCATTGCGACTACAAAGGACAGAGCAGAACGGAAGTTAGCAGAGCAGGACGATGGGGACGAGGCGGAGGGGGAGGGGGAGGGGGAGGTTGAGAGCATCGGTTTAACACTCACCGAACAAACAGATGCGAGGTCTTGCCCAGAGATGCAGTGCAATGGATGCCAGGTGTGGTCAAAGTGGCCGATCCATTGCCGGGACTGGTGCGAATCAAGCACTTGTTGTGCACACGAGTGACCTTCACCAGGCCATCGGCTGCCTGGGTGATGCGAAATCCGTTTATGTCATAGATCTCAGTGCCATCCTCGGTACAAGTGTAAGCTGAATTGGCAATCACGTCATGGGCTTCAGCCATATAAGAGGGACCATGGCGCGAGTCGCTGCGAGAAGTTCGGGAAGTAAATCGAAATTAGCCAAATAAGAAGCGCTGCAATTGGCCGGGGGCCGGACTCACTCATAGAACACTGCCAGGGTGTAGTCCTTGGTCAGATCGGTGAAAGTGTCGGTTGTGGTGCGCGTCCCGGCTGTGTCCACCAGGTAGATGAGAGCGCAGGCCTCGCTGGTGAAGCTCACACCCTTGTACCACATCTTGGCATAGCGACTGTAATGGGAAGATAATTCAAAGGATTCAATAGATGCCACTTTGGGGTGGGGGCCAATCCCACTCACACAAAGTTATTGCCCTTCATGCCGTCGTAGGTGACTATTTCGACTTTAGCGCCGCTCTGCAAGATGCGTCCATTGGGGTGGATCAAAGCCGAGTTGCTGCAGTTGCGTGATAGAGCAACTGCCACCATGCTGCGCTGATTGAGCACGCGCACCGCCTTGTCCAGAGTCATGTCAATGCTGTCCCATGCAAAGAAAGGTATTAGCATTAGGGGTCGTTCTTAAAGAAGAGCCAAGGGGCTGGGGGCTGGGGGCGTCCACACTCACCGCACGCCATCGCGGAGGCGCAACTGGATGGTGCCGTTCGACATGGCAATGGGTCCAGAGCCGGGACATGACGGCGGTGTGTGGTTCTCGAGCTCGAAGTTGCGTGTGCTGCTCACGCGTGCCAAGGCGTATGGTGGAGGGGGCATTGGAGACGGCAACTGTTGGGAATTCTAGATTTAGAGATCGATTTAGGCTAGATTTACAGATATGCAGGCAGTTACCAGGCAGTAGTTCTGATCGTTGTCGAAGCCATAGGTGGGCGTGGCATTGTAGCGCCCTGTGAGTGCCTTGCCGTTGTGCGCCATTTTGCCAGCGTCTATTTCCTGCATATTCCCGGGCCCGTACTGGGGAGGGCTGGAAATGTGTATGCCCGGCAGTTGGACGTATGGACGGGCCGACTGACTGCCGACGGGGTAATTGGCGCACTCCTTGGGAATGCCGCTGGTGATGGTGTTGGTGCCAACGGTGGCGCTGCTAGCGAGACTGGAGCTGCTGCCGCGATCCATGTGGCCCACGGAGTCCGTCCCGGAGGACAGCGAGATGTTGCTCGTGCGTTGGGACAGCTGCCCCCCAGTCATGCCGACACGCAAGCTTGACTGCTAAGGGAGGGGGATGAGAAGGCGAGAGGTAGTAGCGGAAGTTAGATCCGGAAGGAAATGAAGAGGTGAGGAAGTGAAAGTGAGAGAAAATAATTGAATACCGGCAGGAGAGAAAACGACAAAAACGAGAGGAAGTGTCAGCAGCGCAGAAATCGAATGACTTTGCAACTGTTGCTAACATTCTGTTGACATGCTGTTAACGCATGCATATACATACATACATATATGTAATTACATATGTACGTGTGTGCGTTTTTTCCCAATTTGCATTTGATTTTTATAGAAATTAACCAAACTATTTTGAATAGTATTAGAAGTGGAGAAAAGAGGGGGGAATAGAGAAGGAAAATTCGAATATTAATGGCGAAAAGTAAGAGAGCAATGATTGAAAAGAGCGAGACGGAAAATAAAAAGGTCTGAAATAACAGAAGGCAATGAGGTGATGTGGCAATGTTGCTGTTGTCGAGCTGTTAAGACTGCGGCGGCTGTTAACGCGCTGTTGATACCCTGCTAGCGCGATGATGCGGCATTTTTGTAAAACAAAATGTCTGAAAATTGAAGAAACTTTTAGGTTATTGCTTGGAATTTCACTTACCGGTGATGGGTTGTTGGTGTAGACGGAGCGCTGGCGCACCCCGTTGGACGGCTTGGTGGGCGAGCGCAAGATGTTGTTGATTTTGTCGTTCATCTGAGCACGCGACAAGAAGTCCTCGGCATTGAAGATCCCCACACGGGAGCCCTTCGGGCTGCTCAATTGCGAGCCCGGCTCCTGCTGGGAAGTCTCGCCGTCCGATGACTGGCACTGCACCTCCTTGGTGCTGACCTTGGGATCAACGGACTTCGGATCGGTGACCATTTTGATTTGGCAACTTTTTTCTTCTCGCTCTTTCTTTTCTTCAAGTGAGTTTACAGAACCGGCGTTTATGTGTGCGTGCGTGTGTTGGTGTGTGCGACAAATGCGAAATTTTTCACTTTAAATGTGTGTGAACTTACTTGAGAACACGCGCGTGCTAAATACAGTTTTAGAATACTTTTGTTCGACACTTCTCACTACGACTCTGAGAGGAATTTCAATTTTTATATTTAATTTTCCACTTTACATGAGCTCCGCTCGCTGGCACAATTTTCGAAAGGATGACTGTTCGGATTTTCACACTGAAAGTCGTCGCCTCCTCAAACCGGAATTCAAAGTGAAAAGCAGAGCTGTCTCCCGATTATAATCGGAGCGATATTCAGAGCTGCATTTCAATGTAGTACGGATGTAGATCAGATACTAATTACTGAAATTTTCGTTTTATTAATGGTACTCCGTGTCTTGAGTCTTGAGCTTCACAAAAAAATGGTCTACCAAGTTACCAAATGGTAAAATTGTTAATTCGTACGCTGCATATTTTCACCTTGTTCGATCCTTTCGGATTCTTGTAAAGAAAATTTACCAAATACAATTCGTTCACAGACTTGCATTAAGGCGCCGAACAATCTACACAATCAATCTACAAGCCTGGATAAAAGTATTGGCCCGTCATCGTTTTGGCACAAAGTAACTATTTGTGGAATACATCTGGCAGTCTTAATTTAATTTGGATTTGGTCGCATCTCTTCCATAAACTGCGTGCACGCCCTCCTCCCTAGCTCCTCTCAAATCTGATTTCCTACAGATTATTAATTTGTACTTCGTATCGTTGCCCAACTAGAAATGGATTTAAGTTTGCTTGATGCATTTCTGTCGGCCTAATCCTATTTCACGCTTTTAGAGTCGGACAAATGAAGTTTGCCAGCATCAAAGTCAAGCCAAATCGAATTAAGCAATAGGCGCCGCTCCCGGCAGCATCAAGCAGAAGCTTTAAAGCATATTAGAAAATTGAAAAGTCAGCCAAAAGAGTTGCACTTGGCCATGTAAAAGTACTGAGCTGTGTGCTCGATGGTGGCATAAAACTGAAAGTTTCAATTTTCTGAAGTGCTCGCCTTGGCTCGAGAAGGTTGCGAAAGGCCAAGAGTCAGTGCCAAAGGAGGCGGCTAAGCACGGAGGAGCCTCATCTTGGTGGGTTACTGCTGATGCAGTGTATCGCATATCTGCTTCGTCAGTTGGAACTTCTGGCATCGTTTTTACTTACGGGTACACACTGGGGTTCTGGAATTTGCATACAAAACATAAAAGTGCTACGTGCCCATATATGTATGTAAAAGCTAAGCTCTCTATAGCGGACACATGGTTCCAGTAATTCAATCCGTACTATCCATATAGTGTAAGTAGCGAATGTGCACAGTAGATGTTCGGTAGATGTTTTGTTCTACCCAAATTGTCGGATATGTGCGGATAATGCTGGGGGGCTGTTGACAAATTAGCCAAAATTTAGAATTTGGCAGGCCCTGAAGGACGCCCGTCCGCTCTTGTGGCAATGAAAATTAGCTGAGACATCGCACGTCTGGTGTGTGGGGGAGTGTTATTGTTTTGCCAACTTGTAGTCTGGATCGTAGAGAACTATTGTCGAACGGTTCAGTTCAGTTCAGTAGGCAACCCTGAACTTCTTGCGAATCGATTGACAACTCTATCCCCTCGCCTGCCCATGTGAGCAACATGATTGATGCTGGCTTTCACTTTTTCGGCTAGAGCGCATTGACTTCCCCTGCATTTGGCCATCGCTGCCCACGCAGCATGGCACAGCGAATATTCGCCTAAAAATTCTATCTCATTTTGCTTGTGACATATTTGAAATTTATTTTCGGTGCTGATGCTGCCACCCCGATGCTGTTGCTGTTGCTGTTGCAGCTGCATGTGCACCTCCGCCCACGCACTGCATTGACTCAGTTTGAGAGTGAAAATAAAAAAGAACAGTTGGCAAATACTGTATTTATAGAAAATGCAATATGCATGGAATCCGAATGAAATACGGAAACTCATTTGTAAAAAGCTACAATGCCTTGGCCGGCTCCACCACCTCTTTTGTTGTCACTTACAGCAGCCGCAAGCGGACAAATTGGTTAACCTCCTTTTCGTTTTTGTTTTTTGGCAGTACAGGTCCATATTTATGGTTCGTAAATATGAATGTGGGATTTCTGTCGAGCCATTACCAATTGGACGGCCATTTACGGCAGGCAAAGGCAGAGAGGAAGCAGAATTGTGGTCTGTTTCTAGTTTGAATTGCTTGTTGATTATTTTCTTGCCACATTTTAAATAACTGGACTTTGTTTCGCAGAATGAATGTGTAACAGTAAGCTTTTGGCAGCGAGCACTGCTCTGAAATATTCTATTCATGCTCCAAGGGGATTTCATTTCCACTCGGTCGAATGCGAAATGTGGAAAAACTATTTTCGTCGACCCAAGAAAACTCATGAAAGTGTCAGTGAACTTTGGCGCAGACAAATCCGGCCGAGACGGGATGCACTGGCTACACAGCTGAAGAGTGTTGCAATCGTTGACGTCATCGCCGTTGGAACAGAGGCGTCATCAGGCGGCAGAAGTAGAAGAGGCACGCAGCCAGATTGATGGGGAACTTGTGGCATAATTGAAATGGTTTTAAAAATCCATTCTTAATGTGTTTCGCCTTCGCTATTAAATCCTTTGCCATTTGCATTAAAAACAATTAGCGCCCGCGACGCCACTTTCCTTTGTCGACAGCGGGAGATGGAGAGGGAGAGGGACAGGGAGCGGTGGGAGCGGGGGAGGGGGAAAATTAATTGATTGTCAAGATGAGGCAGCGGCAACAAATAAATGTGTCTGGTCATTCAGCAGGCGATCTTTGTTGCCACACACTCGCATATAGAGTAGATAATGCCGCGTCGTCTGTCAGCTATGAAATTACATTCACACATATCCGTGTACACACACACACACGTACAAGTGTACTCGTACATGGGAGAAGATCTTGCGGATTGGCACGCGTCGCCTGGCTAAAAGCCTCGAAGCCTCGGCTTGACTTCCATCAATATTTTGGCATTCCTGGCATTTTCCTCATTCCTCATCGAATCATCGCGCAGGGCTCGTGAAATTTGAGTGACTGTGTTGTTTACACATCTCAAGTAAATCCGAGCCCGCGGCGACATCATCCTCGAGTGAATCATGGGGATTTCCTGGAAGCAAGTGTCGCCTACAGAGGAACACACAGTCCGAGGGGGATCTATGGCTGGTCGGATGGTTAGTCGGATTGGTCTGTGGTCTATGTCTGCCGTGCCGGCCTCTTGACGTCATCTGCCGTCTCGGCACTTGCCAAAAACCCCATCCAATCGGCCCTTTCCCCGCCCTGAGGTGTGCTAAGCACTCGGCCAGAGGGTGTACGTGGGGGGGAGCTGATGCAAAACTTTCGAAAGATTTAATGTATGCTGGCGCGGTGCCCGCGTTGTCGGGCCACATTTCACGCTTCATTTGCCGGCGACGGGCAAACCAAACGGACAGAGGGACGGACGGATGCCGGCGGTGACGTTGTCGCGTCGGGTTTGATTTTGATAAAATAGGCCAAAGTGCTCATCAATAATCATTTCTGTAAAAATCCGTGAGCAAAGCAATTATTTTTACAAAATGAACGCCCGCTCCACACACCATTCAGGGCAATCCATTTTCTGTGTGTGTGTGCATCCTTCACACATCACAAATAATAATAATTTGTGGGTAGAAACGTACATATTACGTATTTACATCGGATGTACGAATGTATAAAGCACATTTATCCATATCGAACTCTATTCGTGGCGGTCTTTTCGCAGAATTTCCCTGAATTTAATTACTTTCCTTATTTAATTCAATGCTTCAATTATTTAATTACCATTTCCTACGTCGAAATGAGACCAGGAATTTGATTTCATATTTTATTCATTGATAACCCAAAAAACCAAAAAGATATGCAAACAAATGGAAAAATGGTATGTTAATATTATGCAAAGAGGGAAGGAGACATGGACGTGCCTCTTGGCAGCTTGCACGCCCACTTGCCGGAACGTGCTCCACATTTCCAGGTCGCCGCTGCAGCAGCCGCTTTTTGCGTTCCTTTCCCACATTCCCCGCGCTGTGATTTCCATTCCGCTGCCCTACCAGGAGAGGGCATAAATCAAGCGACTTTCACTCTGCCCGGTTCCGCCTTCGGCTGCTTTATCTTGTTTTTCGATTATTCATGTTGTTCTTGGTTGAATTTTAATTTTATTCTGTATTTTGTGTTATTGTTATGGGGAATTTTTTGTCAAAATGATTTTTATAGCACATACTCGGGCACTTACATTTGATGGGGGCCCGTAACTGAGTATTTCTCTGTCCGTGTGTGATTGTTCATAGGTAGGGTAGGTGTTTTCGCTTTCCTCCTTTTGGGCATAATAAATTGCCTGTTCTTTTTTATAGGAGAGTCCCCCAGTCCCAGTCCCAGGCAGACACACACAGCTGCATTGCAATTGTAATTGTGACAGTGACTGTGACTGTGTGCAGTGCCATAATAATGGGAAGATGTTGCAGACAAGGGTTCCATTCCATAGTTTCCGGCACGCATTTCACTCGCTTTGTGCCATTATTTTCAATTCCCAGAAAGGGAGACGGAACGAGCAGAACGAGACCAAGACCCAGCGGACAGACTGCTGTCCAGACCGAGGGGGTTCAACGCACTGATGGAATGCCCGGAGTTGGCTCGCATCGGGGATGGGCTAAAGACAGCCATTCTCGAATGGCAATTGGCAATAACCAGACCAAGGGATCACAATCGGACTCAACTATTGCCAATCCCCCCACCATCTGTGGGCGAGGAGCAGTGGGAGACCACAGAGCAGAAAAGACAGCCCGCTGAGTCAGAAATGTGGACCCCTCTCCATCCCTCCATTCCACCATCCAGAATAGTCAGCGTTTATCTGACGGCGCGTCCCCATTTCAAGTCGAGTAAATTTACAGTGTCTGCAAGTGCACACCTTCTTTATGCCCTGCCAGAGGGTATGTAGCATTCCGTATTTTCCTATAAGCTTGTCTACTCGTAGTGAGTATCAAGGGCAGAGTCTGCTTCATTAAATGTCGCCTTTTGCTGCAACAAGATCTTGTATGGTAATCCCAGAAAACTCTTTTCACATACCATATGAATGTCAAAGGGTGTTCAAGAGGTAGTCTTCCCTGAGCTCGCAATGGGAGCTGG